AAGCAGAGTCGATTCCCTCCCACGATCAGCGCATTGGCCATGGTCAAGCGACACAACAGGCATGGGCGGATACAGAGGCGGGCTTGTCAGCTTACTGACGGGGTTAACCTCTTTGGTCATGTGGACAAGGACCGCCTCCGTGGTCTAGTGGTAGAGCGTCCGCCCGGAGAGCGGGTTCGATCCCCGACCGCGTCATACCAAAAGACGTTAAAAGATGGTACTTGTTGTAACCCTGTCTGGCGCTCGGCATTACGGGGCTAAAACAAGGACTGGTCGGCTCGGAGTCAGTATACTGTGTCTGAGTGGGGTATTCATGTTAAACTGCGGCATGGTATCTCAGTGTGCTACCACTATAAATCGGCATCAGTCCGGACTAGTACAAGCAGCCACACAAACACACACACGTACATGTACATGCACGTCGCTATATAAGTGCAATAATCTTGGACGCGACGTTAAACCCCATTTCACCTCACCTCACCTCATGTGGACAAGGCGTCTGACCTCGGATCAGAAGGTCCGTGGTTCGAATCCCATCACGGGACTCGAAAATTTTATGGCCGCTACATGTTTATAGACTGGGAGGAACATCAGATACTCCCCAATCTGAACAATCCCAGTGTCATCGTCATGGATAACGCCAGTCTCGTATGTCCTGGCGACACAACATGCTTACACTGTCTCGCGTGCGCCAGACCTACATTGTGGCTCAACCCTATTGAGCTCATGTCGGCAAAATGTAACGGTTCGTACACGTGGCAAGACACGACACCACATTCAAACTGCCTCAAAGGGTTGATCAACTCAGCCTTTCCTCGAATCGCACCACAGGCATGGCAAATGATTGACGATCACGTTCTTGAAATAGAACGTCAAAGTGACGGCATAGGCAACCTTGTTGCTCTAGTTATCGTACCTTTGGGTGATAATACAGATTCAGCTGATTCTGAGACTCACTAAAGAAATCATCCAAAGAACAACAAATTCTTCTTGATTAAGAGACCGCCTCCGTGGTCTAATGGTAGAGCGTCCTCCCGGAGAGGGAAAGTCCCGGGTTCGATCCCCAGCCGCGTCATACCAAAAGACGTTAAAAGATGGTACTTGTTGTTACCCTGTCTGGCGCTCGGCATTAAGGGGCTAAAACAAGGACTGGTCGCCTCGGAGTCAGTATACTGTGTCTGAGTTGGGTATTCATGTTAAACTGCGGCATGGTATCTCAGTGTGCTAGCACTATAAATCGGCATCAGTCCGGACTAGTACAAGCAGCCACACACACACACATACACGTACATGCACTTCGCTATATAAGTGCAATAATCTTGGACGCGACGTTAAACCCCATTTCACCTAATCTCACCTTCTTGATTAAGACAACCTCAACCTTCAATACTCATCCCGTTTCATAGTTTTTAACTGTTCCATTATTTTTAAAGAAAATATCATGCAGTACATATCATAATTGCTACCCAGTCAACGCATATCTCAATATTAAAAAAAAATAACAGCAATGTTTTGATACGAATCCCAACTCAGGTGACATTTGCACCTGCGTGAAAGCACGGGCCGTTGTGAGGTCAAAATTACCTCAGGTTATAGGCCGTTTCATACATGTATGACAAAAGCATTTCTTCTGAGATTATCATCATTTTACCTGTAAAAGTACCGTTTTAGGATCATCGCAGCGTCAGTTGAATAGTCTAGATCTGGTTATTTTGAGTTATTTTGATATATACTTCTTAAATAGTGTTATGATTCGTATTTATTCAATTAAGCCAGATATAGCTTAAATATTGCTGAGTGCGGCGTTAAACAACAAACCAACTCAACCCAACCAATTAAGCCAGAAAAAACATGTTTCAAGCATTTCCAACAGTACTCTATTTTTCAGTTTGACTTTTGCGCCCTATGGAATCTATGTCGGTGTACAATTGAGAATGTGTATTCTCTTCTCCTTGAAAGTACATAAGATATGAAACAAACCCGCATTGTACAATGTTTCAGTTCTATGCTGTTGTTTGATGTGGAGAACAGGCGTCTGAATGAAATGGAGATTCTCCCGAGTCAGCTGAGCGTTCGGCCACGTGTTGTGACGATCCTGGTTTAACAATGTCAGGGGCGACAACCAAGCACGGAACAGTACAAGGTTGAGACGAAGATTGGCTGTCAGGTCCGGAACTGATGTGTATGACGTAGGAAATAAAACTTGCAGCAATCACAGACTGCTTTATTGTCTTTAACGTTACAGGTATTAGGAGAGGTGAAATGGGGTTTAACGTCGCGTCCAAGATTATTGCACTTATATAGCGACGTGTATGCACGTGTGTGTGTGGCTGCTTCAACTAGTCCGGACTAATGCCGATTTAAAAGTGACAGCCAACTGAGATACCATGCCACAGTTTAACTTGAATACCTCACTCAGACACGGTATACTGACTCCGAGCCGACCAGTCTTCGACTTAGACCCTTCGTGCCGAACGCTAAGCAGAGTAACAACAAGTACCATCTTTAACGTCTTTTTGGTATGACGCGGTTGGGGATTGAAAACCGGACCTTCCGCTTTCCGGGCGGATGCTCTACCACTAGACCACGGAGGCGGCCGTAACAGGTATTAAATCTGGCGCCATTGCTACTTCCATACCCTAGAAGAAAGTGACTACTCTATTTTAGTAAACAGGAATTAAGTGTAAAGTATCTGTACGTCAGTGGTCAGACATTTGCTGTTCTCTTACGTATGTCTTGGCGTATCTTCCCGAGGCAATAGTGTTAACTGACTACAAAGGTCCAGTTTCAACCCTTGCCGAAGTACGCTGGAATTCCGTGGCTCGATACTAGCGCCACCAGTGGCTATTACGAGTTATGTCCTTCCTTTGTCCTTCCTATTGACCAATCAGATTCCACCTCTCATACCACTTCCATTTGTTTCAAACAGCATGGCGGCGCCCAGTCAAGGCGATCTGATCGATAATCAAATTATATATCGTAATAAAACGGGTCTTCCCTCGCGAAGTGCATCATATCATTTGAGCACCTTGATTAAAAACATGAAAAGATTTGGAAAATATCTCTCCACGCCCAGTTGACGTTACACATGCTTTGCTCATCCTGCAGTCGATCGAAATCTCCATGTTGTTTAGAACCGGATGTCTAGTTCGTTATAGGCTTTAGATTGGACTTTAGATCGTTATTTCAGACAAAATGTAACTCTAGAATTTCAGCTTAGTTCGGCAAGGGTGGAAACTGGACTTTTACAGTCAGTTAACTCCCTTGCCTCGGGAAGATGGTCTTGGCGGGAAATCTGAATAAATCCCTTTAGTTCTTCATAATGTCACAGTATACTGACTCCGAGCCGACCAGTCCTTGTTTTAGCCTCTCAAATCAGGTGAAGTCAAGCAACGTCGGTCGCGGAGCGTCCTTGGGTTGGTGACCGCGTGTCGGCAGCTTGGCTCCTCGGAGTTTCTAGGGCTTCGGCCCTGCCCCACACTGAAGCACATGCATCACATGTGGCGTCACCTTGGACATGCGACTTTGTTTGAAATGTGTCTCTGTTCACCCAGCAGTCAATGGGTACCCGGTAGGATGAGATGGCAACAACCATAATGGGTTTGACGCGGTCAGGGGATCAAACCACCGACTTTCAGCTACCGACTTGCACAAGCGATGCATTTTTTTCAGAGACCATACATATACCAATATTGGTAGATGGTTTCTGATTTTGACTTGCCGGTGCAAATACCAAAAGGAGAAACCTTTTCTCCTACTTTCATTTTCGTATACGTTTTTGCAGTGAATCGGTATTCCAGTAAATAATTCAGAATGACTTTGTATCCATTGTGTGTAGTTTCTCGCGTCATAGATCGCAACTCTTTATGGGTTTACAAATACTTGCATCAGCTACCAGGTCTTCATTCGTGAAGACCTGTGAAAATCCGGGGTAGAATAGATCTTCAACAACCCGTGCTTGCCGTAAAAGGCGACTATGCTCGTCGTAAGTGGCAACTAACGGGATCGGGTGGTCAGGCTCGCTGACTTGGTTGATGCATGTCATCATAATATCCCAATTGCGTGGATCGATGCTCATGATTTCAATTACTTGTTTGTCTGGTCCACACTCGGTTATTTACAGAAAGTCGTCATATAGCTGGTAATATTGCCGAGTGCGGCGTTAAGCAACAAGCAAACATATTATTAACCGAATCAGTGAAACTCTCCCTTGACAAGACCTCAGAGAATACCATTCCATCACGTGTCCTAGTGAGAGAGTGAGTTCGGTCTTATGCCTCTGTTAGCATTACTGTAGCACTATCACAGCGGTGGATACCACAAATGAAAGTTGGTGTCCATATTGGGAATCGAACCTGGGTTTTGAAGTCGCGACGAATCAGTCCTTTACCCACTGGCCTAACCCACCACCCCTTATAACTCTAGCCAGTGGGGACATTAGTCCTGCTTAGAAAATCATTTCTACTCCTACATATCTTTCCTTCCATTGATTTACTTCCTTAAATATGAATGTGAGGCTATAAATGTTCGTACATTCACAGGGTCAGTGAATATGTAATCGCTTCCCTTGATAAACGACAACGCGAGAGTATCAATTATATTAATTATACATAAGGTAGGTGACAGTTAAAAGATAAAAAAAGACATAAACATTTAGAGCTTGAAGAGCACAAGATAGATAAGACGAGAACTTCGGTTTGAATTCTTTAAGGATTTTTCCAGTGTTAAACGAGCACTCTTGGTATTCGGTGAGTGAATGTGTGATTCTAATAATCGGAATTATTTGTCAGATGCTAACTGTAGACGTTCCACTGTATCTTTTGTCTTTAATGTACTGCTTCCTCTACAACCACAATTACTTCAAATCCACATTTTCAGCCCCTCAAATTATGTGACAGAAAGCATTCCTATTTCACCCGATTTTCACCACGATGCATCCTTAATGTTATTTCGTTTCGTTCACTATTCCTATAATCCGCAATTTACATCATACTCACGGCGCCATTTTCAAGATGTCCTCCCCCGAGAAGAGACGGATTAGCCTAATGAAAGTGGATAAAGACATTAGGCCTATAATCCTATTTATGTGCTGAATAAATGCATGACATTTGATGATACGTGTGGATACGTTACAGGTAGGGATGATAATACCACGAAAATAAATATGTGTCCTGTTTTAGTGATTTTAACGCGCATCATCAGCATGTGACTTCAGCGATGTGCACTGACGACAGCTGGACATCATGAACACTTACCTATTCAGCACAACACTGTGGTCGTGCCAACTTGTGCGGGCAGTGTGTACAAGACAGCAATTTACGTAATTAACTACCTGACATTTTGAATAATGTCATAAGGTACTGTGCATGGTGTGACAAGAGTTGACAACATCATATTCGACGATGCCGACATGTCACTGACAATTTGATCGAATGTCATATTTTTTTTTAGACTGACTGAACGAATGTATCATGATGTATATCTCCTTTCAGCTATTCCACACCCCTGTTCGATCAATACAGTAGTAGCATAGCACCCGTGAACACCCAAGTTAGAATAGCTCTTCAGCATGCAATGCTTGTCTCAATAGACGACTATGTCTGTCGTAAGAGGCGACCATCTGGATCGGTTGGTCAGGTTCGCTGACTTGGTTGATGCATGTCAACATATCCCAGTTGCGTAGATCATATCTGGGAAAGTAAGACATGATTTTAATCATTTTCTTGAGACTGGGTCATTACAAGCATGTTTGCATGGTTGCTTGCAAATTGGGGAAAAAACAACAATATTTTGTTTGTTATAATTTTCTTAATTTCAAGGTACTTTAACATTGCTTTCAATATGACAGTGTCGCTTCTTGTAATCTGTGAAATACAAACCACACTATTGTTTATCATTCTATCTATAATGTCTATGTTAACGTGAATTGGAGACCCATGAAAATCCAGGATAGAATAGGTCTTCAGCAACCTATGCTTGCCGTAAAAGATGAATATGCTTGTCATAAGAGGCGGCTAACGGATCGAGTGGTCAGGCTGGCTGATTTGGTTGATGCATGTCATCGTATCCCAACTGCGTGGATCGATGCTCATGATGTCAATCACTGGATTGCCTGGCCCAGACTAGGGCTTCAACGAGTACTTGAGTACTCGGGGCCGGGTCGGTTTTAGTTGGACTCGAGTCAGTTATCAAGGACTCGAGTACTCGATAAGGGGAGATCACTCTGTTTTAATATTGTTTGAATAATGTATTCTTTGTAGAAAGTAGATGTACATTAGAACAATTGAGAATGTCACATAAAATAGACGTAATTATTGTTTTTCCTTCCCGACTTTAAGAAATTGAATGTATCAAGGCGATTATTGCTTCTTTGCTCCGACTCAAATGCCAAGTGTATTCCCTTACACAGATTAACAACTGATATGCTGGTATATATGTGCTATTTCAGTACTTACAAATCAAGCGACAGGTCGACAGTTTGTTACAGTTTGAAAACGGGACCAACTCATGAATGAATGAACTTATAGTGCTACATTTCCATATTTAATGGCCTTAGTCTTGCAGCCCAGCAGCTGTGTATACGTGTATGTCACGTGATGCACATTATCGATTTTCTCCCTGCGAATTATAGTTCGTGCTTGTTGGCAGGTGTCAAATGAAACGCTGATCGTCAGAAAAAACTTGGTTTGTGTTCAATATGTATTGTAGTATTTGTAGACGTGACGTAATGTTTTTGAAGGTTGTGATTAAGATTAGTGCAGTTACAAGCAAACATTATCACTGAACACTTCCATACACTTTGACAGATAAACAAGTTCCGTGGACGCTTTCTATTTACATTTCAGTGCAGTTCAATTATACTTATAACATGTTTTGATACTTTTAGATGGCAATTTTGATCTAATGAACCAATATTCTTAAAGGACGTCCTATTTTCGGGTACTCGAGTACGAGTCGTGTTTCACCCCTCGGGTACTCGAGTAAAAAAACTTGGACTCATGGAAGCCCTAGCCCAGATTTGATTATTTACAGACCGCCATCATATATCTGGAATATAGCTGAGCGCGGCCTTGAATAACAAACAAAAAAACAAAACAAAATAATTCCAAACTTTGTAAGTTTTGGCCTCTGAACAGGTCTCGCTAATTCCTGTGGAAAATAGATACATACATTTGTAAGGGAAATCATTACTGCCTCATACATGTACATTGCAATCTTAATCTAAATCAGTTATCTTAAATGACTGAATAGTTTCAAAGTCAGATGACATTGACACAGGTGCCTCAAAACTCATGCTCACTGTTTCAGAAACTGTGACCATGGTGATGTACTACCCTGCATGACAATGGACCCAGCAGCAGCGTGTGGATGTCCATCAGTGGATGTCGCCTGTGTGGTCAGAAGGAGGAGGAAACAAGTGGACTTTTCCCAGCTCGGGAAGGGTGAGCATAACTGAGACAATGTACCAATAACATGGGTGTGTGCTGTGTCCCTCCGTCTTCTAGGCAGGTGGAATATGGACTTTAAGCTCTAGGAGCTCTAGGACCATAATAGGCAAGGATCCAACAGCCTTTAGCTCTAGAAATTTGTTGGGGTTTTTTAACGACTAGTGTAAACCTTATTTCACTACTCCTCAGCTTGTAGAGTGATGTTTGAACTGCTCTCCTCATACACGATAGTCGTTATGATCTTCCCCCGCACACAGTCTGCATAAGCATGAAAGGCATCATGCATTGTGCAGTTGTGTACTTTCATTGACATGATTTGGAGTTTCTTCTCTGGCCAACGACTCCTGATTGCAGAGAGAGAAAAAAAGAGGAAAAATTCACTTTTGAAAAATATCATGATTCCCAATTTGCCTGGCAAATTCACTTAGTCTAATATCCCTGCAACTGTTGTTAGTGTGTGGTCGTTCAAATTGGCCTCAAAATGAAACTAAGACAGGCAATAGATCGCGAGTCTTTATCTTAATAGAATTAGGGACCAGCAGATGACCTGTAGGCTAGGTGAAATCCATAGAATTTCTCAAAAAATGCTCAGTTTTCACATGCCCATAGCTTTCTTAATTATAGATTAATAAAAATAAGTAATATACAACAATAATGATTGTCCTTTTTCCTTTCATGTTGTGTATGTTATTTCTTCATTGATAAAGAAATGTATATCTGATATTAATTGGCATGATTAATTAGTGCCACGGGACTCGTGAAGATCCGGGGTAGAATAGGTCTTCAGCAACCCATGCTTGCCGTAAAAGGCGATTATGCTTGTCGTAAGGGGCGACTAACGGGATCAGACTTGGTTGATGCATGTCATCGATCCCAATTTTGTGGGTCGATGCTCATGATATTAATCACTGGATTGTCTGGTCCAGACTCGATTATTTACAGACCGCCGTCATATAGCTGGAATATTGCTGAGTGTGGCGTTAAACAAGAAACCAACCAACCAACCAATTAGTGCCACGGGATGCTAGCCTCAAGAATGGTGGTATAATACATTAACTGAGGATGATGTGTGTGGAGATGTAGGTGCTGGGAACTTGAGCTGGTTTGAGGACCTCACACATCAGGCACGGCAGAAACAGCAACAGCAGCACCTTCCTGATGCTGCCACGCCGAGAACAGATGACCTTCACCTTGCTGGCTTTGACTCCCCATGCTTCCTGCCTCAGCCAGTAGAGCTGATGCAAGGTAAGCAAAGACTCCCGTGTTATTGTTGGACTAGAGGGGGGGGGGGGGGGTGGTCGGGTAGCCTAGTGGTTAAAGCGTTAGCTCATCACGCCGAAGACCCGGGTTCCCGACATGGGTACAATGTGTGAAGCCCATTCCTGGTGTCCCCCCACCGTGATATTGCTGGAATATTGCTAAAAGCGGTGTAAAACCATACTCACTCACTCACTCATTGTTGGGCTGGCGGTCGTTATAGATCATAAAGATTGATAACCGCTCACTAAATATCAATCAATTATTGATATATATTGGAGAAGTAACTTTCAGCAAATATCATGGGAAGTCCCAAAAGAAATCAACAAATTTCACCCCGCTGGCTGATTCCCATCTTCGACAATTGACATGATTGACAATAACAAGTCAATTCAGTAAATCTAAACTTTATGTAATTTATTAGCGATGACAACAAGTTCATATCCATAATCATTAATATTTCTTCCCATCGACGATAATACTGATTATCAGTCTTTTTGTCCAGCCCTAGTTTTTTGCATAGCTACAGGGAGCTCAGAGAATTTTTTATCATAAAAATATACTTCATATACTGAACAGAAAATCTTAGGGATCATAAATGTTTTTGGGAAAATATTTATGAAATTGAGTGAGGCAGCCTATTGACAGTGAAGTTCACTGACCTTGTAGAGCGTTCAGTTCAAATCAAATATTGACTCAAAGTCAGCAAGCTGGCATAGCTACAGGGAGATCCAAGAAAGATGTTGTGAGTGAGTGAGTGAGTAAGGTTTTACACCGCTTTTAGCAATATTCCAGCAATACTACGGCGGTGGACACCAGAAATGGGCTTCACACATTGTACCCATGTTGGGAATCGAACCCGGGTCTTTGGCGCGACGAGTCAAAGCTTTAACCGCTAGGCTATGCAACCGCCCCTCATGTTTTGAAGTTTGTGAATTTATGTCCTATGAAATTGTATGGATGAACAGTGGACATTTGGAAGATGGGATATCTTGAAAAAGAAAGCATGAATTTACTACTGTGAGAACATAAACATGATTAATTTTCCAAAATCAACTTTTGATTTTCTATATGTCCATGATAATTCGATGTGACAAGAGCATGTACTATTAGAATAGTGTCCCTCTTATAGCGAGGCATCAACTTTAACAATGCCTTCATGTCACTGAACTTGATGTGTTACCCTAGCTACTAAGATTGCTAACTTTTACCGACTACCAGCACCCCCTACCCCCTCTTTCTCTTCTTCCCTACCCTCTACCACCACCCCCCAACCACTCACACACTTCACTCCTAATACATTTCTGTACAGCTACTACTCCAGGAATAGGCAGCCTGACACCCCTCAGTGCATGGGCTCTTCTAAGTTCCCAGGATCCAAGCACAAGTACACCAACATCAGTGGATCATCCCATTATAGGGAACAGGTTAGACAGGCAAGAATATTGATACAGATGAAACCTTTTTCCTAATCCATATGGAACCCTTGGACTTCAAAGTCAGGAAATGTATTCATGAAACTGACACAATGTAGACTAAGCAATCCAGGCATAGACACAACTTCTAGTCTGAGACAACTAAAAATCTAGATGGACTAATTGTCTCTAAGAATTGAATTATTTCACATCAACCACTTGTCCGAAACGAGCTGACTAGTTGCATATGAGCAGTGGTAGATACCATTGGTAGCCCAGTCGTCAAAGGTGCCGCAGTTCACTGTTCAGAGTTGTGCCAAGCCAAAGTCCTATGATCGTGGTCCTGCACTCTGAGATTAAATTTTGGCTTCCATTTGCCTAATTTAATGGCGATATATGAGCAATTACTAAATTATGAGCAGACGTGCTCAGGTGGCCCAGTCATCTAAGGCGCCTGATTGTGGGTTCGAATCCCAGTTCGCCCAGATTATGTTTCTAGGTTTGTCAGCACCATACCCTTGCTCATGGGTTTCACCGAAGCGGCAAATGTCTGAGACCTGCATCACTTCTGGCTTTCCTCCCACATTAAGCTGACATGCCGTGATATAACTGGAATACTACTAAAAGCAGCGTTAAACCCAACTGACTCATTCACTTACTCACTCAATTCATGTTATTTGATTAATAACAAGTATGTTATCATTTCACTGATAACAGGACCAATAAAGCAGAAGAGGTTTTATTGAATAAAGAAAATAATAATTTAAAACAGATCTCCTGGACCCGTGAAGACTCCAGGGTAGAATAGGTCTTCAGCAACCCATGATTGCCGTAAAAGGCGACTGTGCTTGTTGTAAAAGGCGACTAACGGGATCAGGTGGTCAGGCTCGCTGACTTGGTTGATACATGTCATCGTTCCCAATTGCGTGGATCGATGCTCATGATGTCAGACTTGATTATTTACAGACTGCCGTCATATAGCTGGAATATTGCTGAGTGCGGCGTTAATCAATCAACCAACCAACCAACGAAAACAGATCCAGTTATGAAAAAATAACACTTTTTTCCCAATATGCCTGCTAAGGGCACTTGATGTGGAATCCTGGCTGAATGTAATTGTTACTGTTCCCTGGTTGCCAGCTCCTGTCTGGCATCACCCACAGCTGTTGAGTCCTGCCTGAAGACTTGTCGTGGCATCAGTGAACGTCTCGGCCTCACTGCCGCCAATGACGACTGCAACATGTCCTGGACAAACTCCATGGCGACACCATGTCACGGAGGCGAGCTCCATACATCACAGGAGGGTGGGTAGAGCTGTTGATACTCTGTGAGTCAGAACATTTTAGTAATTCTCATCAAGCATTATAATTGTTTTGGTGATTGGCTAGTTCATGCCTAGTGTTTTTATTATTTGTGAAGCGGTTCATAGCAATGTGTCATGGCAATATCAAGGTTGTAAGACACTTTAAAAAATCAGAATCATTTTATAGAGCTGACAGCTGAACGTCTCCAGAACCTACACATTCTACTATTTGTTTAGGGGGTCAAAGTTATCTCAGGGTTCACCTGATTGCGACACTTTCTATGGGGGTGTTGGGGTGAGATCTTCATGCAGAGAGGTATCATATTGGAATAAAAACATTTTGATAGATGTTGATAGAAAACAATAGTGTCATCTTTATTAATTTTTTTATTTAAATGTTTCGAATGATTCACATGTATCATAATCTTGAGTCTAATGACAGGACAATTTGTTTCAGCTGAAGAAGTTCCCACCCCACCGAAACCAAAAGTAAGACATAGAACACTGTCATGAGTATGTTCCAAACTCATTGCAAGCATTTGAAGCAGTAGTCCACCCTGTTAAAATTGGTCTTCAGCTACCCATGCTTGTCGTAAGAGGCAACTAATGAGATCGAGTTGTCTTGCTCGCTAATTTGGTTGTGGCATGTCATTGTATCTGAAATGCCTAAATCGATGGGTAGGTGTATGACTGGACTGTCTGGTCCAGACTTGATTATTTGAAGGCAGCCATCATATAGCAGCGTTAAACAAACAAACAAAGAATACAGCAATCCAAGGGTCTTGATATTGGGATGTTTAATGTTAACAATGCCAATTGTCATCATTCATTGCCACAGTAATAACGTTATGACTGTTTTCAAACAACAGAGACAAAATGTTGCCAGTGCCTACTAAAATGAGGATTGAGTGATCACAATGTGCTACTTGCCTGACTTGGTTTCTTTGGCTCATGATATCATGGAAAGTTGCTGCTGTTGTGCAGATGTCTCAGGCTGGAATATTGTTATCAGGGCCCTGAAATTTTGGAGACAAATAAAACTCTGCTTCTTTTAGACTTAGAACCTCATTTTGCTTTGTCTTGGCATAGCCCACTTTGGCATAAAATCTCAATCAATGATTGAAGGACTGTTTTGACATTGCTTTGATCCTTTTCAGGGGTTTCCTCGAGCACTGTTTTCACCCGATCAGGGCAGAACAGACTCGGATGAGTTGGTGAAGGAGCTCAATGCTACAATGGATGAAGAAGTCCTGTCTGGTGTCTCTCCCGGACCTCGATCTTCCTGGATGGCACAAACTGACCGAGGCAAGAACTTGATGAGGGAGTTGTTCCTCCGGTCCACTGCACAGACCCAGGAGCTGCTCCAGGATGGATCTCCCAGATCCAGAGACCCTCCTCCACAGACTGGCAAGTCATCTGCTACACCGAGATCTAGTTGTAAGAAGCACCAGAGAAGGAACTTCAGAAATGTTTCTGTGAAAAGTAATGTGGCTTCACCACTAGCTAAAGCTGATAAATCTCCAGTTACCAGTGCGTCTGGACTTAAAACTGTGATTGACATTGAAAATAAAGATGTTCAGTTGAAAATAAACATTTTGCAAATGGCAGCCAGTTTTGAAGGTGATATATCTACCCTCCCCAATGATGATGTGATGAATAAACAAGTGGTTAGTGATACAGAGGCCGATGTTGTAAATCATCTGATTAACAGAAACCAAACATATCAAGGCAAAGGATATGAGGTCTGTTACTCAGACTCTGCGGAACAAAGCACCAGCTCAAGGTTAAACAGACGAGTGAGGAGCACACGTTCTCAAGACTGCTTGAAACAGAACAAGCACCTGTCCTCTGATCAAGGTAGCAGTTGTGTAACGCTGTCGGTTGTGAATGAAACATTGTCCATGTTCGTAGACAGTCCCTCCGGTGCTGAGGTCCGTCGTCGCAGCGCTCCTCTAAAGGGGAAGAAGAGGAAGTCCACAGAAGCCTGTCTGCTTGAGGGTGATGTAGATGCCCTGTTCTCCACTCCTTCTCCACATGGAAGTCAAGCTACCAAACCTCACTCAATACTCTCCTCATCCAAGAAGAGGAAACATGGATCAGGTGGGAAGAAAGTGAGGTTTGCTGAGAACTTGTGTCGGAGTGAAGAGGAAGGAGCTGGAGCCAGCAAGAAGCTGAACTATGCCCAGGGGACAGATTCCAGCAGGGTGTCTTCCTCCGTTTCTGAAACAGTCCTTGAGCTTACAAGCCAGGACAGCTTAAGGTTGAACGATCCTGACTTAACAGGGACTGTTAAGCCTGATGAGATAACTAGTACAGATTTTCAGCCAGAGGATAATAATGGTAGACTGAAGCAGAAAGGTACTGAGCCTGTTCTAAACGAGCCTGTCAGCCTGCATGCAGACGGAGATAGTGCAAGACTGAAGGAGCACGCTACTGAGCCGGTTCAAAACGAGCCTGTCAGTCTACGTGGAGATGGAGATAGTGCAAGACTGAAGGAGCACGCTACTGAGCCGGTTCAAAACGAGCCTGTAAGTCTACGTGGAGATGGAGATGGTGCAAGTCTGAAGGAGCACGCTACTGAGCCGGTTAAAGACAAGCGTGTCAGCCTACTTGCAGATGTTGGTACAGAGCCAGCAGATGGGGAACAGCCACTGTTTGAGTCACAGTCAGATGAAGAGGCCCAGTCAGGGATATGCCAATCAAATGTCAGCAATGATATTCAACAAGACATCCCTTGTAAAAGAACACTTGACAATATTCATAGACCATGTAAGGAGCATTCTGAGCTCAGAAGTGAGAATTGTGATTTTGTGTCAAGTCCCAGTGTTACCGAGATACTGCCAACAGAGACTGAGCAATCCCTAGTACAGGGTGCAGCTGAATCACAGACAGAAAGTACAAACAGGTTGTCTGTACCAAACACCAATGTATCCGTGTGTCAAGGTTACGAGTCCACTCCAGTCCGTCCAATACCAGTAGTCCATGATGAAATGTTTTCCCAGATTTCTCCGTCCAGTTTGACTGAGATGTGTCTTGTGGCCAGTTCTGATCAGTCTAAACTCAACACACTTGTTCATGCTCAAGAACCACCCTGCTCCTCACACAGGGTTGAAGCTCAAGAAACAATCAGTGACATAACAGACCCTGCTGCTCTTCACCCACATTCCATGGAACATGTTGATAAGCTTGTTACAAGAACTAGTTCAGCTCAGACAAGAGTCACTACCTCCACTGATGCCAATTCTGTTAAATGCCCTGAGATGGAGACTGCACCATTGGTGCCATCTGTGAGCGACAGGAGTACATTGTCTCATCAACAGTGCATAGACAAGCAAACCTCATCAACGGATCTCATATCAAACAAAGAAGCTCTGAAATCAGACAACCTTTTTTCTAATTCAGATAGATCAGGACACGAAGATGCTACTAAGCCACATGTCCAGAACCTTTTCGCCAAGAAACCTAAGGCTAAGCGGTTCTTATACCCTACCTCTTCCCAGATAAAGGCTGTGTGCCCCAAGACTGTGTTCAGCTTCAAAGGTTTGGATGTTGATGCCAAAGCCTCTGCAGCAGTCGGAGAATCAGAACCTGTTGCCAGTGATGTTGCTGTTTCTGTTGCCAGTGATGTTGCTGCTGCTGTTGCCAGTGATGTTGCTGTTTCTGTTGCCAGTGATGTTGCTGCTTCTGTTGCCAGTGATGTTGCTGTTTCTGTTACCAGTGATGTTGCTAGTGATGTTGCTGTTTCTGTTACCAGTGATGTTGCTGTTTCTGTTACCAGTGATGTTGCTGTTTCTGTTGCCAGTGATGTTGCTGCTTCTGTTGCAAGTGCTGCTGATGCTGATTCTGTTTCTGTTGCTAGTGTTGATAATAAAACAATTGTTGATGATGTTGGACAAAGCATGGATGGTGCACCAATTGGTGGAGCTGGGGTTGTTGCTAGTGTTGGTGTATTGAGTGGAGGTGTAGATGCTTGCACGGATGGTTCTGCTGACGATGTGAAGGAAAGTTGTACAGTGGCTGATGATGTGCAGACGGGGAAGGACATGGGGGTTGGCAGGAAATCTGTGTCAGATCCTCCAGCAGTGACAGACGAGATAGGGATCGTGTTCAAACAGCAGAACCTCAGCATGGGTAGGTATTTAGGATCTCTCATTCTTCCTCTTTGCAGGGATAGATATTGTGCTGTTTTAGTTGCAAATGAACATGATAATGGTCTTTATTTGTGTACTAAAAAAACTGAGCATTTCAAGAAGAGAAAATATACAGTTTTTGACTTTTTGGGGTTAGGATTTAATATCATGAGCATGATAACATGTCTGTTACTTGGTCTTCACTATTGAGATATGCCCTCTCAGATATTGGTGTAAATAGAGTTGGCTTTATCTGATAAATTATGCTTTGTCCATGTTGTCCGCAGGTTTCACCAAGTTCTCGGAGATGTTTGATGAGAGCCTGAATGACTGGGAAGACTGGGACTCCCAGACTGGTGCACCTTATGAAGGTGGTGGACATACAACCTCCCAGACTGCTGTTCCTTCTGATGATGGTGGACATATGACCTCCCAGACTGTTGAACCTGCTGATGGTGGTGGACATACGACCTCCCAGACTGCTGTACCTTCTGATGGTGGTGGACATATGACCTCCCCGACCGTTGAACCTGCTGATGGTGGTGGACATACGACCTCCCAGACTGCTGTACCTTCTGATGGTGGTGGACATATGACCTCCAAGACTGCTGTACCTTCTGATGGTGGTGGACATATGACCTCCCAGACTGCTGTACCTTCTGATGGTGGTGGACATAGGACCTCCCAGACTGCTGTACCTTCTGATGGTGGTGGACATAGGACCTCGCAGACTGCTGTACCTTCTGATGGTGGTGGACATATGACCTCCAAGACTGTTGAACCTGCTGATGGTGGTGGACATACGACCTCCCAGACTGCTGTACCTTCTGATGGTGGTGGACATATGACCTCCCAGACTGTTGAACCTGCTGATGGTGGTGGACATAGGACCTCCCAGACTGCTGTACCTTCTGATGGTGATGGACATGTGACCTCCCAGACTGCTGTACCTTCTGATGGTGGTGGACATATGACCTCGCAGACTGCTGTACATTCTGATGGTGGTGGACCTACGACCTCCCAGACTGCTGTACCTTCTGATGGTGGTGGACAAACGACCTCGCAGACTGCTGTACCTTCTGATGTTGGTGGGCCTACGACATCACAGACTGTTGTAATAGCTGATGGTGGTGGACAAACGACCTCGCAAACTGTTGTAATGGCTGATGGTGGTGGACAAACGACCTCGCAAACTGTTGTAATGGCTGATGGTGGTGGACCTATGACCTCACAGACTGTTGTAATGGCTGATGATGGCGGACATACAACCTCACAAACTGGTGTAATGGCTGGTGGTGGCGGACATACAACCTCACAAACTGTTGTACCTGTTGTTGGTGGCGGACATATCTCACCCTCTACTTGCACTGATGGTACTGCTGGACATGCAAAAGGAGCGAAGGTGGGAATTGTTCTGCCAAAGTCACTATCAAGTAGTTTGAAACCAGGCAATGATAAATTGTACAACAATTTTCCTAGTGTGCATGGTAAAGATGTGAAGCCACATCAGGATGTGAATCCAACAAGTGTGAAGGTATCTGGTACAGTGGACAATGTTTTCACTCAGAATGAGGTGTACAGCAGTGTGGAGTATGCATCAGTTGTACAGGAACCTTATGTGAAGGATGATGCTCAAGAGCAGGTCAAGGCCTGCAGAGATCTCCCGAGCGGGTCCCAGTGGCTGCCCACCTCCCAGTACGTCCACAACATGGTGAAGGATGTCCAGGAAGAGCTGTTCAGTGACATAGAGTTCTCCCAGGTAGACGGGATAACATCAGAGACCAAAGAAGATGTCGGAGCTGAACCTGACAACAAGGATGAAGGACAAGATGAAGATCTTTGTTCTGCCACAAGTAAAAAGAAGTTGGCTTCAGAGAACATGTTGGCAGCTTCTGTTCACAACTCAAGAGGACAATGTGTGGAATCTGAATCATCAGTCAGTGTAAGTAAGATGACTGGTGCTGACTGGGTTCCTTCTGCTCCAGAGTGTCCCGGCAAGGAGGTGTTCAAGAAGCCTGATGTTCCAGGGAAGGCAAGCAATCAGAGGCCTCTGGTGCTGAGTGACTCAGACACGGATGCAATGCTGAGTGATATGGAGCTTTTTGAAACATGTGCCGAAGACACAGGGAAGCCTCTTGGCAGGTCAGCGCAAGAAAACCCTTATGTGTTCTCCAGTGATGTCAGTGGCTTTGAATCAAACAAGAGTGAAGACGATGTTAAGAATGAGCAAAAGTGTAATGTTCATCTACCAAATTGTGTAGCTGACTCATCCTTGAGTGACTCCGACACTGATTTGTATGTGACATCCACAGAAGAAATAAAGGAATTGTCTCCAGAAGTTAAGCATCAAAGTCCTAGAAAAAGCAAAATGTCCACAAGGTCAAGGACATCCAGAAAAGACTCTATTCTGCTTAGCAAATCATTGATGATTTGTGATTCTGATTCTGATGTCAATTGTGAGAGAAATGTTTCCCAAAACAGGAAAGGGCATTACTCAGAGACTTTTCTCAAGAAAAAACCAACATTAGTCAATGAATCTGACCCCGATATATTGTGGAGTGACTTGGAAACTTATGGTAAGTCTATAACGAAAGATGATCACAAAGATGGGACTGATTGTGACAAAGATATCAAGAATGAAAAGTTCGTGCCAAATGAAAATGAATGTCGATTAGAGAGTAATCAAACGGAAACATACAAAATGGGAAATACATCATTAGCTTTGGAAGAATCAAAGTCGACTGTCTCAGTGGCTATGGAAGACCAGGACAAACAGCAACCTGGCAGGTCAAACAGAGCAGGAAGTATTTCAGGATCAGAGTCAGTGTGGAGCGATCTGGAACAGGGTGAAGCAGAGATTCTTGAGGAGGAAACTGTTGGTTTGTCTCTTGTGACCGAAAGTGGTGTGTCTGTTAAAGCCTCATCAACTTGTCATCAGTTTGTAGCTGTAGATGACGAGATACAGATCAAAGCAGTCCTCAAGGATGAAAGACCAGAGACAGAAGAAGCCACTCTCAGAAGTGAATCTCAAGGTTCTGTGATCGCTGTTAGTCAGAGCAATGTAGCTGGAACAAGTAATTCAGCTCTGCTGAATATTGATTCCGCACAATTAATGTTGCCATCATTCTCTATTGCAAGAAAGGAGGTCTTTAACACGCAGGAAGGTGCAAGGCAACTGATTGATAACCCTGGCTCTCCTCATATACATTTGGGACATGTTGGTGATGTTCGGTTTCCTGAAACAATGAAGAAGTTATCAGATATGTCAAGCGCAGCATTCTCTGACTTCGCCACTGCTAGTGGTCAACAGTTCAACCAGGATCAGAAGCCTCTCCAGAAAGTCTCTGCCTTGCTTGAGTCTGATGCTGGTATGTCTGAAGAAACAGCTAGGTCTTTCCACACATGTCCTGAAACAGATATGTCTAAAACTGCGGCCTCTGGCTTTTCTACAGCCAGTGGTAAGAGGTTTAGCTTTGATCCAAAGTCTCTTCAGAAAGCCTCTGCCTTGCTTGAGTCTGATGCTGGTGTGTCTGAAGAAACAGATAGGTCTTTCCACACATGTCCTGAAACAGATATGTCTAAAACTGCCGGCTCTGGCTTTTCTACAGCAAGTGGTAAGAGGTTTAGCTTTGATCCAAAGTCTCTTCAGAAAGCCACTACATTGCTTGAAACAGGTGACAATGCTTCTGAAGTCAGGCAAAGTGCAAAAACCATCCATGACCTTTCAGAAAATGTCAGTGCAACATGCCTGGGTCATGCTGGATTTTCTACAGCAAGTGGCAGGAAGTTCAGCTTTGATCCAAAATCTCTTCAGAAAGCCACAGCATTGCTTGAAACTGATGTTAGTATATCTGAAGGAACACACAATTCAAAACCTTTCCATACGTCTCCTGAAAATGTCAATTCCCCAGATATTTCTCAAAGTGCAATGACAGGTTTTTCCACAGCAAATGGCAGGAAGTTCAGCTTTGATCCAAAGTCACTTCAGAAAGCCACTGCATTGCTTGAAACTAATGTTATAGCTGGGGGAACACACAATTCAAAACCTCATAAGTCTCTTGAAAATGTCAATTCCCCAGATATTTCCCGAAGTGCAATGACAGGTTTTTCAACAGCAAATGGCAGGAAGTTCAGCTTTGATCCAAAATCTCTTCAGAAAGCCTCTGCATTGCTTGAAACAGATGTTAGTATATCTGAAGTTGTGGACACTGATCAAGGGAAGGTGATTCCAGGACAGGGCACAAGGAAGAGCTGCTCTCGTTCCAGGCGACATAAGACATGCATTGACATAGCGGAGGTGACTGCTAGCTGTGCTGCAGACTCAACTGGCAATCTTCCATCTTTTTCTACAGCTAGTGGTAAAGAACTTTCTCTGAATAAAGATGCTCTTCAGGAAGCTCAGACCTTGATGAAATTAGAAGAAGGTTTAGGAACTGGTGTCAACGCATCAGTGAACCCAAAGTACAACAGAATTCCAGTTCAGAATAGTCTCAAGACTGCTAAAGACGTTCCTCATGGTGGTTGTGAACTAGAATCAATGCTTGATGACTTGCTCAAATCAAAGAAAAGTATGTTTGAAAAACAGTCCAAAGAGGGTGAGTCAAATAAAGATCTTAGTCTTGTTTCACACACATTACAGATAAAGAAAATTGAGGATGTGCTTCAAACTTCAGCTGACATCACGGGACAACCCACAGGATTTAGGTCACCTTCAGGAGGTTTTTCTACTGCTGGAAAGAAAGGTCTTCAGATTGTTGGCAGTAAAAGCATGAAAAAGGGAGACCCAATGTTGAAACCTAAAGGTTTCAGGCCATTCAAAAAGCCCAGGATTGTTCCAAAGCCTAAGACGGTAGACTCCCCCACGAAACATATGGAGGTGGATTCTTCACTGACATCTTCTGGTTTTGCTGCAGAAGGAGGTGGAGAACCTGGTGGTCGATGGCAGACCACTCCTGAGGACTTGGCAACTAAACAGGATACTGACTCCGAGCTATCTGAGATTATGCTGCTTGAGTTCTCACACGACATGACAGAGTTGTCTCAGTGTGGTTATAAACCTGGTGCTCCACAAGATCTGGTTCAAACAGGTGATCAAGGACACTCTCAAGCAGGGGCCACAGTACAAGCAGGTGCTGTCACTAGTAATGCAGATTGTGATCAAGATGATGACACTGAAAGGGACCGTGGAGCTGATACTGAAAACTTTCTGTCCTGTGAAACACCTTCTAGTAGAGAAAGTCACCAAACTGACACAACCTTTAAAAGGTTTCATAGTTACGGGAAGGATAAGATATGTGAACAAATTTCTGAGAAAAAGAATGTCAAGTCACATCCATTCAACACAGCATCGGAGAAAAGAGGAATTATATCTGAGGAAGCATTGAAGTCGGCCAGATCTCTAATGCCTGAAGGTGAAGGTCATACTGCAGAGAGCCAGGCACTGCTGGAGGAGGAACTATTTCGAGGAGATATGAGCAGCCAGCTTGATGTTAGGGCAGTGTCAGCTGGGATGGAAAAAACGTGTGATGGAAGTCACCCGACCAGTGCTCCTGTGTTTAGCCTAGGGAAAGGAGCATTTTATCCTGAGCGAGATTCTGGTTCAGGTGGTGGGTTAGTTGAAGTGAGGGTTGCTGAGTTTGGAGGGACTGGCTTCCAGACAGCTTCAGGGAGGCAGGTGTGTCTTTCAGAAGAGGCACTTAGACATGCAAAAGTGCTGTGGAATGATCTTCCAAGTTCCGATTTAAAAGCAGATGCTGCTTTAGAAGAAAGTGCTGAAAAGCAGAATATGAAGATGTTGAATGTTTGTGATGAGCAATTAGATCATGTAGTGCCGAATATTTGTAACAGTGATAGAGAAGGTGCAGGGAAGGACACTGTGGATGATCAGAGAACTGATGAAACATCTACCTCTATGGATCAAGAGGCACCAAGGTGTTCACGTGGAAACAGGAATTTGGTTTCAAATCTAATCTGTAATGATGATCACATGAAGATGTCATCAAATCCTTTCCAGACAGCCTCTGGGAAGGGAGTCAGTGTTTCTGCAGCTGCTCTGAATCAAGCCAGGCAAGTGATGAGTGAGTGTAGGGACATGGTTCATGTGTCAGACGATCCAGGCGTAAGGAATGTTACGTCTTCATTAGATGCCATACATGTGGTTAACACAAGGGAAACAGACCGTATGTCATTGTCCAGCCTGTTCCAAACAGCATCAGGGAAGGGGGTTACGGTGTCCGATAGTTCCCTTTCAGCAGCCAGGAAGACGATGACTGATGACTGTGTTAGTAGACCTTCCACCTCGCATGACCTGTTTCAAACTGCATCTGGAAAAGGTGTCACTGTGAACAAGCAGTCCCTGGCTGAGGCAAGGAAGCTGATGAAGGATGCGGATGAAACCCAATTACCAACAACACCTTCTTCAAGTTTGTTTCAAACAGCATCTGGAAATGCAGTGACAGTATCTGACAGTGCTTTAGTCAAATCAAGGGAAATTTTCGCAGATGAACAGTCCAAACATGCCAGTCTGTTCAAGACAGCATCGGGCACCTCAGTTGGTGTTTCAGCAAATGCTTTGGTAGAAGCCCAGAATTTGCTACAAGACAATTGTGATTCATCAATGATGTCCTCTAAGTGTCTCTTCCAAACAGCTTCGGGAACCTCAGTTGGAGTTTCATCAAATGCTTTGGTAGAAGCACAGAAACTGCTACAAGACAATTGTGATTCATCAATGATGTCCTCTAAATCTCTCTTCCAAACAGCTTCTGGGGTTTGTGTAGGAGTTTCCACTGAAGCATTAGCCAAAGGAAGGAGAATATTGGAAGAGGGAAATGAACCACCCACAGCAATGGACCCCTCTGGGAGTGTGCTCCAGACTGATTCTGGCAGAGTTGTGTGTTTGTCCGAGTCTTCGTCCAGGAAGCTGCTTGATGATACAGGTGAGGAAGGTGTGGTCCCTGAATGTGGAAGCTGTTCTGTGAACGTTCATCAGACCAGATCTGACGAGGAACTTCACACGCTAGATGGACAGAGAAAATATGGTGAGTTACGTTAAAACTATTGTGTTGATCATGTTGATAATCTGGTTTGATTATCATGATTATGTTAATATTGAAATTTTAAAACTTGTATATTGAAAGTATATTGGGAAAAAAAAGTAATTAAAGCAGGAATTTACCTGGGTTAGGAGTCCAGGGGGCTCACTTGTAGGGTGCCCAGGTTAACATGGGGGTGACCAGGTCCCAAGCTACAAATGTCAAAACTTGTGGGCAGTGTGGGCAGGCTGGGCCTTTTTGGTTATTTGTTTTATTATTTTAACTAGTTAATTAACTAGTATGTAACCAAGTATGTGTACCATCAACCTCCCTGCATTAACAAGCATTCAAACTCCTATTGCCGCCATAGCCATAACATGAGATTGTCAGTAAAGCAGTGCCCATGTAAAGCGAAGTAACTGTGTGCTATATTGGATCGCATTGTTTATAAATTTGTAATAATTTGAATTTTTTGAAAATGGAAATAAAAACGAAACGTGCAGCGAACTTTATGATGATACGGGCGGTGCCTGAGAACCAAGACTATTATTTTTTTTAGCCTAGAGGATATTTGTATATCATGTTTATCTCATTGAATAACCTAACAAAGTTCATTCACCTGCTGAGGCTAATAGTTTGGAATTCTATTTTTTATTTGTGTCTGTCTCGTCTACAGGTCTAGTCCGTCACACTATTCAATTAGAATGTCATGTTACTCTTGACAATACATTTCTCCTCAGGTCACAGAGGCGGATCTAAAACTCCAATGATGTCATCACCTGAATGTAAGATTGGTTTCATCAATTCCTTGTTCTTTTGCTAATAAAAGAATGTTAAGTTATGAATTCTTATGTTTGCTTAAAACAAAGGGATCGGAGACATATTGCTTTTGGCTCAGTTCCAGTTGCCGTTGGTGTCAGCATCTGCGTTCCCATCCAATTCCGAGCCATAACTTGAAAAACCTTCATTGTTTTTCAATGAAACATGGCATGTGCATTGCTCATGAACTTAACTGGTGTCTTTTGCCATTTTAATTCTTTTTTTTTAATTTTACTTTGTTACTTTTCCACTTGAACTTAGTCTCAAACAATTCTAAGCTTCATTTACGAGCCATAACACTCAAGCTAATAAATACTTTTGCATGAAACTATACATGTACAATGACTACATCATGTACATGCTCAAGTAATGCCTTTTCATATTTTCAATTCTTATCTTTATCATGTTTCTCCGTTGAAACAATTTGGAAATTCTTGAGAGTCTTTCTACAAGGTTGGAGCTGCGGATTGTTCATTATAGGTACATCCACTTGCAACAAGAGTCAGCATGACATCACCGTAAAAGGCGACTATGCTTGTCGTAAAAGGCGACTAACGGGATGGGTGGTCAGGCTCGCTGACTTGGTTGATGCATGTCATTGATCCCAATTGCGTGGATCGTAGTCATGATATCAATCACTGGATTGTCTGGTCCAGACTCGATTATTTACCGACCGCCGTTATATAGCTGGAATATTGCTGAGTGCGGCGATAACCAACCAACATGACATCAACTGTAATGCTGCTTCAGTGATGCATTAATCAGTATCTGTACTGCTATACATTTGCCAATGTTCTTCCGATTTGCGAACACATTTGTAATATCAACCGGAAGTGATGTATCAAGAGAAGTAGTGGGGAGACATCTGTTTTTATGAGTAAATACACATTCTAGTTGTACCTGTGCTCGAGAATCCGGATCAATATACTTGTTTGTGTAAAACAACTAAAAACTTATCAAAACATAAGATGAGTCCAGTTTTTGTTGTAAAATCTTTACGTAAAATTCCATTAAAGCTTAGTGTAAACTAAAGCTTTTCTGTTTGTCATAATTTTGCTAAAATCTTGAAAACATCCCATATAACTAGATCGAGGGATGCAACAAAACCGATCAGCAGGGTCAAACACAAACGCAAAACATAAGTGGCAGTAATGAGACAAAGGCAGAACCAGGTGTCCCCATGTTTCCCAACAGACCGATGAGCCTGCATTCGCATACAGATGATTCCACATTTTAGATTAGACTTGACAGCTTGTGTTTTTACTGACCACGCCATAAAAATAATGACTACTGACTCAACAGCCCCTAAATTTTGCTAACTACTAACTTGTAACACTCTTGATTGTTTACTTGACTGCCGTTAATTTCCTCAACAGCCACCCACCTCGACCGGCTGGTGAAAGGAGGTCGTAGGCTGCAGCCACTCACGTCCACCTCCCTCAGGACAACACCCAGGTATCATCCATCACCGAACGTAGTGTTCAGTTGAAACCATAATTGATCAATCATAATTTGCCCGCTTTTATAGCACCAGGTTTTCGAAACTCTCCCTAGTCTGCTAGCCAGATACTAAATTTTGCTAAGGACAAGTCAACGTTAGAAATTGGCACTAGTCCTGTAGTCCTGGCCAAACTGCCCAATAGTTAAGGTATCATGAGGACTAGTAGAAATTTGTCATTGTTAAGGGTTTTGCTATGTGTTGTCATTATAAGAACTAGTGGACTAAATTTGTTAGAGTCTACCCCTGCAAGTGAAAATCCAGTGATCTGATCAATGGTGATGGTAGTCCTCATTGACTTGCAGCATTTGAGGGCTGAACCAGTTCTCAAGGCTTCAATTTTGCTACAAACGGGAACTCAATGAAACTGACAGAAAATGTTAATGTCGCATACAGGATTGTCTTGTTCAAACACTAGGAATAATGAAATAAGTTTCTACAAGGGCTGGGAAGGGTAACATGGGTACTCAGGTCTGATGGGTCCTGAGTAGAACCCAGGTACCCTCACGTCTACCCGGACCCATGGTCAGTCATGTGATATACTGTTTAATGACATTAACAATAGAACTCGATGGTTACACTACAAGTAGCTAATGTTCCCATTTCTTTCTGACTATGCAAGCATTCATTCTGACTTTTATGTGTTCGAGTAAGAAGTCTATCAACTTCAGTGTATGTATGGTCAGATGGCGTTTATACATATATCTAAATAGTGTTTGCCAGGGCTGCAGTAAAACAACATTTTGTACCCAACTATTGACACCTACAGTGGGTACCCAGCTAAGGTCAGGTACCCAGCTAAGGTCAGGTACCCAGGAAATAAATTTCAACTTCATTTGCAGAAAATATTCAATTTTATTCAACATTGTAGGTACGTCTTATACACAGCGAAAAAATATTACACAATTACTGAATTTATATTGTTAAATGACAGAACGAACCTCTCTTTTTCCTAAAAGCTGTATCTGCACTTAGATGGCCATTGTATTCTCTGATTAAATTGATGCAGGTCTGGTGACTATGATCTTGATGCTATTCTGAACAAGTCATCCGAGAAGCTGACACCAAGCACTACCTCCAGCTTCAAGACTCCCTACAAGAACACTGCATTCATCACTCCTGTCCGCAAGGCCAGTGTTCAGGACAAACACACACCAGGGGAATCAAACAAAACACCTGTATTCTACCCCAAAGCATCACTGAGAGCCAATCAAAAACAGGCTAGGAACTGTCCAACCAATCACAGCGGAGAAAGACCTGTCTTAGACAGACATAGTTCTTGCAAAAACAGTCCAACCAGTACAAGATCTGGTTCAGGCAACAACACCACTGATGAAACTAGGCCGTCTGTTACAAGTTCAAGGTCAACTTCAGGATCGGTTATTTCCCATAGAGCAAGTCCCATGACAATGCAGAACAGCAGTGGGAAAGCAATGAGCACTGATAGTAGAAGACAGACCCGTGAGTCTGTTGTCAGCGAACCCCTTGGGCAGAACACAGAATGTGTACAGGCAGTTGGAGTTGGTCACATGTCTCAGCCTGGCAATGCCAAGTTAAGTTCGGTTCAGGCAAGTGACGCAGCTGCTGCTTCTATAGACCTGAAGCACCACCTGCAGGAAGTGCGGCAGAAACAAGGGGAGATAATTCAGAGGAAGAAGAAGCAGAAGGTTCGCCCGAGTTGTGGCCGTCTGTTGAGGGAGAAGCAGTCTCCGGGGTTGAAACTCCAGCACAGAGACCTGGTGGTCGAGGGATCCTTTAGTGATCAGGAGGTGAGATAGAGGTCATGTCAGGTGTTTTATGGAGGTCATGTCTGGGATGTGTGTGTGGAGGTCATGTCAGGTTTGTTTGTGGAGGTCATGTCTGGGATGTGTTTGTGGAGGTCATGTCTGGGATGTGTTTGTGGAGGTCATGTCTGGGATTTGTTTGTGGAGGTCATGTCTGGGATGTGTTTGTGGAGGTCATGTCTGGGATGTGTTTGTGGAGGTCATGTCTGGGATGTGTTTGTGGAGGTCATGTCAGGTGTGTTTGTGGAGGTCATGTCTGGGATGTGTTTGTGGAGGTCATGTCTGGGATGTGTTTGTGGAGGTCATGTCTGGGATGTGTTTGTGGAGGTCATGTCTTGGATGTGTCTGTGGAGGTCATGTCTGGGATGTGTTTGTGGAGGTCATGTCTGGGATGTGTTTGTGGAGGTCATGTCTGGGATGTGTTTGTGGAGGTCATGTCTGGTGTTTGTGGAGGTCATGTCTGGGATGTGTTTGTGGAGGTCATGTCTGGTGTTTGTGGAGGTCATGTCTGGGATGTGTTTGTGGAGGTCATGTCTGGTGTTTGTGGAGGTCATGTCTGGGATGTGTTTGTGGAGGTCATGTCAGGTGTTTGTGGAGGTCATGTCAGGTGTTTGTGGAGGTCATGTCAGGTGTTTGTGGAGGTCATGTCTGGGGTGTGTTTGTGGAGGTCATGTCTGGGATGTGTTTGTGGAGGTCATGTCTGGGATGTGTTTGTGGAGGTCATGTCTGGTGTTTGTGGAGGTCATGTCTGTGATGTGTTTGTGGTGGTCATGTCTGATGTGTTTGTGGAGGTCATGTCTGTGATGTGTTTGTGGAGGTCATGTCTGTGATGTGTTTGTGGAGGTCATGTCTGGGATGTGTTTGTGGAGGTCATGTCTGGGATGTGTTTGTGGAGGTCATGTCTGGTGTTTGTGGAGGTCATGTCTGGTGTTTGTGGAGGTTATGTCTGGTGTTTGTTGAGGTCATGTCTGGTGTTTGTGGAGGTCATGTCTGGTGTTTGTGGAGGTCATGTCAGGTGTGTTTGTGGAGGTCATGTCTGTGATGTGTTTGTGGAGGTCATGTATGTGATGTGTTTGTGGAGGTCATGTCTGTGATGTGTTTGTGGAGGTCATGTCTGGTGTTTGTGGAGGTCATGTCTGGGATGTGTTTGTGGAGGTCATGCTGGGATGTGTTTGTGGAGGTCAGGTCAGGTCAGGTGTGTATTCTTTTACTGAAGCCTGTATTCCAGACTGGAGGTGTGCTCTATGCTCTATGACATGCTCAAGAACTGGATGTATGTATTATGTGTGCATTATGATGTGTACATACCTGTACTTTAATCAAGTGTTTACAGCATGTCATCTGTCTCCAGCTCTGTTCCATGGGAGTAAGACGGGAGATTTCTGACATCGGCAGCAACACCGCTGAGGACTTCCGCTTCAACCTGCTCCTCTACTACCCCAACATGACGAGTGGCGTTCTGGTTGGAGACGGAGCACTCTTGGTTCCTGACGACTCAGGGTTTGCTGGCAAGGAGGAATTTCACAGGTCACCGTTCCACCTTGGAATTATCAAATCCCATAGCATACCCCTCCTCTATTATCCAGTGTGTTAGGTCTCCCTGGTATTATGATACATCCCCTTCACATTTTCACCACTATTAGGGGTGAAACAATACAGAAAGGTCATGATATGATACATATCGTGATACCAAGGTCACAATACGATACTTATCACGATACGCATGTTAACGTAATGTCGCAAGAAAATTCCATGACTATTTATATTTCGGAGTAGGTTCAGAAGAGAAAGCTGTCTGTTGACACATTTTTGCAGCCTCTATATCTAGTAGTGCACTTGAAATGCTAATAACCATACGTTTTGGGATATTTGCGATATTTACCAGCACACACACATGCACGCACGCATGCATGCACTTCGCAGTGTAAGTGAATTAATTTTGAATACAACATTTAACCCCATTTCCCAAACCCCACCTTACGTTGAAATGACACATCGAGCAATAATAGTAATATTTAAAAAAAATTCTTCATGGTTTCATTCGCATATCAGGTCCTTCGTCAGCCTTGAGAGTGTTGATCCAGCTTTGATCTCCGATGTCTGGGTGTTTAACCACTACCGGTGGATTGTGTGGAAACTGGCCTCCTATGAGACGTCGTATCCGGCACAGCTTGCTGGAAGGTGAGTTAATCCAGTTCTGATCTCTGATATCTGTGTGTATGACCACTGGCGCTGGATTGTGTGATGTACATGTGACGTATCCGTCACAGTTTGCTGGAAGGTGAGTTAATCCAGTTCTGATCTCTGATATCTGTGTGTATGACCACTGGCGCTGGATTGTGTGATGTACATGTGACGTATCCGTCACAGTTTGCTGGAAGGTGAGTTAATCCAGTTCTGATCTCTGATATATGTGTGTATGACCACTGGCGCTGGATTGTGTGATGTACATGTGACGTATCCGGCACAGTTTGCCGGAAGGTGAGTTAATCCAGTTCTGATCTCTGATATATGTGTGTATGACCACTGCCTCTGGATTGTGACGTATTTAGCTCAGTTTGGTGGAATGTGCGTTGACGAGGCTCCGATCTCCAGTGTGTAAGTGTACAACCATGACCAGTGGATTGTTAGATGCATGTGAGACGTTGTATAGGGGACAGTGCTAGGAGTTGAGTACTAGCAATATTTTGGTGAATAATCACATGCATAATGAGAAATGTTATGAAAAATTAAAACAATGAAAATTTAGTTAGAGCTCACTGCGTTTCTTTGTAATGAGCTTGGCCAAGACTTGACCATTACAGGCTGCCATGTTGTAGCCATAATTGTGCTGACCACAGCATGGAACAACATTCATTCACGCACTCACACTTGCTATCAGATGCAGATGTAATTCCATACCAGGACACTCTGTGACATACCAGGACACCCTGTAACACCCTATGACATACCAGGACACCCTGTGATATACCAGAACACCATGTAACACCCTATGACATACCCGGACACTCTGTGACACACCAGGACACCCTGTAACATACAAGGACACTTGTGGACACCCTGTGACATTCCAGGACACTCTGTGACATACAAGGACACCATGTAACACCCTGTGACATTCCAGGACACTCTGTGACATACCAGGACACTCTGTGACATACCAGGACACTCTGTGACATTCCAGGACACTCTGTGACATTCCAGGACACTCTGTAACACCCTGTGACATACCAGGACACTCGTTGACACCCTGTGACATTCCAGGACACTCTGTGACATCCCTGGACACCCTGTAACACCCTGTGACATACCCAGACACTCTGTGACACCCTGTTATTCACTTTCTTCATCAGGTGTCTGACCCCAAACAATATGATGCTGCAGCTCAAGTACCGCTATGACCGGGAAGTGGATCGTTGTCAAAGGTGAGGTCAGAGTATGTGAGGGAGCAGCAATAGGAAGTAACAGTTTCAGCCCTTAGCAAAACCTTTAAAAAGGGCAAATTTCTAGTAGTCCTTAGGTCAGTGTTTGTGAGAGAGGGTCAGTGTGTCTAAGGGCGGGGGTTGCTTGGGGGGAGTGAGGATGGGGGGAGGGGGAGTCCGCCCCTATTATGTGGTCTCTCAGCTGGTTGATTTCAATAGATAAAACTATTGCATTGTTTGTTTTCTCATAATTAAGATATTTTACTGACATGAGAGCACTGTTCTGCTGCTAACAGCAACTTAAATCCCTATACCCTCAGAGTCTGGTTCTTTGTATGTAAAACTCTCTTTGAAAGACTATACATTTCTGATGTACCTGTCTTGTTGCATGCTTACTGTTTTTTCCTCTCTCTCAGGTCAGCCCTGAAGAAAATTGTTGAGCGAGACGATGCTGCCTGCAAGAGGATGGTCCTGTGCGTGTCGGGGATCAGGGTCACCCAGTCAGGACCAGACACTGTGGGGGCTGGACAGGTGAGAGGACAGGTGTGTGTGGTGTGTGTCGGGGGGATCAGGGTCGCCCAGTCGGGACCAAACACTGTGGGGGCAGGACAGGTGAGAGGATAGGTGTGTGTCGGGATCAGGGTCGCCCAGTCAGCACCGGACACTGTGGGGGCAGGACAGGTGAGAGGACAGGTGTGTGTGGTGTGTGTCGGGGGGATCAGGGTCACCCAGTCAGGACCAAACACTGTGGGGGCAGGACAGGTGTGTGTCGGGATCAGGGTCGCCCAGTCAGCGCCGGACACTGTGGGGGCAGGACAGGTGAGAGGACAGGTGTGTGTGGTGTGTGTCGGGGGGATCAGGTTCCCCCAGTCAGGACCAGACACTGTGGGGCAGGACAGGTGAGAGGACAGGTGTGTGTGGTGCGTGTCGGGGGGATCAGGGTCGCCCAGTCAGGACCAGACACTGTAGGGGCAGGACAGGTGTGTGTGGTGTGTGTCGGGGATCAGGGTCCCCCAGTCAGGACCAGACATTGTGGGGGCAGGACAGGTGAGAGGACAGGTGTGTGTGGTGTGTCGGGGATCAGGTTCCCCCAGTCAAGACCGGACATTGTGGGGGCAGGACAGGTGAGAGGACAGGTGTGTCTGTGTGTCGTGTGGTGTGTGCTGTGCTGTGTGTGTGTGTGTCTGTCTGTCTGTGTGTGTGCTGTGTGACAGGGATCAGAGTCTACCACTCAGGGCAGGACAGGTGACAGAACAAGTTACTTACTATGGGAAGTTTTCACACAAGTGGTCATACAAGAGTGAACACAGAACTGCAAGTATTTCTGGTGTTAATCAGGGTGTATTTAATTTCAGTGTGTGGTAGAGCTGACTGATGGGTGGTACTGCATCAAGGGTCAGCTGGACGTGGGCCTGGCGGGGCTGGTGGCCAGCAAGAAAATCTCCGTAGGTCAGAAGATCTGTGTCAGTGGGGCGGAGCTGGCAGGGTCCCAGGAGGCGTGTCCCCCACTGGAGGTGAGTCAGGAAGGGGACAAAAGTGCTGACCCGTGAAGATCCGGGTTAGAATAGGTCTCCAGCAATCCATGCTTGCCGTAACTGGCGACTTATCAGGTGGTCAGACTCGCTGACTTGGTTGATGCATGTCATCGGATCTAAATTGCTTAATGCAGATCAATGCTCATGATATCAATCACTGGATTGTCTGGTCCAGATTCGATTGTGTATGTATAGCATGAGTATTGCTGAGTGCAGCGTTAAACTAGAAACAAACTGTAGTGCTTGTAGTTGTGCAGCTGATACTATCTGTGGGGATTCCAGGTTACAATAGGTCCCCAGCAACCTATGCTGGCTATACAGGTGACCAAATGGATCGGGTGGTCATGTTGGTGACTTGGTTCATAGCATGTCATTGTACCCTGATGGTGTGGATCGCTGCTCAGAATACCAATCATTTGATTGTCTGGTCCAAACTCCAATAAACATTTCACTAGAATATTGCAGAATGAGGCATTAAAAAACAAGACATCAAACAACTGTTAGTCATGTAGATTATGCTGATATTACAAGGTTTGTGGCTTCACCATTTGTGTAGCTTCAGCTGACATAGTTGTTTGCACTGAATGGCCCAGAGGTACAAGGTGCCGACATTTTGCGAAAGAGTTACGTCCCTTAGTCCTTTAGGATACTGCTTTCTTTGTCAGGACCATACCATGCTTTGGGGTTTAACATCTCCAGGCTGCGGGACCCGTGAAGATTGGGGGTAGAATAGATCTTCAGCAACCCATGCTTGCTGTAAAAGGCGACTAACGGGATCGGTTGGTCAGGCTCGGTGACTTGGTTGATGCATGTCATCGATCCCAATTGTGGATCGATTTACATGATGTCAATCACTGGATTGTCTGGTCCAGGCTCTTCCAATCAGGTGAGTGAGTCCATGTAAAAATGGTTTGATTATGTCCTATTTGCCAAAGTTACTGAGCCCGTGAAAATCAGATAGTAGAATAGATCTTCAGCAACCCATGCTTGCTGTAAAAGGCGACTATGCTTGTCGTAAAAGGCGACTAACGGGATCGGGTGGTCAGGCTCGGTGACTTGGTTGATGCATGTCATCGATCCCAATTGTGTGGATCGATGTTCATGATATTAATCACTGGATTGTCTGGTCCAGACTTGATTATTTAGAGACCGCCGTCATATAGCTGGAATACTGCTGAGTGCGGCGTTAAACAACAAACCAACCAACCAAAGTTACTGCCCTTGCACCTATATAACCAGACTGATGTTGTGATGCAGATACCAGATTCCCTGTTTCTGAAGATATGCATGAACTCTACTCGACCTGCACCAGGAGACAGCAAGCTTGGCTATCAACGTGACCCCCGACCTCTCTGTGTACCAATCAGCACCCTGCATGCAGAGGGGGGCGTGGCTGGATGTGTGGATGTTGTGGTCACTAGGATATATCCCGTCATGGTTGGTGTCTTTCTTCAAGTGATCACAGGGTTTCAGATTTTTTCCTGAGCCATTGACTTATATGTTATTGTTCTTATCATGCTTATAGGGTAGCTATGGTTTTCTTTGGGTATTCGGGGGCACGGGTGGCCCAGTCGTCTAAGGCGCCGCGATTAACTGTGCAGAGTTGCGTCCCTTGGACACGCCAGAAACCTATGATTGTGGGTTCAAATCCCGGTTCGCCCCGATTATGTTTCTTGATTTGTCAGCACCATACCCATGCTCGTGGGTCTCACCGAAGTGGTAAACGTCTGAGACCTGCATCACATCGGGCTTTCCACCCACATTAAGCTGACACGCCACAATATAACTGGAATACTGTTAAAAAGCGGCGTTAAACCAAACTCACTCACTCACTCACTCTTTGGGTATTCAATATTCTTTTCACCCTTGGGTCGATTCTGATAGGTATTATAAACCAATTTAGCAGTAATATAATGACTGGCCCTAGACACTTCCCCATGTTCACAAAGCGCCAATCCCCAAGAAGCATACACAGTGATACCCCGATGGTTAGAGTATACTCACTGCCAAAAGAAAAGCGAATATCATACATGTTGGTTAATATATGAAGACTTACTCATATTCAAGAGCTATTAAATTGGTTCGATGCACACACGAACATACTGGTATGTTGTGTGAACGCATCCCATGTGACGCCGTGGATCCATTTGCCTTGTGTAGGATTAGCGTGTAAAGTTTGAAAATCACGTGCAGCATATCGTGATAAGAATAAAGACACTCTGTGGTAACATTTGACTGCTTGTTAGTTTTGTCATTAAGTGGTACACATTGGAAACATCTCTTCTTAACATACTTCTCAAAATGTTTGTATTGTTCGCGTTTCTTTTGGCAGTGAGTATATTTCCTTGCTAGCCTGAAGACCTGTTAGCGCTAGCCATGCAATGGTCCAAGCTCTATGTTAAACTATTGGAGTTACAACCATCAGCTGCCACCGTCTCTGTAGAAACAGGATCCTGGGTTTGAAACCGACATAGACACAATTCCTTTTGTTGTGTTGCCCAGTACATGGAGAAGCTGGTTGAGGGGGGGAGCGTGTTCCGGACAGAAGAGGTAGAGGAGCGGGTGCAGCGACGGTTTGACAGACACAAGCAGGACAAGATGGAGAAGCTATACACAGAACTGCAGGCTAGCCTTGAGCAGGACCAGTCGAGAGGTTCGGTTCGGTGATAGTTGATCTTTAGACAAATGGTCTTGATAATAAAAGTTGTCTGAGTGCGTATATAGTGTATAGCCAGACAAGAAATTTATCTCACAGACATATTTTACTGTAACATTGTCAAAGAATTAACACAAATTCAAAATTGAGAGAAAACAGCTGGGGTTAACTTGTGCTATGTCATTCATTTTGCTTTGAAACCAGGTATAAGAGATTTATTGCCCCTCTGAAAAATTTATTCCCCTCTAAGGCAGGTTACACAGTATTTAATCAAGATCACGTTGGCCAATCAGATCTCGTCATTCTGACATCGAGGTATGATAAATAACCTTACCGGCACCATTTTACAGACATTGTGACAGCTAGCAGATGAGGCATCAGAGTTATCACCCTAGCATTACAGTTGGACATTGGATACGCTCAGTTATGTTCACTAAGTGCATCTGACAGGTGTTCAAGCAGGTTCAAGGCTTTTTGATCATATTGTAATCGCTTTGGTTCGAATTTTGGCATTTCCCAGCTGGGTTTACAAAACTTGTACCATATCTGTCAGTGGTGTACATGGGAAACAATTGCCCTGTCAGTAACCAATCAGAAACATGTATCTTGATTCAAGGTAAGGTAGTAACCAGTGTAAATATGGTAAAGGTGAGTTACATCAATGACTTTCATAACATTGTCAATTCATACTGAGATGTCATGTTTCGGAGGCGAGAACAGTGGTGATTTAATTTTGTATTACAATGTCATCTTGAATACAGTTGAAAGATTTCCTGGTTTAGGTCGACGTAAATCTCGGAAGCGCTGGTCACAGCGTGAGGTGGAGGATCTCCAGACTGGCCAGGAGATTTACGATGCTGTTGAGGGGTCACTGCAACCAGAGGAGGTCCATGTGAGTTGTCTCCCCTTTGACCCCTTTGTATAATCCCAAGGGCTGACCCCAATGTACTATCAATACAGTCCATCAATGCCCCTGTCCCATGTCCATGAATCTCCCTGTCCCATGCCAATCAATCTCCCTGTCCCTAGTCCATCAGTGTTCATCAGTCCATGAACCTCCCTATCCCATGTCCATCAATCTCCCTGTCCCATGTCCATCGATCTCCCTGTCCCATGTCCATCAATCTCCCTGTCCCATGTCCACCAGTCCATCAATCTCCCTCTCCCATGTCCATCAATCTCCCTGTCCCATGTCCATCAGTCCATCAATGCCCCTATCCCATGTCCATCAATCTCCCTGTCCCATGTCCATCAATCTCCCTGTCCCAAGTCCATCAGTCCATCAATCTCCCTCTCCCAAGTCCATCAATCTCCCTGTCCCATGTCCATCAATCTCCCTGTCCCATGTCCATCAGTCCTTCAATCTCCCTGTCCCAAGTCCATCAGTCCATGAACCTCCCTATCCCATGTCCATCAATCTCCCTGTCCCATGTCCATCAATCTCCCTGTCCCATGTCCATCAATCTCCCTGTCCCATGTCCATCAGTCCATCAATCTCCCTGTCCCAAGTCCATCAGTCCATCAATCTCCCTGTCCCATGTCCATCAATCTCCCTGTCCCATGTCCATCAGTCCATCAATCTCCCTGTCCCAAGTCCATCAGTCCATGAACCTCCCTATCCCATGTCCATCAATCTCCCTGTCCCATGTCCATCAATCTCCCTGTCCCAAGTCCATCAGTCCATCAATCTCCCTGTCCCAGGTCCATCAGTCCCATCAATCTCTCTGTCCCAAGTCCATCAGTCCATCAATCTCCCTGTCCAAAGTCGAAGCGCCGGGCCATGAAGTATAGCCCCTCTTTAAGTCCATGTGTCTCAAGTCTCTATACCTCTCTGTCTACAGAGTTGGTTGAGTGAGAACCAGGCCGTGGAGTGTAGCCCCCCTTTAAGTACATGTGTCTCCAGTCTCTATGCCTCTCTGTCTCTCTGTCTACAGAGCTGGCTGAGTGAGCACCAGGCCGTGGAGTGTAGCCCCCCTTTAAGTACATGGGTATCCAGTCTCTATGCCTCTATGTCTACAGAGCTGGCTGAGTGAGCACCAGGCCGTGGAGTGCAGCCCCCTTTTAAGTACATGTGTCTCCAGTCTCTATGCCTCTATGTCTACAGAGCTGGCTGAGTGAGCACCAGGCTGTGGAGTGTAGCCCCCCTTTAAGTACATGTGTCTCCGGTCTCTATGCCTCTGTGTACAGAGCTGGCTGAGTGAGCACCAGGCCGTGAAGTGTAGCCCTCCTTTAAGTACATGGGTCTCCAGTCTCTATGCCTCTGTGTACAGGGCTGGCTGAGTGAGCACCAGGCTGTGGAGTGTAGCCCCCCTTTAAGTACATGTGTCTCCAGTCTCTATGCCTCTATGTCTACAGAGCTGGCTGAGTGAGCACCAGGCCGTGGATTGGAGCCCCCCTTTAAGTACATGGGTCTCCAGTCTCTATGCCTCTACATCAACAGAGCTGGCTGAGTGAGCACAAGGCTGTGGATTGTAGCCCCCCTTTAAGTACATGGGTCTCAAGTCTCTATACCTCTCTGTCTACAGAGTTGGTTGAGTGAGAACCAGGCCGTGGAGTGTAGCCCCCCTTTAAGTACATGTGTCTCCAGTCTCTATGCCTCTCTGTCTCTCTGTCTACAGAGCTGGCTGAGTGAGCACCAGGCCGTGGAGTGTAGCCCCCCTTTAAGTACATGGGTATCCAGTCTCTATGCCTCTATGTCTACAGAGCTGGCTGAGTGAGCACCAGGCCGTGGAGTGTAGCCCCCTTTTAAGTACATGTGTCTCCAGTCTCTATGCCTCTATGTCTACAGAGCTGGCTGAGTGAGCACCAGGCTGTGGAGTGTAGCCCCCCTTTAAGTACATGTGTCTCCGGTCTCTATGCCTCTGTGTACAGAGCTGGCTGAGTGAGCACCAGGCCGTGAAGTGTAGCCCCCCTTTAAGTACATGGGTCTCCAGTCTCTATGCCTCTGTGTACAGGGCTGGCTGAGTGAGCACCAGGCTGTGGAGTGTAGCCCCCCTTTAAGTACATGTGTCTCCAGTCTCTATGCCTCTATGTCTACAGAGCTGGCTGAGTGAGCACCAGGCCGTGGATTGGAGCCCCCCTTTAAGTACATGGGTCTCCAGTCTCTATGCCTCTACATCAACAGAGCTGGCTGAGTGAGCACAAGGCTGTGGATTGTAGCCCCCCTTTAAGTACATGGGTCTCCAGTCTCTATGCCTCTATGTCTACAGAGCTGGCTGAGTGAGCACCAGGCCGTGAAGTGTAGCCCCCCTTTAAGTACATGTGTCTCCAGTCTCTGTGCCTCTCTATCAACAGAGCTGGCTGAGTTAGCACCAGGCTGTGGAGTGTAGCCCCCCTTTAAGTACATGGGTCTCCAGTCTCTATGCCTCTCTGTCTACAGAGCTGGCTGAGTGAGCACCAGGCTGTGGAGTGTAGCCCCCCTTTAAGTACATGTGTCTCCAGTCTCTATGCCTCTGTCTACAGAGCTGGCTGAGTGAGCACCAGGCCCAGATGATGGACAACCACCGGCGCCACCTCCAGGACCTTCAACACCAGCAGCTGCAGGACAAGCTCCACACAGCCTGGGAGGAAGCTCAACAGGTATGCAGTGTTTGGAAGTTAACACTACAGCTTCTAAGCCTCAATGGTTATTTGGTGATATTTACAACATGATGTTAAGAATAAGCACACCACCTTCATAACTCTCATCGGCCGGTATTCGGGAACATTTACGTCGCATTACAAACAGCTTCATAAGCCACATTTGACCATGTTAGTAGTCAGAAACTTCCTCACTTCCAAACATCGCCTACCAATTTACCAAGTACCAACATGCAAAGAAAAAAGCTGTGTGTGTTGTCATGTTTCTGCACTTGATATTATTTAGATATGATAATCAATCATGACAAAAGTCAACAGCAAAAGGCTGTTACAAATTTGCGACTGGAAGCAATGATTAGTGCGCACAAACAGAAGCGTTTCTGATCAGTTAGACTGTATAATCTTGAACTTAGCATTTCTAGCATTCATTGGGATAAGTCAGAGAGTTGGAATGCCTATTCAAGAATATCCTTGCTAAAACCCATCCTAGTAAGCAAAACAAAGAAATCGTACCTTAGAATCTATTTGACAAATTACCTTTCACAATTGATCAGTGACGACTAAAACTTGTAAGGGCCATAGGTTTGTGAACAGCTACGGAAATCTCCCCCGCCACGTTTATCATGTCGGCCATTTTGACGTTCACGTAAATGTATTATGACACATGGTCACTGTGACTGAATAACTGAGGTAGTACTTAATAGACCTTCTTAATCTAATGAGGATATTATTTCAATCTTTTTGTTGCTACCAAACTTCCAAAGATGGCACTGTGGATCATACAAACACGCATGCCACCTTTCTTTTTGAGGAACTATTTTATTCTGCGTTACAGTTGGTTGTTGTGGCAATCAGTGGAAACATGAAGTCTCAAGTATGAAATGAAATTGTGTAATATATCCCTCGAGGTATAAAATAGTGATATTGAAGATGATAAGAATTGACTTTCACTTTATCGGAGTTCATTGGAGTTTGAACTTTCATAGGATGAGTTCCAAACTGTATGAATGTCAGAGCTTGTGACTTAAACACAAAGTGAAAGACAATTCTTTTTGTCTTTTTGAGAAGAAAATGGAGAAAAGTGTATTAACTGTCAACCCTACGGAAAAATGTCACTGAAGCAAGTGTGTTGTTCAGATGACATCATGTGTACTGTTCTCAACAATGAAGCAATATGATGTCATTTGCTTAAACTGACCAACCGACCCGTGAAGATCCGGGGTAGAATAGGTCTTCAGCAACCCATGCTTGCCAAAAAAGACAACAATGTCGTAAGAGGCGACTAATGGGATCTGGTGGTCAGGTTTGCTGACTTGGTTGATGCATGTTATCGTATCCCAATTGCGCAGATCGATGCTCATGATGTCAATCACTGGATTGTCTGGTCCAGACCGCTGTCACATAGCTTGAATATTGCTGAGTACGGTGTTAAACAACAAACAAACAAAAAACAACTGACCAATCAGTATAAAGTATAGCTATAAAGCACATAATGACATGCAAATATCAGAGTTATCTTGATGTTTCCATTTTGAAAAACACGTGCACTGGAAAGATGAGTGGTAGGAGACAGGAGAATCAGGAGCACCTCTATGTTCTGATTTCAGGGTCACACTTCGAGGAATGTGACTCCAGTGTTGAAGCTGAGGGTGTCTGGCTGTGCTAAACGAGATGTCGATGCCAAGATATGTAAGTCATCATCAGAAACATCCCTCTTTGAAAAACCCATAACCATGGGTTCGAATCCCAGATTCACCTTATTATGATTCTGGGTTTGTCGGCACCATACCTGTGCTCATGTGTCTAAGACGTATCAGTTCAGGCTTCCCTCCAACGTCCAGCAGAAATACTGTCTGAAGTGGCATTAAATGCAACTCGCATACTTTTTGAGTACTTCTCTATTCAGAGGGTCAAACATTTGTGAAGTGAAAAAATATGGAATACACTCTTATGTTATCAAATCCAATGCAGTGAATACCTGTACTAACTACAGCTGAAAATCTGAATTTTCCCATACATAAAATAAGGTGTGGCTTTGTACATTTTACCGAGTCAATGGCTGATAGTCTCCATCCCTGTACTGATGTCTCCTCGCCTTGTGACGTTGCAGCTACGATCGTGACTGTGTGGAGACCAAACTCTGAGTGGCTCCACCTTTTAGAGGGGAAGAGATACAAGATCTACGGTCTCGTCGCTTCCCCAGCCAAGTAAGTTGGGAGTTGTTCCACTGTAGATTGTCACCACCATACCCTTCTGAATGATGCGTTTGTTGTGTAACGCTGCACTGCTGCACTCAGCTATATTCCACCTACATGAAGGCCTGATCATCTTTATTTGGGCCAGACAATACTCAGATGAAAATTAGCAAAGTCACAGGGGTAGAAACTAACATATTTAGTCCACTAGTCCTTATAATGATAACATTAAAAATGGCAAATTTCTACTAGTCCTTATGATACCTTAACTATTGGGCAGTTTGACAAGGACAGGACTAGTGCCAATTTCTAACACTGATTAAGATCCATGCATATGGTGTACACAAATAACCAAGTCACCTAGCCTAACCACCAGATCCATACGGTCGCTTCTTATGACCAGCACAGATTGTTGGGGACCTATTCCAACCCAGAATCCCCATGGTGAAGCCTCTTACGACCTGCACATGTTGCTGAAGAGCTATTCCAACCCAGAATCCCAACGGGGTCGCCTCTTACGACCAGCATAGATTACTAGAGACTCATAGCCTCAGTTTATCTAATGTGAAAGGAATCTTTGGGCTACAACATGAATTTCAGACTTCGAAGGGGGTGTACTTATGTGGTATAACTATTCAGGCTGGAAAACTACAGCTGATTGAGAAATGATTTTTGTGTAGGACCCGTCTGGACAGTCACAGCGTACACCTGACAGCCAACAGACAGACCAAGCTGCAGCCCTGCCCTGTTGATGAGAACTACCTTGACCTTGTATATGACCCAAGGGAGGTAAGTCAATACCAACATGTCAAGACATTCATCCTTGAAACGAGATGGATAAAGATGTCATCGGATAATCAGATTAGAGTGAAACCTGATTATTCCACACCCTGTTATTCCACACCCTGACTTCTGGACGATCGTGTAGGGATGGCAGTATACACCCAAAGGAATATCACCCATGGTTTAATGATCAGGAAAGTTGTTGATCTGTACATGATTTAACGCTGCTTTGAACAGTATTCCAGTTATATCACTGCGTGTCAGCTTAATGTGGGAGGAAAGTCTTAAGTGATAATGTTTCGTGAAACCCAGGAGCATGGGTATGGTGTTGACAAACCTGGACACATACTATATATATAGTAGTCGGGGAAAACCGGGATTCCAACTCACGAGTCTAGATTTCTGGGGTGCCCAAGGGACTCAACACTCAACAGCGAATTGCCGCGCCTTAGATGTCTGGGCCACCCATTCCCCCTCTGAATTTAAGAAATTAAGGATTTTAAAAATTCCCATTTTTGCACCAAATTAATGATTATTTCCCATTACTGCCTGCCAAGGTCACCTAGGTTTGAATCGTAGAAACATCCCTGTTATGCCACAGCACCTAGACTGTAATTGGTTCATAGGTAAGTCTTCAGAAAATATTTATAATATTAGCCCCTAAGTTAATCTTTTGTCTGTCGTGAGTCGAGTGTCAGCTTGTGCATCAGGTGTAAAGTCACTCCCACTTCACTGGCCTGGCAGTCGGGCCTCCACACGTCTTGTCAGCCTTAGCTCCACACTCGAAGGAAATACTTCGTTGGCTTTCTTCTTTCAGTTGATGTTGATGTTTCAGGTGTGGAGTGTGAGAGACCTCCGTTCAAGATCTCCACCATTTAAGGAGTTTGACTTTGTGGGAATGGTAATCACCTCACAGAGCAACAGGTGAAGTTCTTTAATGTCGACTTTGTGATCATAATGCAGCAGCTAGTATTTGCATGTAAACAAACTTTACATCATGCTAGTTTGGTTGTTGTTTAACACTCAGCAATACTCCATCTATATAACAGTGGTCTATTGTTAATCAAGTCTGTACCAGACAAACCAGTGATTGACATCATGAGCGTCGGTCTACACAACTTTGATACAATGACATGCATCAACCAAGTCAGCAAGCAGGCCACCTGATCCCGTCAGTCGCCTCTTACGACAAACACGGGTTACTGAAGATCAGTTCTTACTCGGATCTTCACCTTCCTTAAGAAAATATTGATTTTGATAAGAACATTGTTTCAACTAGTACTAGTTTATTAGACTCCTACTATGTGGCAGAACGTTACTATATGTCAAAGAGTGAAATAGTCGTAGTTTGTCTGAAGCTGTCATTAAAGGCAAAACTTCTAGTCTTACTGGAACCATCTGACCTACTGTGTTTCAGCCAGCAGAGCTGTGATACGGTCTACGTCTCGGATGCTGATGGGGACATCCTGAGTATTCGCTTCTGGGCAGGACTACAGGTGAGGTCACGGCATAGCTTCATGTTGGATGAGTGAGAAGATGTGTTCCATCTCTGTCAAGATGGCCTGTAATTAACAAGTCTGCAGAAGTTCAGGTCTTTGAAAGGTATTTGGAAGTGATACACATAAGGAAGAGAATATATGGATGTCAACTTCTTTATTATGAGGAACATAATGTTTTGGAGAACATGCTTACTCATTCATCAGGGGAATGAATACCATGAGGCATATATATATACATGTAAGGACAACAAAATGAATAAGATAACAAAAGATGGAAAATAACAAAGGGTAGAAACTAACAAGGGAAGCCAACAGATGATTGGCGCCTATAGGTGATTAACAATAGACAATGGATGTTGACATCAATATATTCTCTTCCTTATCTGCAGGGGGGCACGGGTGGCCCAGTCGTCTAAGGCGCCGCGATTCGATGTGCAGAGTTGCGTCCCTTGGGCAGGCCAGAAACCTATGATTGTGGGTTCGAATCCCGGTTCGCCCCAATTATGTTTCTAGGTTTGTCAGCACCATACCCGTGCTCATGGGTTTCACCGAAGTGGTAAACGTCTTAGACCTGCATCACTTCGGGCTTTCCTCCAACATTAAGCTGACACGCCGTGATATAACTGGAATACTGTTAAAAGGGGCGTTAAACCGAACTCACTCACTCACTCCTTATCTGCAGAAGTTGTTCTTTATAAAAGTTACATGTCTGGGAGTCTGAACCAGACAAACCAGTGATTGAAAGCATGAGCTACAATTCACGTCATCGTGTTCCCTCGGATGTGAAGATTCCGGGGTAGAATAGGTCTTCAGCAACCCATGCTTGCCGTAAAAGGTGACTATGCTTGCCGTAAAAGGCAACTAACGGGAACGGGTGGTCAGGCTCGCTGACTTGGTTGATGCATGTCATTGATCCCAATTGCGAGGATCGATGCTCATGATATCAATCACTGGATTGTCTGGTCCAGACTCAATTATTTACAGACCGCCGTCATATAGCTGGAATATTGCTGAGTGCGGAGTTAAACAACAAACCAAACCAAACCAAAACCTCGGCTGTATGTCAAAGAGATGGATCATGTCGGTCTCATTAAAATCAAATCTTTTACTCTGACACAATTCCTCTCTGCATGAAGATCTACTCCCAGATAGAGCTTCGGAAGGTCAGTGGTCCAATATCATCATGGTATCATCTTATCATCACCCGGTATTAAGGGGATCAAACTAGACTCGGAGTCTGTATACTGTTTCTGAGGGGGGTATCCATGTTCAACTGCGGCATGGTATCTTGGGCTAAAAACATCATTAGTCTGGACTAGCAGGGGCAGCCTTACACACAGGTGTGTGCACGTTGCTATATTAGTGAAATAATCTCGAACATGACCTTAAACCCCATTTCATCTCACCTCCATATCCTAAACATAATCTGCACAGAATCACTTGGTTCAAGCAGTCAATACAGAATATATTTTTTTAATTTAAAGTTTGCACAATATACAGCTTTTCTATTGGACGAGAGGTCGGTTACATGACCACAAAATTGATGTCCATAAGTGTATGAATGACACTTGACATTCATTTGTTTTCCCCAAGACCATCTTCTTGAAATGACATAAACACTGACGGACTACTTCCGCATTCCTACAGAAGCGTTGTTTCTGATCATTTGGACTTAATCTTGAACATCAGAGAGTTGGAATGCATGATCGTTCACAAATATCCTCGCTATGACCCATCCTAGTGAACAAAATGAAGAAATTCACATTAAAGTATCGTGTTGTGGTATCGACTCGACAGTGACAGTCTACAGCAATCTAAGAATTTACCTTTGTGCCTATTTTACACATCTTAAATCGCAAGCTCCGATATTCATACAGGTTGACCCTCACTCAATATAGGTTCATACTGCAATGAACTCTTTGTCAGTTAGTTCTTAAATGAAGTGGGTATTGTATTGTAACATTCACTTTTATATCCTAGTGCAACTTTACATTGGTGAGTCTTTCATCATTATTGTCCTCTTTATTTTTCGTTTGTGACAACCCTTCCCGTTCTCATGGCTTTCCCCGTGGTAAATGTCTCAGACAACCATCACTTCAGGCTTTCCTCCCAACCTGCCATGATGCATCTTCCCGAGGCCAGAGAGTTGACTGACTTTAAAAGTCCAGTTTCAACCCTTGCCAAACTTGGCTGGAATTACTGGGCTCGATCGTAGCGCCACCAGTGGCTATTACCAGTTATGTCCCTTCTAAGCCTCTCCTATGGACCAATCAGATTCCACCTCTCGTTTCACTTGTGTTTGCTTCACACACACTGGCGCCCAGTCAGGACGATCTGATCGATAATCAAGATCTATATTGTGATAAAACGGGTCTTACATCAAATCACATGAGCACCTTGATTAAAAACATGATAAGATTTGGAAATATCTGCTGAAAACGAGTTGGCGGTGCACGAACCGGATTTTGATTTCAGTGCGCAATTTTGATTGGAGTTACATCATGGCCATCTTCCCGAGGCAAGGGTGTTAACTGCCTATAAAAGTCCAGTTTCTACCCTTGCGGAACTAGGCTGGTATTATAGAGTTTCATTTTGTCTGGACTAACGAATCGCGCAACGAAATCAAAATTGGGTTCGTAAACTGTCATGCAGATTTCGGTGATTGCAGGATTTGCAAAGCATGTGCACCATCAACATGTTGTCAACAGATATTTTCCTAATCTTTTCATGTGTTTAACCAAGGTGCTCACATGGTTTGATGCACTTCATGATGTAAGACCCGATTTATCACAGTATAGATCTTGATTATCGATCAGATCGTCTGGACTGGACGCTGCCATTTTGTTTGAAGCAAATGCAAGTAACATGAGAGGTGGAATCTGATTAGTCAATAAGAGATGCATAGAAGGGACATAACTCGTAATAGCCACTGGTGGCGCTACGATTGAGCCCAGGAATTCTTGCCTCGGGAAGACGATGCAAGTGATATGAGAGGTGGAATCTGATAAAGTTTCTTTTGTTTACCTGTGTCACAGAGTTTCGGCCTGGAGGACCAGATGGTAGCAGGGAAGAGTATCGTCGCCACCAACCTCATCCTCAAGTGGTCTCGTGGTGCTGGCTTCATCTCTGCCGACGCCTGCAATGAAGTGACCCGCTTCTCTTCAACATCCAAGATTCCGGACCACAGGAAGTGTCTGGCCAGGTTCACCAGCTTCAAACAGGTACAAGGGGCGGTCGGGTAGCCTAGTGGTTAAAGCGTTCGCTCGTCACGCCAAAGACCCTGGTTCGATCCCCGACATGGGTACAATGTGTGAAGCCCATTTCTGGTGTCCCCCGCCGTGATATTGCTGGAATATTGCTAAAAGCGGCGTTAAACCGAACTCACTCACTCACTCAAACAGGTACAGGTCACAGTTCTCATCTCGGTGCAGTTGCCTTTTGTACCGTGTTGGGCTGTCGGGGTTGAAGTGTTTACTCATACTAATGAAGACCAGGGTTCAATTTCTGGTTTCCCCATGAAACTGATATTGCTAAAAGCATGAGACCATACTCATTCACCATGTTCACTGACTTTGTAAAATGTGAGTCATATCTTCAAGTATTCAAAAAGGATTGCCATGGAGAGCTGAGGTGAGATGATAATTTGCTGTGTTAAAATACTTGTTCATAATAGGGGGACAAAAATGGTAGAATTCCCATTTTGAACCAAGTTTGGTTTAAATCCTGAGATTTCTGTAAGTTGGATGGACGCAGTTTTCTGATTTCAGATGCATGAAACAAGTACCCATGACAATTTAGACCACAGCAGCAGGTGCTTGTCATGTAAAAGTCATGTCAGAAAGTCAGCTGCCACGGAGAGAGAACAATAAAAATTTGTTTTAATATTCTTTTTTTTTTACAAATACTTTTTCACAATGGGGAAGAAACAGAATAGAATGCAAGTTGAACATGTATATCCCTTTGCCTGAGACTCCAGTGGTTTGTGTTGATGACAACCACACATGACTGCCTGACATTCCTCCAAGGTCATGGTGGTGGATGTAAGTACGGTAGTGTTCGCTAGACACGCCAAACACGAGGGAATTTGTGAAGCCGTTTCTTGGTGTACCTACCCTGATATTGCAGGAATATGGCAAAAAGGGATTAGAACTAACTCATTCACTCCCAGTCCTACATGGTGTCTTTGGGGCGGTCGGGTAGCCTAGTGGTTAAAGCGTTCGCTCGTCATGCCGAAGACCCGGGTTCAATTCCCGACATGGGTACAATGTGTGAAGCCCATTTCTGGTGTTCCCCGCCGTGATATTGCTAAAAGCGGCGTAAAACCATACTCACTCACTCACTCACTCACTCACTCACTCACTCACTCACTCACTCACATGGTGTCTTTGATGTTTCTTCTCATCTTTCAGGCAGAGAAGGGCAAGTTTCTAGCAGCTGCTAAAGCACGACTCAGCGAGCAGGAGACCAGGCCACAGGCTCCACACACACAACTAGCAACTCCCCAGGTGGGTATCCATAGCAACCAGGTTTTCATCTGACTGTACTTCGTAAAAGGCGACTAACGGGATTGGGTGGTCAGGCTCGCTGACTTGGCTGATGCACGTCATCAGTCCCAATTGCGTGGATCGATGCTCATGATGTCAATCACTGGATTGTCTGGTCCAGACTCGATTATTTACAGACCGCCGACATATACTGGAATATTGCTGAGTGCGGCGTTAAACGACAAACCAACCAACCAAAACAAACTTTTCATATCACGGGTATGATATTTACTGAAGGAAAAGAACTGAACCAATTCAACTAGAGAAGACACCTGTGTTAATTTTTGTATCTATGGCCTTTGTATGTTTTCGATATGAGGATTTTAGGGCTAAAAATACTTTAAAAATGCAATACTATGGGGATTTGATGATGATGTTGATTGACCAGTGAGTGAGTATGTTTTTACACCACTGGCAATAATCGGTGGGGGCACAGAATTGGCATTGTACTCATGTGGGGAATGGAGGAAACCCGGGCTGTCTGCATCAGTGAATTCTTTAAAAACTAGGCTTCCTCACATCTTCGCCTGACAAGCCTTGATTAACGTGGAAACAGACAAACAGAGTCCATCCATGCAGTGTATCAATTAGTTTCCCATGTTCACTGGCCAGGAGGGCCCTCTTCATATATTACTAGCCCTACTTTGTCTTCAGCCTACGTATTTTGTGTTAACCTGAGTGAGTGAGTGAGTATGGTTTTACGCCGCTTTTAGCAATATTCCAGCAATATCACGGCGGGGGACACCAGAAATGGGCTTCACACATTGTACTCATGTCGGGAATCGAACCCGGGTCTTCGGCGTGACGAGCGAACGCTTTAACCACTAGGCTACCCGACTGCCCCTGTGTTAACCTGAAGGTGTATTATGTGTTTGTGGTGGTTTCCACTCGGGGGCATGGGTGGCGCAGTCATCGAAGGTGCCACGATTCGCTGTGCAGAGTTGTGTCCCTTGGGCACGCCAGAAACCAGATTGTGGGTTCCAATCCCAATTATGTTTCTAGGTTTGTCAGCACCATACCCATGCTCGTGGGTTTCACCAAAGTGGTCAATGTCTGAGACCTGCATCACTTCGGGCTTTCCTCCCATTTTAAGCTGACACGTCGTGATACGTGATATAACAGGAAAACTGTGAAGTGAAAACAAAATGACTTGATAAGTAGAAGTAGATACCAGTATGTATTCACTAGGATTTAAATCAAGACAGTCAGGCCAGCTTTACGGAAATGTTACGAGCCAATTTTTGAAAGTCACTGGCATTTGGCTAGCAGGCAGGCAGCTATTTTTAACACTAGCAACTACACGATATGTGACTGGCTCTGCTAGATATTGGGGGCACGGGTGGCCCAGTCGTCTAAGGCGCCGCGACTCGCTGTGCAGAGTTGCGTCCCTTGGGCATGCCAGAAACCTATGATTGTGGGTTTGAATCCTGGTTCGCCCCGATTATGTTTCTAGGTTTGTCAGCACCATACCTCTGCTAGTGGTTTCACGGAAGTGGTAAACGTCTGAGACCTGCATCACTTCGAGCTTTCCTCCCACATTAAGCTGACTCGCCGCAATATAACTGTTAAAAGCGGCGTTAAACCCAACTCACTCACTCACTCACTCACTCACTGCTAGATATTGGGCAGAGTGCACACGTCAAACTCAGAAACGTGCCCAAGGATCTGGTGGCCACAACTGCTGATCAGCGTGGGTCGTGTCTGAAGTGTTGACCTTCAGATCTCCTGGAAAACAGTTACTCTGTTACTCAACATCGTTTTCTTCTGACACTAGGGCCTGACCACCCTGTATGGTTAGATGTGTTGAGCTCATTTCATGTTTATCTCTGCTGTGATATGACTGGAATATTCCTAAAAGCCTTGTAAATCCCTACTCACTCAAATGGGTTCACTCATCACGTGGAAGACCAGGGTTCAGTTCCCTACATGGGTACAATGTGTGAAGCCCATTTCTAGAGTCGCCTGAGATTGCTGGATACTGCTGAAAGTGGTGATTCCTGTGCAACCTTCCGAGTTGAGTTGATTGGTTCAACTGTGTCATATGGCCCTGTGACGCAGGGGTAGCATTATGCAGATGGCTGTTACAATGAATGCTCGTTCCACCTGTGACGAACAGGTCTGGTTGTTGATGAAATATAGTGATAGCTAAATAGACAGATTTTTTATTCATGCACCGATTGTCTTTAAATGTAATCTCCAGTTATGTATGACTGTTTAATAATCTCATACCAACTTTGACTGGAGTAGGTCCAATAGTTTTTCAGATATTGTAGTAAACGTCAGTACCTTAAATTTACTTCCAGACTATAACTCACACTCAAAATGGGTATAAAACCTGACTTGAGGCTAGTATGGAATTTTGCTGAGTGCTTTGTTAAACAACAACAAACAAACAAACAAACAAACAAACAAACAGAAAGTAGGGTGTACTGACAAAAAATTAGTATTGCAAGATATTGCGATACATTTGGAGCAAAGGTTCTTGATGGTGATTGACACTGTTTGTACATGCAGATCCTATTTTCGGCATGTTGAGGTAAATATTACTCGGCATGGTCAGTGGTCACTATTTTGTAGTCATGGATACAGGGGAGATAACAACCTGAGAGAAACAACACTTCCTGCATTTTGTCGATCAGTTTCTAGGGGAAACATCATGTTAGAATGAATTTCTGTGTAGACTTTAGGTTAAACGATACAAATAATAATGAAACTTATTTTCTTACCCAATACATTTTGTACCTGAACACAGAAGAAATATTGCAATATGTATTGTTTGAAAAGCATATTGTAGATTGCGACAGTACCATGCAGTCCTACAAATGAGTAATATTTTCTGAATTCTCACTCGTCTTTGTTCACACAGATGTATTTCTCCGACCTTCCCTCCGAGTGCCTCCAGAAACTCTTCTCACCGATGGAAGACCAGGGAGAAAAACTATCCAAGGGGGACAACTCTGTAACACCAGACCCTGTTGCGAAGAAAAGGCGGTCAATTCTCCGAGAGAAGTCGGCCAAACTGATGGCTTACGGTTCTCCGAATCCACTCTCACCCCTCAGCTGTCCGGTATCACCTGCCGTGGCCAGGGCATTCAAACTCCCGTCCGGACTTGCCAAAAATATGAAGGACTCCTTCAAGTGATGTGTATTCTGTGTGCTATTCCATTCAGTTATCTTAGCACGAAGACAATCGTAACACAAATATTTTAAGACTGACTTATGATTGTCTTAGGGCTAAGATCAATTGTGGAACAGGGCCCACTTGCACAGAGCGATCTTAGCGCTAAGATGATCGTAACTCTTAAACTTTTTAACATAGGCTTACGATAGTCTTACCGCTAAGATCGATTTGTGCAAGTGGGCCCTGGTCCCTGAGAAACCAAAGAATTCTTTATCTACATTTACTCCTCAGACTAGTTGTTCACCAAAGATTGTTCCAAGATGTGTTCAGACCTGAAGATGGTCATTGACAGGCAAGTAATCGAGTGTGTTTTGTTGTTGTTAATGTGAATGAAGTACTGTATCATGAAGTAGATGTACAGAAGTCTTGATTACTGACTGAGGTGTGTATCATGCGTTGGAGAGTTTGTCTGTAATTCTGGTCAGCACAGTCCTTTTTTATAAAAGAATGAAACTCCTGGCATTGATCAGTTAGCAGAGAGGTTTCTGGGTAGAGGGTACCATAAAGACACATAATAATTATACTCTCCACAAAACTACTTCCAACTTCATTAGTAGATGATTACAAGTCAGAGTTGAATATAGAATAATGTGGGAAAAAATAATTAACATCGCAAGGTTATTTTCTAATCTTGTAATAATTAATAATGGCAGTATACCTGAAGGATGAAACACACATGTCTGTAGGAGTAGTATGTGTTGCTTGAGGACTGAGAAACATCCTGTGCGGCAAGCACCTGTTGATTCTTGACATTCTGAATATTTCTTTCAATTGTTCCATGTTACAGAAATGACAAACTTTAATACTGTTGGAAATAAATATTTTATTTGTTGCATATGTTGTGTATTTACAAACATTCATCATCCCTGAGAAATTGAAGACATGGGGTAAAATGGAATCTGTAATTTCATTTCACCACACAAATATAATACACATGAAGGTACACTGTTTGGCATTAGTGAGTGAGTTGGGTTTTACGCCGCTTTTGACAGTATTCCAGTTATATCACGGCGAGTCAGCTTAATGTGTGAGGAAAGCCCGAAGTGATGCAGGTCTCAGACGTTTACCACTTCGGTGAAACCCACAAGCACGGGATGCAACTCTGCACAGCGAATTGCGGCGCCTTAGACGACTGGGCCACCCGTGTCCCCTTTAGCATTAGTAATCTGTGAGTTAGTAAACAAATCATCTTGTCATATCACTGTGACAGAAATTAACATACCTGGGTAATATACTTTGTCTAAGTCTACAGGTTCGGCCTTCTATTAAATGAATGTTTTCATTATTCAGCATAAGACAGTTATGTGAGTGAGTGAGTCATATTTTATACCCGTTTTTGAGTGAGTTAGTTGGGCCTTACGCCACACGCCACTGTTAGCAATATTTCAGCAAAATCACGGTGGGAGACACCACAAATGGGCTTCACACATTGATGTGGTCAACAATCACAACACATGGAGCACTACAGGTGGGTGTGGTCAGCAATCACAACACATGGAGCATTACAGGTGGGTGTGGTCAGCAATCACAACACATGGAGCATTACAGGTGGGTGTGGTCAGCAATCACAACACATGGAGCACTACATGTGGGTGTGGTCAGCAATCACAACACATGGAGCACTATGGGTGGGTGTGGTCAGCAGTCACAACACATGGAGCACTACAGGTGGGTGTGGTCAGCAGTCACAACACGTGGAGCACTACATGTGGGTGTGGTCAGCAATCACAACACATGGAGCACTATGGGTGGGTGTGGTCAGCTATCTCAACACATGGAGCACTACAGGTGGGTGTGGTCAGCTGTCACAACACATGGAGCACTATGGGTGGGTGTGGTCAGCTATCACAACACATGGAGCACTACAGGTGGGTGTGGTCAGCTATCACAACACATGGAGCACCACGGGTGGCTGTGGTCAGCTATCACAACACATGGAGCACTACGAGTGGGTGTGGTCACACACGTGACACATTCAGCACCAGAGGTGGGTGTGGCTGTATGGTCAGATATCTCACTCGTCTGTATTTATAGCCCGGAACCATGTCAAACTTAAAGTTGTTCAGTAAGGTAACGAGGATGGCCTTGGCTTCTGTCACGGCGAAGCGGTGCCCGATACACATGTAGGGGCCGGCGGTGAAGGGCTGGAACTTGTACGGGTTGATCTCCTGGAGGAAGCGCTCGGGGCGGAAGGTGTTGGGGTCCTCCCAGTTCTCGGGGAGTCTGCAGATGAGTTGGGAGTCAAAATGATCTTCACCATCATTTGAACAAATCAAACATTTCTCAGATTTCTCGTTTTGATCATAAAATTCAAAACTTGCGTACACAAAATTATGTTTTAATGAACATACTACTCAGAACAAGATAAAGATCACCTACAATTGTAGAGTGTGTTTCAATACCCACCAGCCATGACAGATTCACCATAATCATCTAAAACAATTGCATGTTCTTTCACGTCTTTTGAGTAGTATTCAGCCGAATCTTTTTGCAACATTATACAAAATTAGGTCTGAAAAAAGCAAAGTGAGTGGGTGATTATTGCTTAAGGCCACATCAGCAATCTTGCAGCAAGATGAGTGAAATTGTAAGGTAGGACAATCAAGAGAAATAACAGACTTGTTTATATACTACTCAACTTTTGCTAAGGACCAAAATAACCATCCTTAGCAAATCTTCAGTAGTATATTAAACAATGATACAGACATTCCTGGCTACGCACACACACACATGCACACACACACACATGCACACACACATGCACATCACACTACCAGCAGCCACTGCAGTACACACAGTTATCACACCGGCATGATATACTGATGGAAAGGAACACTAAGTTGTGGACAGTCAATTGACATGCTATCATGGGTTCCCAGCCAAATACATGTTGGAAACAATTGACACAAACACAACTCAACAGTTGATTCTGACATGTTAAATTTGTATGCGCACTATTTCAAATATACAGACAGCAAAGTTTATTTCCCTATATTTTTCATTGTTCCCGTATTCATTTCGTTCAGTTGTTAACATGTTACTGTTAACAATACCACATAGCTACTGTTAACAATACCACAGTTACTGTAACAATGCCACATATTTACTATTAACAACACCACATAGCTACTGTTAACAACACCACATACTGTAAACAATACCATGTTACTGTTAACAATACCACATAGTTACTGTTAACAACACCACATAGCTACTGTTAACAACACCACATAGTTACTGTTAACAATACCACAGTTACTGTAACAATACCATGTTACTGTTAACAATACCATGTTACTGTTAACAATACCATATAGTTACTGTTAACAACACCACATAATTACTGTTAACAACACCACATAGTTACTGTTAACAACCCTCGTAGTTACTGTTAACAACACCACATAGTTACTGTTACAATACAACAAAGTTACTGTTAACAATATCACATAGTTACTTTTAACAATATCACATAGCTACTGTTAACAACACCACATAGCTACTGTTAACAACACCACAGTTACTGTAACAATACCATGTTACTGTTAACAATACCATATAGTTACTGTTAACAACACCACATAATTACTGTTAACAACACCACATAGTTACTGTTAACAACCCTCGTAGTTACTGTTAACAACACCACATAGTTACTGTTACAATACAACAAAGTTACTGTTAACAATATCACATAGTTACTTTTAACAATATCACATAGTTACTGTTAACAACACCACATAGCTACTGTTAACAACACCACATAGCTACTGTTAACAATACCACAGTTACTGTAACAATGCCACATATTTACTATTAACAACACCACATAGCTACTGTTAACAACACCACATACTGTAAACAATACCATGTTACTGTTAACAATACCACATAGTTACTGTTAACAACACCACATAGCTACTGTTAACAACACCACATAGTTACTGTTAACAATACCACAGTTACTGTAACAATACCATGTTACTGTTAACAATACCATGTTACTGTTAACAATACCATATAGTTACTGTTAACAACACCACATAATTACTGTTAACAACACCACATAGTTACTGTTAACAACCCTCGTAGTTACTGTTAACAACACCACATAGTTACTGTTACAATACCACATAGCTACTGTTAACAACACCACATACTGTTAACAATACCATGTTACTGTTAACAATACCACATAGTTACTGTTAACAATACCACATAGTTACTGTTAACAATACCACATTGTTACTATTAAAAACACCACATAGCTACTGTTAACAACACCACATAGTTACTGTTAACAATACCACAGTTACTGTAACAATATCACATAGTTACTGTTAACAACACCACATAGCTACTGTTAACAACACCAATTAGTTACTGTTAACAATACCACATTGTTACTATTAAAAACACCACATAGCTACTGTTAACAACACCACATACTGTTAACAATACCATGTTACTGTTAACAATACCACATAGTTACTGTTAACAACACCACATAGTTACTGTTAACAATATCACATAGTTACTGTTAACAACACCACATAGTTACTGTTATCAACACCACCTAGTTACTGTTAACAATACCACATAGTTACTGTATATCAAATTTCATAATACATGCAGAAATGACTGAGTTGGGCAAAACTGATATTTTAGTATTATTCAGGGGTTTTTATGTGTAATATCCCAGCCAAATGAATAGCCTGTAAATAAGAGTTTGGACCAGATAATCCAGTGATCAACATTTTCCACAACAATCCATGCTGTGGGGGTAAGAGGACACCTGGTGTCGTCACTCACCTGTGCAGGCCCCCGATGCTGATGCCAACGATGGTACCAGCGGGGATGAAGTAGCCGCCCACGTTGTCATCGTTAATTGCCCGGCGGAACACATTAGACACTGGTGGATACATCCTGGCAATAAAAGCAACACAGCTAGACCTTATGAGTGTGTGTAGTTATGCAATAATCACTGTATTAAGCACCTATTCCAATAAATGCCCCAGACTAGTATGTAAGTATAAACTTTATCATCAACCCCTACTGAGGCTGAACATTTACATGACGATCCTTAAAAAAGCAGCAGTGTAGAAGGGGCATACTATTGCCAAGTAAATATTACCAAAAATGTTTGTTATATGAAACTAAATTGAACTTGATTTTGAAATCCCCCCCCCTTCTATCAAGTTTTTGATAGGCACTGAGAAGTTGGGAGAACATGAATACAGGACACTTTTTTATGGATAGCAACTTCTTATATTCTTTGTACAATGTTTCAGAGCTACTTCTTGTTCCTTCATCAGGTGAGTGAGTGAGTATGGTTTTACGCCGCTTTTAGCAATATTCCAGCAATATCACGGCGGGGGACACCAGAAATGGGCTTCACACATTGTACCCATGTCAGGAATCGAACCCGGGTCTTCGGCGTGACGAGCGAACGCTTAACCACTAGGCTACCCGACCGCCCCTCTTCATCAGGTGAAGTAGCTCTGAAACATTCTATCTATTTTCTATATTCAAAAAATATTTACCTGCAACCACCGATAAACGATGATCTTAAATCTAAGTGGGTCAGAAAAACGCAGGAAACTGGTTCTATGGTAGCCATTATCTCTGACATTGAGAGCACATGAAGACTAAGCTCAGGATTACCTTCCTTCTATATTGTTGACAGCACAGTGAGCCTCTTTAAATAGGACCCTATTAGTGAGAAAATTGCGCTTCCTGGGAAATTACCATTGGGAACGTGTATATATCATCAATCTGACACAAATACATGTCCATGATTCTTTAATTCAGAAAATGTGTTTCCTCAGACAATCTCCCAGCTATATGATGGTGTTCTGTAAATAATCAAATCTAGACCAGACAATCCAGTGATTGACATAATGAGCATCAATGTCCACAATTGGAATACGATGATATGCATCAAACAAGTCTGCGAGCCTGACCACCCGATCCTGTTCGTCGCCTCTTTCGACAAGCATGGTCGCCTCTTACGACAAACATGGTTGCCTCTTACAACAAACATGGTAGCCTCTTACGACAGTCGCTTTTACCACAAGCATAGTCTCCTCTTACAACCATGGTCGCCTCTTACAACAAGCATAGTCTCCTCTTACAACCATGGTTGCCTCTTACAACAAGCATGGTCGCCTCTTACGACAGTCGCTTTTACCACAAGCATGGTCGGCTCTTACAACAAGCATAGTCTCCTCTTACAACCATGGTCGCCTCTTACAACAAGCATGGTTGCCTCTTACAACAAGCATAGTCTCCTCTTACAACCATGGTCGCCTCTTACAACAAGCATGGTTGCCTCTTACAACAAGCATAGTCTCCTCTTACAACCATGGTTGCCTCTTACAACAAGCATGGTCGCCTCTTACGACAGTCGCTTTTACCACAAGCATGGTCGGCTCTTACAACCATAGTCTCCTCTTACAACCATGGTCTCCTCTTACAACCATGGTCGCCTCTTACGACAAGCATGGTCGCCTCTTACGACAAACATGGTAGCCTCTTACAACAAACATGGTAGCCTCTTACGACAAGCATGGTCGGCTCTTACGACAAGCATGGTCGGCTCTTAAAACAAGCATGGTCGCCTCTTACAACAAGCATGGTCGCCTCTTACAACAAGCATGGTCGCCTCTTACGACAAGCATGGTCGCCTCTTACGACAAGCATGGTCGCCTCTTACGACAAGCATGGTCGGCTCTTACAACAAGCATGGTCGCCTCTTACAACAAGCATGGTCGCCTCTTACGACAAGCATGGTCGGCTCTTACGGCAAGCATGGGTATAGGTTCACGGTATATGTTAGCAACTGTACTTAATGGAGCCTGGTCAAAAACAAGATGATATGTAACATGACCACTGATTCATACTGTATGTATCAACTATCAGCAAGGTCATATACTGTATTAAGCACCCTGGTCCTATATGTGCCCCTTACCAACTTATATATTAACTTGTGTATGATTTTAAAAAGTGTGTCAATTGTTTGACACAAATACGTTTGGGAAGCTGCTGTATGCTGCTGTGTTCTGACCTGAGGGAGGGCGGTCGGGTAGCCTAGTGGTTAAAGCGTTCACTCGTCACGCTGAAGACCCCGGTTCGATTCCCGACATGGGTACAATGTGTGAAGCCCATTTCTGGTGTCCTCCGCCGTGATATTGCATGAATATTGCTAAAAGCGGCGTAAATACTCACTCACTCACTCACTCACTCACTGACCTGAGGGACTCCTTGACCACACAGTTGAGGAAGGTCATCTGGTCAAGCGTTTGGCTGGTCAGCTGACCAGAGGAGGACGGGAGCAGGGACCGGATCTCTGATCGCAGCTTGTCCTGGACAGCGGGATGCTCCCCCAGCAGCAACAACGTCCACGTCAACAGGGTGCTGGTGGTCTGTGAAAAGAGGTACAGTGGATGAGCCCCTCCAGCAACAATAGCAGCATATAAATCAGTGGGGTGCTGGTGTGACAGACAGGCACAGTGCATGAGTGGACGGCTGAAACTACACCAGCATCAACAGCAACAGTATCTTCAGCAGGGTACATTTGTGAGAGGAACCGTGCATGAGCAAATTTCAGGAGCTGCTCCAGCCACAATAACAGCATCTACATCAGTGGGGTGCTGGTGGTTTGTGAAAGACAGGTACAGAGGACAGCAGGAACTCCTCCAGCAACATCAGCGTCTTCACCAGTAGGTGCCACTGAATGCCACACTTTGGTGGACTGAACTCACCTCAAACCCAGCAAACAGGAAGCCAGCAATCTGATCAAAGATGACATTGTCCTGGAGAGACTTGCCGTCCTCATCCCTGGCCTGGAACAGGATGGACAGCAGGTCTCCCTTATGTTCCACTCCTGAAACAGTCATGGAGAAGTGGATGCTCAGAATGTACTCTCTAGACTCAAGCATCTGAGACACAATAGTAACCACGTTATCCTAGCCTCTACTATCAGACACTAGAGAAACCACGGTATTCCTAGCCACAACAATCAGAAACAAGACAGACCATGGTATTCCTAGCCTCTACAATCAGTCACAAGAGAAACCAAGGTATTTCTAGCCACAACAATCAGACACAAGAGAAACCAACGTATTCCTAGCCACAACAATCACACTAGAGAAACCAAGGTATTTATAGCCACAACAATCAGAAAGAAGACAAACCAAGGTATCCCTAGCCACAACAATCAGACACTAGAGAAACCAAGCTATTCCTAGCCAAAACAATCACACTAGAGAAACCAAGGTATTTATAGCCACAACAATCAGAAAGAAGACAAACCAAGGTATTCCTAGCCACAACAATCAGACACTTGAGAAACCGAGGTATTCCTAGCCACAACAATCACACTAGAGAAACCAAGGTATTTATAGCCACAACAATCAGAAAGAAGACAAACCAAGGTATTCCTAGCCACAACAATCAGACACTTGAGAAACCGAGGTATTCCTAGCCACAACAATCACACTAGAGAAACCAAGGTATTTATAGCCACAACAATCAGAAAGAAGACAAACCAAGGTATTCCTAGCCACAACAATCACACTAGAGAAACCAAGGTATTCCTAGCCACAACAATCACACACTTGAGAAACCCAGGTATTTCTAGCCACAACAATCACACACTTGAGAAACCAAGCTATTCCTAGCCACAACAATCACACACTTGAGAAACCAAGGTATTTCTAGCCACAACAATCACACACTTGAGAAACCAAGGTATTCCTAGCCACAACAATCACACACTTGAGAAACCAAGGTATTTCTAGCCACTACAATCAGACACTTGAGAAACCCATTCTATTTCATAAAATTTCAAATTTTATGTCTATTTGGTAACTACGTATTCCAGTCTGTTTCGATTTTTTCAATGATCATAGTTTTCGTTTTTCCCGGTATTCTCAACTCACAGCCCACGTGAGGTCCACGTGGGGTTTGACATTTTTACGATATGGTAGCAAAAATTCCTAATTTCCCCGTTATAATCGCACGATGTTTGTTTAATATCAGTCTGCCACCCAATCTAATACGTATCACACCTGTGAACCAAGTACAACCTACTACGTAGCACACACCTGTACACACCTGACATTCACAATGGCGGAATATTTAATGATTTTTTATCTGAATAGTTTCGTGAATACTGTACATAAATGACAAACGACTATATCAGGTGAAATTACATTTAATTTCTCAATTACCGTATTTTCTTGAGTACAGTGCGCACCCATGTATAATGCGCCCCCCCCTCTAGCGGGTTCAATATTTTGGAAAAAAAGAAATTTGAATATTGTGCGCAGAAAAAATTTCACCGTACCCTTTCAGCGAAGTCCGGCACACGAACGGGTGATGAGAAACTTCGTCAGTACAAATTCGAAATTTGAGATAAAAAATCATCAGACATGTTTATTTACCGTTTAAATAGTATTTATTGTTCTGCTAGGCATTGTTTTATATCCAGGGATTAAGATTACCTTGTGTATTTTCTCGTAAACTAAGCCGGAAACAGCGATCAGCTGTACACACGTTTTCTTGGAATCGACCGGTGATTCGGTCAAGACACACCCAATGATATAACTTAATAGGATTTTTAATGCAAGGATCGGCAAAAATTGTATATGAAACTATTTTCTTTATCAAGAATAATATATTCCATTATTTTCTTAATTATATGCAGCCTTTACTAAACATATTTAAAATAGATAATAACCCTAAGCGAAGCAGCTGATCGCTATTCCCAGGTATTATTTTTTACATGGACCCAGTCTGACCAGTCACCGTCAAGGCTCACGCGCACGTGATCGCGTGATCGCGAGAATTTCATGTTGACATAGAATCGTCAAACAAAAACAAATATGACTTTTAACGAGTCAAAGTATGTCATTTATGATATATGTATCCATTCTCTGTCAACTAAAGTTCGTTTCAAGACGTCAATAGCGGTATTCTGACCGTGGTTGCTGTTAATAACGGTGAGTTGTGCGATCTTCCGATCGCTTCACACACGATTTCGCCGAAATTAATAAAAACAATATTAAAAGGAATACTCAAGAAAATACGGTATTCTCACTTTATACAAATAATAATTGTCTTTGACGACATGAATCGTAAACTCAGATTGTTCATCGCTAAAAATGCGATGTAACGTGCGTATTGTTGAAACACTGAGTCTCCGGAGAAGTGAATTGCCATTTTTCTGTAATGTCATTTTACCAAAATAGAATTCTTTGATATTTATCGATTATTGATCGATATGTGACTACCGATAATCGATCTGAGTAATCCATATCGATAACCAGCCCTAGCCACAACAATCAGTCACTTGAGAAACCAAGCTATTCCTAGCCACAACAATCAGACACTTGAGAAACCAAGCTATTCCTAGCCACTACAATCAGACACTATAGAAACCAAGGTATTCCTAGCAACAACAATCAAACACTAGAGAAACCAACCTATTCCTAGCCACAACAATCAAACACTAGAGAAACCAACCTATTCCTAACCACAACAATCAAACACTATAGATACCAAGGTACTCCTAGCCACAACAATCAAACACTAGAGAAACTAACCTATTCCTAGCCACAACAATCAGACCCAAGAGAAACCAAGCTATTCCTAGCCACAACAATCAAACACTAGAGAAACCAAGCTATTCCTAGCCACAACAATCAAACACTATAGATACCAAGGTACTCCTAGCCACTACAATCAGACACTATAGATACCAAGGTACTCCTAGCCACAACAATCGAACACTATAGATACCAAGGTACTCCTAGCCACTACAATCAGACACTATAGATACCAAGGTACTCCTAGCCACAACAATCGAACACTATAGATACCAAGGTACTCCTAGCCACTACAATCAGACACTATAGATACCAAGGTATTCCTAGCCACAACAATCAAACACTAGAGAAAACAACCTATTCCTAGCCACAACAATCAGACACAAGGGAAAACAACCTATTCCTAGCCACAACAATCAGACACAAGGGAAAACAACCTATTCCTAGCCACAACAATCAAACACTAGAGAAACCAACCTATTCCTAGCCACAACAATCAAACACTAGAGAAACCAAGGTATTCCTAGCCACAACAATCAGACACAAGGGAAACCAACCTATTCCTAGCCTCTACAGGCAGAGACACAACAATCACATATGTTGCACAACATAGGTGCTGGCAATAACTGTCATGTAACTACTGACCTTAATATTGACAACTAAAACATTGGTATACAAACAAAATTTACAGATGCCATTGCTGTCAGCACAATTCCAGGTATATGACTGCTGCCGGTAAATAGTTGAGTATGACAAGACAAACCAGTGATTGATATGATGAGCAAAGTGAGTGAGTGAGTTAGTGAGTTAGGTTTAACACCGCTTTTAACAGTATTCCAGTTATATCAGCTTAATGTGGGAGGAAAGCTTGAAGTGATGCAGGTCTTAGAGATTTACCACTTCGGTGAAACCCACGAGCACGGGTATGGTGCTGACAAACCTAGAAACATAATCAGGGCGAACCAAGATTCGAACCCCCAATCATAGCTTTCTTGCGTGCCCAAGGGACGCAACTCTGCACAGCGAATTGCGGCGCCTTAGACAACTGGGCCACCCGTGCCCCATGATGGGCAAAGACCCATGATGACAGACAGTCAAATAAGTCGGCGATCACCAGATCAATTAAGTCACCTCTAACGAAAAGCAAATGTAGATACTTCTCAGTCTTGTACTTAGAACAGAACAACAAACAAGATGGCTAAAGCAGCTGCTGAAGGTCATAAGCTCACCTTGACCAAGTTGTGTGTTCTCCAGCTGGGTCCTCTTCTTGCTGATCATGTCCGTGATGGCGGACACAAACGTCTTGTTGTCCTGCCACAGTTGTCGGTTCTCTTGGGTCGGAAGTGAACGGAAGAATGGAATCATCTGCATCAATCTGGAATGTTGTTAGAATACATGCTGCTGTGCTCTGACCTGAGAGACCACACCTTTACTGATCTGGAACTACAGTTCTGATTTAACTGATCTGGTTATGTGAGGTGAGGTGCATATTATTGCACTTATATAGCGACATGCATGTACGTGTGTGTTTGTGTGGCTGCTTGTACTAGTCCGGACTGATGCTGATTTATAGTGCTAGCCCACTGAGATACTATGCCGCAGTTTAACATGAATACCCCCCTCAGACACAGTATACTGACTCCGAGCCGACCAGACCTTGTTTTAGCCCCTTAATGCCAAGCACCAGACAGGGTAACAACAAGTACCATCTTTTAACATCTTTTAGTATGACCCGGCTGGGGATCGAACCCGGGACATTCCACTCTCCAGGCAGACGCTCTACCACTAGACCACGGAGGCGGTTGATCTGTTTCCACAATACGATTTAACTGATTTAACCAGCTTCATTTTGTTGACCTGACACTGTGGCCCTGAATGTACTGACCTGAGTCTACTGCCCTGCAGGATCCGTCGGAAACTCTGGACTCCAGCAGCTGTTGGGTTCTCCACAGCGTGCAGTTGGTAGTCAAACCCACACTCACAGATGAGGTCCAGCGTCTGGATAACACAGGGACCAGTCATTAGGGCAATAACAAGGATGCATGTCAGACTCAGGGACCAGTCATTGGGGTGATAACAAGGATACATGTCAGACACAGGGGCCGGTCATTGGGGTGATAACTAGGAAGCATGTCAGACACAGGGACCAGTCCTTGGGGTGATAACAAGGATGCATGTCAGACACAGGGGCCGTCATTGGGGTGATAACAAGGATACCTGTCAGACACTGGGGCCTGTCATTGGGGTGATAACAAGGATGCATGTCAGACTCAGGGACCAGTCATTGGAGTGATAACAAGGATACCTGTCAGACACAGGGGCCTGAAGTTGGAGTGATAACAAGGATACCTGTCAGACACAGGGACCAGTCATTAGGGTGATAACAAGGATGCATGTCAGACACAGGGACCAGTCATTAGGGTGATAACAAGGATGCATGTCAGACTCAGGGATCAGTCATTAGGGTGATAACAAGGATGCATGTCAGACTCAGGGACCAGTCATTGGAGTGATAACAAGGATACCTGTCAGACACAGGGACCTGTCATTGGGGTGATAACAAGGATGCATGTCAGACACAGGGGCCAGTCATTGGGGTGATAACTAGGAAGCATGTCAGACACAGGGACCAGTCCTTGGGGTGATAACAAGGATGCATGTCAAACACAGGGGCCATCTGGGGTGATAACAAGGATGCATGTCAAACACAGGGACCAGTCATTGGGGTGATAACAAGGATGTATGTCAGACACAGGGACCAGTCATTGGGGTGATAACAAGGATGCATGTCAGACACAGGGACCAGTCATTGGGGTGATAACATGGTTGCATGTCAGACACAGGGACCAGTCCTTGGGGTGATAACAAGGATACCTGTCAGACACAGGGGCCTGTCATTGGAGTGATAACAAGGATACCTGTCAGACACAGGGGCCTGTCATTGGAGTGATAACAAGGATACCTGTCAGACACAGGGACCTGTCATTGGGGTGATAACAAGGATGCATGTCAGACTCAGGGGCCAGTCATTAGGGTGATAACAGGGATGCATGTCAGACTCAGGGACCAGTCATTGGGGTGATAACAAGGATACCTGTCAGACACAGGGGCCAGTCATTGGAGTGATAACAAGGATACCTGTCAGACACAGGGACCAGTCATTAGGGTGATAACAAGGATGCATGTCAGACACAGGGACCAGTCATTGGAGTGATAACAAGAATGCATGTCAGACACAGGGACCAGTCATTGGGGTGATAAAAAGGATGCATGTCAGACACAGGGACCAGTCATTGGGGTGATAACAAGGATGTATGTCAGACACAGGGACCAGTCATTGGGGTGATAACAAGGATGCATGTCAGACACAGGGACCAGTCATTGGGGTGATAACATGGTTGCATGTCAGACACAGGGACCAGTCCTTGGGGTGATAACAAGGATACCTGTCAGACACAGGGGCCTGTCATTGGAGTGATAACAAGGATACCTGTCAGACACAGGGGCCTGTCATTGGAGTGATAACAAGGATACCTGTCAGACACAGGGACCTGTCATTGGGGTGATAACATGGTTGCATGTCAGACTCAGGGACCAGTCATTGGGGTGATAACAAGGATACCTGTCAGACACAGGGGCCTGTCATTGGAGTGATAACAAGGATACCTGTCAGACACAGGGACCAGTCATTAGGGTGATAACAAGGATGCATGTCAGACACAGGGACCAGTCATTGGAGTGATAACAAGAATGCATGTCAGACACAGGGACCAGTCATTGGGGTGATAAAAAGGATGCATGTCAGACACAGGGACCAGTCATTGGGGTGATAAAAAGGATGCATGTCAGACAAAAGGACCAGTCATTGGGGTGATAAAAAGGATGCATGTCAGACACAGGGACCAGTCATTGGGGTGATAACAAGGATGCATGTCAGACACAGGGACCAGTCATTGGATTGATAACAAGGATGCATGTCAGACAAAAGGACCAGTCCTTGGGGCCATTTAATCAGAACTTGGCCACCTTTCTACTAAAAGTGAATACCTATTGTTATGTTCCATCTCCCCAACCTGATATTAAAGTACCACATAAATTGGTATCACATCCTCAAATGATTTAAGTTATTATACTCCTTTATGCTTATTTGAAAAAAAGTTACCTTGAGCTTCAAGTCAACGTTCGTCTATCATACACCAGAAACATTAGGGATAGAGACAAAAGTGAACTTCTCAAGAAAAGTGCCTGGGGTTGATAGATGCTGGTCCAACAAACACAAGGCAGCCCCTGAAACCTGCTCCAACATCTTTATCAAATCTCTAGCCTCACCAGCCTCATCATGGTCATCTGAGCGTCCACTTGAGTCACATGACCCTGCTGTGTGACCGCCGCATCCCACATGGCCACAATGTCCTCTGCGCGTTTCACAAACGTTGGAATGAAGCCTGCAGGACAACACGCCACTGATTCAACAATATGTCAACAGTAGAAGAAACATTAATCTATTTATCCAAAATTACTAGATAAGAACTTTATCAGGAATTAAATGATAATACATAAATGATGATTAAAATAGAAGCATATACTGAAGTTATTCTCGTTTGTTTATAGGGATTTTCCTGGGTTATTTATTTTGGGGGGTCAAGGGAACTCAGAGTCTGTAATTTTTGTGGGGTCACAAGTTAAATGGGGGGGGTCTCCAAATATCAAAAACTGAATGCAGTACTCGGCATGCTTACAGGCCGCAAACTCAAAGATCATGAAGCAATTGTCTTGCATTTCTAAAATGATTCTGTACCAAAACTAAAGTGGTAACAGCATGTTCTGTTTTTGCAGCAGTTTTCTACCCCAGATCTTCCTGGATTGATGGTATAATGACACATCTTCCTAGGTCCGATACAATCCCTCTGTCGTAGTGCTGTTAGAATCGTATCAGGACTATTTCAGGATCTAGTATACATGTATTCCGCCTCAGTAGTCTCCTGACCTTATCCACATTTGCCTTAGATCTGGTTCAAACAGCGCCACCTACTTTCAACAGTGCTGAGTGAGAAGGCAGGGTTCATGACCTTCCTGAGGGCGTGGTGCTCGTCTCCATCCATGAACAACACAAACCTCCTTGCCAGGCTCCGGAAGTTGATGCTCCTGCAACAACTCAGATAGTTGCACACATTGCCTTGACACTACGATAGGTAACATTTGGAACTCACTCGAACTGTTTAATGATTACAATGAACTGAAATGTTTTAGGTTGTTTAATGCGGCACTCAGTAATTTTCCAGTACATGTTAGTGTAAAATAGTCAAAAATATGAACCAGTTGCCTAATCTGCCCTGAAAACCACAATTCAGTGAGAAATTTAATTTGTGTGACATACGATCCAACTCTGCCATAGTTCTTGCTGTTGGTGACGCTGATGTACTTGACAAGGTCAGGGTCAGCCACGAGGACACGCCCCTCGCCGTACAGGAAGTAGTATCGGATGATGCGAGACTTGTATGTCGTCATCCACCTGGACATACGAGGAAACATTCACCAAAACAGGTTGACATTTACAGAAAGAAACATTGTGACAAATAATATTTTGTTCAATCTCATTAAATTCAGATCTTAGTTCTCGCTACCACTAAACAAAGATCTGAGGACATCCTGTTTGGGGTCACGTCAGAACGACCTTTCATCCGACCAATCAGAGCGTCGCTTATCATCCCAACAATAGTTACGGGCTTAACGACTGAATCTATACAATCTAGACCATATATTAGCCATTCGAGAATGTTCTTTTGTTCAGGTTTCAAATTTCAAAGCGAGAATTTGTCAAAATATGTTTCGAAACGAAGTCGCCAATTTGAAATTACGTGGACATACGTGGAAACATTCACCAAAACAGGTTGACATTTACAGAATGAAACATTGTGACAAATAATATTTTGTTCAATCTCATTAAAATCAGATCTTAGTTCTCGCTACCACTAAACAAAGATCTGAGGACATCCTGTTTGGGGTCACGTCAGAACGACCTTTCATCCGACCAATCAGAGCGTCGCTTATCATCCCAACAATAGTTACGGGCTTAATGACTGAATCTATACAATCTAGACCATATATTAGCCATTCGAGAATGTTCTTTTGTTCAGGTTTCAAATTTCAAAGCGAGAATTTGTCAAAATATGTTTCGAAACGAAGTCGCCAATTTGAAATTAGTGCCGTTAAGCACGAGAAAGCTGCCTTCTGATTCGCTAATGTCGACTTCTTGTCAGTAATTCCATTGGTCGGTCAGAGTTTGCCAAAGGTAGGTCTGACGTAACCCGTAATGGGACGTCTTCATATCTTTGTTTAGCGGAAGCGTGAACTAAGATCTGATTTTAATGAGATTGTATTTTATTTGGCATACGTGTTAGAGAGTTCATCCTTCTGACTCCTGCTGTCAGTAAAAGTACAGCCACTTCACCACCACCTGTTCCTAACCAGATAACCACTGATTGACGTCATGAGCAACATTAAAACAGACTATGACAAGACACAATCAAGCAGGTCACTGATCCTGACCCTTCGAACCAAGTGGGTCTGTACAAGGTTTTTTGTCAGTAGCTTGGTTTTCCAAGTTTTACATTTAGGCCAGATCATGTTTTTCTCTTGTACTACAGATTCTTACAGTGCCACATATTGAAAGAGGCCTGGGATTTTGTTTGAGTAAGAATTATTTTTTTTTTAACACTGCTTCACAATTCTTTTAATTTTATGTAGGACATCAATCGGTTGTTTAGTTTTTTGTTAAACCTCAGGTTTATAGACCTATATGTGCCAAGTTTGTTGATAAATTTTCAAAATCTGCTCCGGAAAGGGGCACAACTGCCATTTTCAGTCAAAGTTAAAGTCATTGCCATGGAAACTCAGAAAATAATTTTTTCAAAGTCCCAAACATTCAAAAGGAACCAGTTCACCACTAGACCTATCTATGTACCAAATTTGGTTAATTTATCTCTCATGGTTTTTCAGCTATGCGCCGGAAACGAAACCTGACTGACAGACAGACAGACAGACAGACAGCACCCATTCCTCTATCCCCCTTCCACCTCGCGGCGAGGCACGATGATGTCCCAGACACCACCTGCCAGAACAGGTCCACAAAGTCTCATCACTTACTCTATAGTGTTGCTCATGGCTTCAGCTCGGAGGGCATCAAACATGTTCCCCACGACAGGCTTGTAAGGGGGGCCAGGTATCTGTAGGCAGGAGGGACACATGCTGAGGTTCATGCACCATCTAATACATACATCTAGAGGAGGCATGGGGGACCCAGTCACTCAAGTGCCACAATTTGGTGTCCAGAGTTGCATCCCTTAGTTGGTTACTGCCAGAAACCTATGATTGTGGGTTTGAATTCCAGATTCGCCTCGTTAATGTACAAGTATTATACTGGGCTCATTAGTTTAGTTGTAAACATCTAAGACCTGCATCACTTTGGTCAATCATCCAATAGCCAAGGAAACACCTGTGAAATATCAAACTAACTCATTAACTAATATCCATATCACTGAAGACAACAAGCCAGTAATCCAATCACTGTAACATGCATTGAAACAATCACTTTAGCACTGTAACAATCACTTTAACATTGTAACAATCACTTTAGCATTGTAACAATCACTTTAGCATTGTAACAATCACTTTAACATTGTAACAATCACTTTAGCATTGTAACAATCACTTTAACATTGTAACAATCACTTTAGCATTGTAACAATCACTTTCACTTTAGCATTGTAACAATCATTTTAGCATTGTAACAAACACTTTAACATTGTAACAATCAGTTTAGCATTGTAACAATCACTTTAGCATTGTAACAATCACTGTAACATTGTAACAATCACTTTAGCATTGTAACAATCACTTTAACATTGTAACAATCACTTTAACATTGTAACAATCACTTTAGCATTGTAACAATCACTTTAACATTGTAACAATCACTTTAGCATTGTAACAATCACTTTAACATTGTAACAATCACTTTAGCATTGTAACAATCACTTTAACATTGTAACAATCACTTTAGCATTGTAACAATCACTTTCACTTTAGCATTGTAACAATCATTTTAGCATTGTAACAAACACTTTAACATTGTAACAATCAGTTTAGCATTGTAACAATCACTTTAGCATTGTAACAATCACTTACACATTGTAACAATCACTTTAGCATCGAACAATCACTTTAACATTGTAACAATCACTTGAACATTGTAACAATCATTTTAGCATTGTAACAATCACTTTCACTTTAGCATTGTAACAATCACTTTAGCATTGTAACAATCAGTTTAGCATTGTAACAATCAGTTTAGCATTGTAACAATCAGTTTAACATTGTAACAATCAGTTTAGCATTGTAACAATCAGTTTAACACTGTAACAGTCACTGTAACAAACGCTAATAATCACATTAACAAACACTGAAACAATCACTGGTTTTGTTTTGGCGATGATCTGTCTTGACTTGTAATCTGTGAAGTTACCTGTCTGAGCGGGGAGAGGAACGGCTTGACAAGTGTCTTGTACAGCAACCATGTGCTGCCCCCTACTGTCAAGTACACGCCCACCTCCCGCCACGTCACCCCCTGGTTCATTCGGCTGTACACGCCACTCAGCCATTCCATCGTCCACTCCTTCATCGTGTCGTGGATCGTGGATGGTGACTGTATACGCAGGGGAATAAAAAAAATTCATTAGCAAAGGTTGTGGTGGGAAGTACTTAAAATCTGTCATTATTCACTGCAGCAGAATTCATGGAGACTTGCATCTTCTTGAGACAAGTCCAGTTTCCACCCTTGCCGAACTAGGCTGGAATCATAGTCATATTGGGGCTGGACAAACAAGTCTATGCATAGTCCAATCAAAACCCCATAATGAAATCAACATCCGGTTCATAAACAACATGGCAACCGTTGTGCCTAATTCATTCGATTGCAGGATTTGCAGAGCATGTATACCATCAACTGGGCGTCAACAGATATTTTCCAAATCTTTTCATGTTTTTAATCAAGTTGCTCAAGTGATTTTATGCACTTCGCTAGTTCAAACAAGGTGGAAACTAGATTTTTAAAGTCAGTTAACTCCCTTGCCTCGGGAAGATGGTGATTATCAGGCTCGGCTTTAATGAAACAATAATCAAACTCAATTTTCACAATCACTCACAAAATAAAAAGTATCAATTTCTTACCTTAAACAATGTTAAATGTATTCTATAAAAATGGTACACCAAACACTAATTACTAGTGAAAATGAGTCGTGAAAACATAAATATTTTCATCTATTGCGCCATTCTTGACACTGCCAACTGTAAACAGTTAGCGTGTCAGGTATTTGGCCATCCTGTCTACACGGGATATATATAGGATCGTGACAAAGGTATCATGAAACATATCAGATCGCACAGTTAGTGTAACGTCCTAGCCCTAGTTATACTTTTGGGATTTTTACATTTTTCATGTGCATTCAGGGTTTCAGTCGGTCACCAGTCAGAGACCAATAAAATTTCAATTTGACAGATGGTATGTTAAAGTAGTCAGACTTTTGACCGATTGATATGCTGAGCTAGGCGTGACAAGCTTTTATAATTTCATGATTAAAAGTAAATAGTAAGGATTATTCCTACTGACAGTATCGATCTCAATTACCGATGAAATGCTCTCATGAAGTTTTGTGTAATTCAGAGAATGGACAGTACAAATGTTGTCCTGTTTTCAATCAGAGTTTTCGGCACCATGCCTTTATTATAGTTCATGTCACAATTATATTGTATGTTGTATTAAAGTCTTATGTTGGCAATGTTGTCTTGTTTTTTCAACAAAAGTTAAGTAAGTACAAGGTAAGTTTTATTCAATATGCTTCAACATGGGGAAAGGGTCAGACATTGCAGGCTTGTGACAGTTGTCCTTGTGTCTGGGAGATGGGGGGTGAAGTTTATGGCTGAATTGTCCCCCGACCCAGCGGGTAGCCATTACTCATTTAACTTTGAATTTTTTGGGGGGAAGGGTTGAGAGGGAGTAGGCGTTTTCATGTGTTACGGGTTAACAATAAGTTAACCCAGAAATCTGTACCAAAAGAATTTGGCATGAAACCAACAAACAACAAACAAAATTATTAACGGTGTACAATTAACAATTAATTAGGTTTACAAATCAATACAATGTTCTGAAGAGTAATAACAATGGCAATACACATTTGAGTGGCAGTACCGAGTAGAAAATGTGACGGCAGTACAGTCATAATAGCAGTATAAAATACAATAGCAGTGGTGATTGCAAAAGGTCAGCCGATGTGCAAACTTTTGTAAGAATCCGCTACGCGGGTTCATACAGTTTGCACATCGGTCTTTCGATTCATACCTCAATGAACTAAAAAAAATACACAGTCAATCCTTAAATGAGAGGGGAATATATAAATGCTAATGTTTTTATCAATTTGCAAAAGTATTTGTTAGCAAACATAGAGATGTCATGATTCCATGAAAGGTACAAGTTTTAATCATACGTGATTAAAATATCTAAAAGTTCAATGACATCAATTATTCTTTTATGTGAAGCGACCAACACCAGCAGTGTCACAATTTGCCTACCTCACAATAAGAATGGTAATTTGAACTGTTTTTTTAAAATGACATTCACCATATTCATGAATCATAGCTATGCAATAGCACAAAGTAGACACCGAATAGAAAAAGCATAGCAGTGCATCGCTACATTTCACAACCACTCAGCTGATTTGGACTTCGAACTCTTACACCTTCAATATGTTCGACATTCATTAACCATAATATCTAGATCAACGCATGTATCCAGGTAGTTAATGGGACCAAAGGCCATAGGCAGATACGATCAATACACAGTCTCTACTGAGACAATACTTCACCAACAGAACGAGTCGATCCATAACTACTCCTTACCTGTCAACTCTGAATAACTGAATACAGTAAACTACGTTTATAACGAACACGCTAACAACAAACTGACGGATATAACGAAATGTATTTTCATCCTCTCTATTTGCTGTATATTTATGGTATATTTATGGTATATTTATGGTATATTTATATATATATGCGGTATATATGCTTTTAACAAACTGGGTGGCACGGGTGGCCCAGTCGTCCAAGGCGCCCCGATTCGCTGTGCAGAGTTGCGTCCCTTGGGCACGCCAGAAACCTATGATTGTGGGTTCGAATCATGGTTCGCCCCATTACGTTTCTAGATTTGTCAGAACCATACCCGTGCTCGTGGGTTTCACCGAAGTGGTAAACGTCTGAGACCTGCATCACTTCGGGCTTTCCTCACACATTAAGCTGACACGCCGTGATATAACTGGAATACTGTTAAAAGCGGCGTTAAACCCAACTCACTCACTCACTATAACAAACTGACGGATATAACAAACTATTATTGGCCCTGTCCATTTGCGGTACATTTGCTGTATATATGCTTATATCAAATTACGGTTATAACAAACTAAAATTAGTGGTTCCTTTCAGTTCATTATAACCGCAGTTTACTGTAAATATATTCCTACTGCAGTACAGTGGTAATCACACAACAGAATACCTGAGAACATGTTATTATCTTTCTTAGGGCTAGAAGTTTTTGCTTTTTCGGTGTCCTTCTAACGCTAAAGCCTGTACCTATCATGACCGTTCTATGGTTACACGACTGTCAATGATAACTAGATAACTATGATAGCCAGATATATTGCGGATATCTACTGCAGAGGAATAGGCAAGTTCTGATGGAGTGAGGTTCATGTTCATTGTTGCCTTGGGTCCCAAGTTAGGACATTATCACAGCCGGTGTATATCGCTATACGCTTAATACGAACGAATTAATATCTGTACAGAATTACCTGTTTTTAGCTAGATGTATCCCGAATCAACATGGATCACATGACATCAGTTGTGTGATGTGTGTTCGCACGCTCGACACAAAATAATAACAAGGAAACTCACCAGCTGATCACAGCAGCTGTGAAAAGTCGGATCGGCACGAATCCGGAAAAAAACCTTCGCTCGGTCGATACGTTTTGAAACACACTCGATGTTATGGAAATCTGACGGGATTATGCAGTTAATATGTTTATATAATGTTTGTGTGCCTTATACTGTTTTCTTCACGTTTTCAAAAATCTCAGACATGATCAACAGTACTTGGTGAGAGCAATATTTTACTGGAGCTTCATCTTGCTGTCCGAATTCTAAGAATGTGAAACTTAAAAGTATTATCGTATAAGCTACGTTGTTTTGTGTTTCAAATTAATTTCACCTGAACACAAAATCGTTTTTCATCACTAAGCATTTCGTCGATAATTGTTTAATGTTTTCGTTGTTTTTTTAAATGCTTTCAGCTGCAAATCCACACGTTCGTTCGTGTGTGAGTGAGTATGGTTTTACGCCGCTTTTTGCAATATTCTAGCAACACCACGGGGCACCGCAAAGGGACTTCACACATTGTACCCATATGAAGACTCGAATCTGGACATCAGGCGAGACGAGCGAACACTTGAACCACTAGGCTACTCGGTCCGCCAACCCTCATCTAAAGTTATACATTGTCATACTCTTCAGCTAATGGTGACATTGTATTTGTATGAATCCACTTTGCCGAGACAATAACATTACAAAATGGGCAATACTACCATTTATTTTGTGTCTATAGTGATGCAATAGTATAGTTGTCTCCAACTATAAAATGGATATATTTCACCCGTGTGAAATAACACTTTGTAATAGATCTACTTTCAATCTACCTCAATTACTAGGGTTTTCAGAGTAAGATCATAAAACTCATACAAGAAAATAGATAATTGTTGTGTATCACTGTATATGCGATGTAGACACGTAGTGGTCTAGGGGACCCTTGGAGATCCAGACGGAGATAGGTCTTCAGCAACCCATGCTTGCCGTAGAAGGCGACTGCTTGTCGTAAGAGGCGACTAACGGGATCGGGTGGTCAGGCTCGCTGACTTGGTTGATGCATGTCATCCTAATTGCGTGGATCGATGCTCATGATGTCAATCACTAGATTGTCTGGTCCAGACTCGATTATTTACAGACCGCCATCATATAGCTGGAATATTGCTGAGTGCGGCGGTAAACAACATACACGAACAAAACAAAACTTAAATAATCGAGCTGTATCACCCACATGCCATGTGTGATAACAGGACCCCATCAATGATATGTTTCTTGACATGCTCTTCTGCTATTGCGGCACTATCACAATTATAGCAATGATTTGTCTGTCACCAGTCATGTCTGAATTGAGGTCTACTACAGACATTATATAATCGAGCTGTATGACCCACTTGCCATGTACGATTGCAGACAGACCGGTTCACTATGAATATGATGATGCACCCGACAACTTTCGCGACATTCAGGGTGTTTTAATGTGAACGGTTCAGCATGGCGAAATGAAGTGAAGTTTAAACAGATATCCCCATCTATCACTGTACCCAGCGTCTTATTCCTTGCTCATGGATCATCAGTTCTTTTATATTCTTATAAGATTTCTGAGGGTCAAACCCACAACAATTTCAAGCGGATAACGCCACCAAAAGTGCTACATAATCATTACAAACATGACTCTACCACATTGAGGTGGACACAAACGCTACTTGCAAGCTGCTCGAGGCGCCTGTTCTTGAAAGCGGACACTTAGATTTCCACGCTTCACAAATTTGATAAACTCAATTTCTACCTAACGACGAAGTTCCATGACTACATATTTATAAAGCTTTTGTCTATAAAATAAGGAAGAGCTTAACAATCTGTCAAGACAATTTTGATTTTTTTTAAAAGTTTTTCAAGATATGTGTAATCAAACGAGGGCGTCGTGCAGACTTTACCAACCCTAACTTAACTACCCGCTCATTTTGAGTGAGTGTGAGTGAGTATGGTTTTACGCCGCTTTTAGCAATATTCAAGCAATATCACGGCGGGGGACACCAGAAATGGGCTTCACACATTGTACCCATGTCGGGATTCGAACCAGGGTCTTCGGCGTGACGAGCGAACGCTTTAACCAATAGGCTACCCGACCGCCCCCGGCTCATTGTGAGGTGTAAACAGGGCACTATGGTTTGAAACTTGATGTATAATACTTGACTTGTTACCCGATTGATTGATCAAAATACCAATCTTCGCATTGGGAAGCGGACACTTCCGTTCTTGGACTCAAACCCAGGAGTACGTCCATACGGGGTGGTCACATAGCTTAGTGCAGCGTTGTACAGCAGATGTGTATAATCTTGGCCCATTGTGTAATATGAAAATGGCGACAAGAAAAACACTAACAATTCAAATTCAAATTTTAATCAATAAATGCATTGTATATTTACAACATCACAGTCATGGTTTGGTAATTCTCTCTCATTGCAAAAGCAAATTCGAAAAGCAGAGACCTTGTTGGCGAGTTGCAGCTGAAGGGTCACCAAGGGCGACCCAGCATCACGATCGTTAGTATACAGAGCCACAGGGTATGAGACTTCACGTTCACGTTAATAATTCTTCTTCTGATAAGACATATAAAATTAACACCTTCCCTGATGTCATTACATTTACAAGTCACTCTAGAAGAATTATCTGCGGTTGATACAAAAATACGAAATGGAAAACTCGGATCTTGAGAGCAGAGATATCTTTCTTCTGTACATCCAGTTTCTTGTGTTCATTTCCATGTACAAGATGTCTTTGGAATCAGAAATTAGTGCGTCTCTTGTAAAGCATATTAGCCACTGCAATTGCTCACAACTGTCAGTATACCCGAAACACCACAGGCGGGTCAAATCATCCACACCATTTTCTAATAAAGACCTAAGGTGACGAAACACTTGTTAAATTCAAGACACGCAATCCAGGTCTGCTAAAATAACAGCATGACTTTAGGACAAGTACCGTTACTCCCGAGGAAACATGTGTACCCAGACAGCATGTTTTCCGGATAAGAAAGTACCAAGTGCAATTTGATGTTCATACGAAAGACAATATTATTGTCGCAGATTGAATGCACTCAGCACGTGAGCTCCAGCGTCGGTAGAACGTATAAAAGTAAAACAAGAACAAGGGACGCTGGCTCTATAGAATAAACCTGCAAACTCTGTAGAACCAAACCCAAACTCCTCTTGTGTTTTGAAAGGCAACACCATGAACGCCATAAACATGATCTGTTAGTTCATCGATCCGGATCCCGTCGGTCTGGAAATGTACATTTAGTATATGAAATCATGACGGGTCTATAGTCTGTGATAGACAGATTGGGTAAGTGAGTGAGTGAGGGCTTATCTCCGCTTTCAACAATATTTCAGCTACAGCAAGAGTGAGTGAGTGAGTATGGTTTTACGCCGCTTTTAGCAATATTCCAGCAATAACACGGCGGGGGACACCAGAAATGGGCTTCACACATTGTGCCCATGTCGGGAATCGAACCCGGGTCTTGGTCGTGACGAGCGAACGCTTTAACCACTAGGCTACCCGACCGCCCCGCTACAGCAAGAGGGAGCACATCTCGAAGTGAAGCACGCCTCCGACAGTTACCACCTTGGGGAAACCCACAGGTTTAGTGCTGACCAGCCAAAGATCTTAATCAGAACATAACCAAAGGTGAATCCAGAGCATTCGGATCCTAGCACATTTAAGGGACAGAACTCTACACGGGGGATCTGCAGCCTCGTGCCATGACACGTTGTCTTTTTCTTGAAAGGGCAGACATGAACAGTCCCGTGGTCATGCGAAAAGGTCTTATCCATAAGGATGGATCATGGTATCAACTCAAGATCAGTTTTATGTTTGGGTTAGGGTGGCAATTGTTTTACAAAATCCAAGTTTCATTATTCATTACGTTTGTGCAAATCAGAAATATGAGTATTGTCATGAAGTCTGACAAATAGTCGCAGAGTTCCTCTTGTAGAAACAATGAGTAACCATAACGTTGACTGGTGTCACCTATTCGAGGCCTCTGCCCCCAGAAACTGCGCGCATCTGTTTCTGCAACGATGTCCAACGTCGTTACCTTTCAAAATCTTCTTTGATGATGCACACATATAATCATTAGGCACAAACTCGCTATATAACACTCTCTGCTTCGAAAAATTATAAAGATCATTGACTGAAGGTAGTGATCACATATTGTTCTACGTGGGACTGTTTATGCTGGAAGGAGAAGCGGCATTGGCCTTCATTGAGAGGAAGGCACGGGAAGACTTCATAGCAGACATCGTTGGAACCATGGAGGTGTTTCTAGCCTGAGCCACGTTCGCCTTCATCTTAGCTGCCAAACGCATCATTTTCACCAAGTCCTCCCGGGACTTGCTCTTACAGAAGGAGTCAAAGGCTGCTTCGAGTCTCTGTCTGTCCAGCGTCAACGTGTTGTACCTCTTGCCCACAGGGCTGGTAGGCGCGCTCTCGTTCTCCTTCAAATATCTGAACAGCTCGGCAGATCCTTGCAATTGTCTTTTGGGAACAGGCTTCTCGTTAAATGATTTCACTTCGTCCAGGAAGTTCTTGATCTTCTCCTCCAAGGGGTAAGCGGTCTCGGGTGCCTCCTCCTCCTCTGACTCTTCTGACTCGGAGTCAGAAGGCGGACGCTCCCCGAATGTCACAAACCTCTTGGGACCGAGGTTAGGCGGTTTTGGTTTTGGTTTTGGTTTTTCGAGAGTTTTGGGTAAAACAACGATCGTCTGTATCTTTGTCCTCTTGGAGGGCAGAGCTGGCAGCTTGGACATCTTGTCTTCCTCTATCTCAGTCAGGAAGACACCACGGGATTTCCTGCCCAGTGGGCGTGGTGGACTCGAGCCGCGGGATGACCCCACTGGGGCTGACCTGTCGAGAGCAGATAGGGAATATGAGGACATGGGAATATGAGGACATGGGAATATGAGGACATGGAAATATAGGACATGAGGATACAGCACACCGGAATGTTGGACATGAACATATAGGACACGGGAATATAATCGCAAATGCAAACATAATGAAATGACACAGTTTATTTGCACTTTGTATTTGTATACCTGTACATACCATCACTCTGACATGCTCTGACTTTTGCCTGACTGACGTCTACAAGCCTGTTCTATCCATACCATGTCCACCATCTTTAATCCCAATTCCTGGACAAAGCCACTCACACAACTTCATGCATCATACACCGTGCCCCGTTTGCGTTTGGTTAACATTGCGTTTCCAGCCGTAGTATCCCACAACCATCAATCCATTCTCCCACAGCTGAACCCATCCACTAATCCCACATATCCACGACCCACCCTGCTGCACAACACCAAACACCTCAACCCTCTACAAATCAACCCAGCTCATCCTTCCAGAGACACACGCATTCCACCCGTACACAGTTTCACCCATCCACCTTTTCTCAAGACCTACCCAGTCCATCCTTCTATACAGATCCACCATATTCTATTCACCTTTCTAATAATCCACCCCATCCACCTTTGTACAGTCCTACCCAGTTCACCATTTTAGTCCACCCTTTACAGATCCACCCAGTTCATCCTCCTTCTATACACCCACCAGCCTACCCTCCTGTATGTCCACCCAATCCACCCTTTACAGATCCACCCAGTTCATCCTCCTTCCATACACCCACCAGCCTACCCTCCTGTATGTCCACCCAATCCACCCTTTACAGATCGACCCAGTTCATCCTCCTTCCATACATCCACCAGCCTACCCTCCTGTATGTCCACCCAATCCACCCTTTACAGATCCACCCAGTTCATCCTCCTTCCATACACCCACCAGCCTACCCTCCTGTATGCCCACCCAATCCACCCTTTACAGATTGACCCAGTCCACCCTTCTAAACCATCCATCCAGTTTATCCTCCTTCTCAACATCCACCCAGCCTCCCCTCCTGAACACCCACCCAATCCACCCTTTACAGATCCACCCACTCCACCCGTCTACGGATCCATCCAATCCACCCTTTACAGATCCACCCAGTCCACCCATCTACAGATCCACCCAGTCCACCCATCTACAGATCCATCCAGTCCACCCTCTACAGATCCACCAAGTCCAACCGTCTACAGATCCACCCAGTCCAACCGTCTACAGATCTACCCAGTCCAACCGTCTACAGATCCATCCAGTCCACCCTTTACAGATCCACCCAGTCCACCCGTCTACAGATCCATCCAATCCACCCTTTACAGATCCACCCAGTCCACCCGTCTACAGATCCATCCAGTCCACCCTTTACAGATCCACCTAGTCAAACCGTCTACAGATCCACCCAGTCCAACCGTCTACAGATCCATCCAGTCCACCCTTTACAGATCCACCCAGTCCACCCGTCTACAGATCCATCCAGTCCACCCTTTACAGATCCACCCAGTCAAACCGTCTACAGATCCACCCAGTCCAACCGTCTACAGATCCATCCAGTCCACCCTTTACAGATCCACCCAGTCCAACCGTCTACAGATCCATCCAGTCCACCCTTTACAGATCCACCCAGTCCACCGATCTACGGATCTACCCAATCCACCCTTTACAGATCCACCCACTCCACCCGTCTACCGATCCATCCAATCCACCCTTTACAGATCCACCCAGTCCACACGTCTACAGATCCATCCAGTCCACCCGTCTACAGATCCATCCAGTCCACCCGTCTACAGATCCACCCAGTCCACCCGTCCACCCTACCTGCTCCTGTCCTTCATGTCCAGCTGCTGAAGCCGCCTCATCTCCTGGGCGGAGTGGGACCTCTGTACAATCAGCTCCTTCTGCCGGGACACCAGCCGGTTTTGGTACCTGGGGACAAGGAGGTGCACTGTTACATACGCGGAGGGGTCATTTCACTATAACTTTGACACAGGGTAGTAGACCTTCTACATGTAGGGAGTGACGTGCTAGGCAGGGCATGCTGTATTATTTGGGTAGAGGATAATATGATAATTTGTGGAGGGGGTGGGCTTTTTGGGGGTGTGGGGGGTGGGAACGATATATTACACACTGAATTGAAAATGCTATATTACATGTCAAATGGTGGAGAGAAAAACTATATACATCTAAAGTATACTCCAATGTTTGATGGTGGGTGGGGGGTGGGGGGTGACTGTTACAAGGCTAGAGGAAAGTGCTATATTACACAATGGGAGGAAAATGCTATATTACACGAGAAGAAGAAAATGCTATCTTACACAAGGTGAGGAAAATACTATATCACGCAAGGAGAGGAATATGCTATATCCCATGTTGGAGAGAAAAATGTTTTATTATATACTTCAGTGTGAAAGAGGCTGAATGTAAAGTGATAAAAGTGATATTTTCATTGTAGTGAACACAACATTGATATTTCACTGCAGTGAACCAAACAGTTTGACGGAACTATTGTCATACAAGAGTACCCCTCTCCCCCCCCCCCCCCCCCCCCCCCCTTAAATTGTCTCCCTTTGTCGTAAGTGACTCGCCCGTACACAAACTGTTGACGTTTTTTACGTTAGGTGAACATTGATAAGGCAAAATAATGATAGACAGTCGTTTATGGAGTTAATGTCACTTCTTGACGTTTGTTATTCTCTCGAAAATGTTTCAATATAAACTGTAAATTTCTCGTTTAACTCGTTAATCGATATTGTTCGTTTCGCAAAGCGCCATTTTTGTAACTTGACCAGCATGTATTCTTTTGCTTCCAACAGCGGTCTCCTAGTTATCAAGAATATTTTTTGTTAAAGCTGATTTTGTATATAATCATATTGAAATGTATGATAAAGAAATTTCGTGACTTTTACTTTTGTTTATATTTTTCAAGATTTGGAAACACGAACCTACCTTTTAAGTCGCAAATTCAAGGGGTGAACCCTGTGTGTTAGGTAGGGAGAATTTACGTTTCAAAGTTTTACATTTGTAATGAAATAATTTAATTTTTGGGTAGACAACTACACAAAAAGTATATAATAAATAGGATCTTCCATGTGTCGAGTGAAATATCATGTTTCTCTCATCTCGTGATGGGGGGAAAAGGAGGTATTTTACTCGTGAAAATATCTCATTTCCTCCATCACACCATGAGAGAAACATGATAATTCATTCGACACATGAAATATCCTCTATATATTCGTGTTCATGTCATACTATGTTTACGCTACTGGTGCCTGGATTTAGTCACTCGTGTCGAAAACATACTATGACATGAACACTCATATAATGTCCTCTATATATGACACGTGGGGAGGAAAATGTTATATTACACAGTGGAGGCGAAAATGCAACATTACACAGGGGAGAGGAAATGCTATATTACACAGTGGAGACGAAAATGCAACATTACACAGGGGTGAGGAAATGCTATATTACACAGTGGAGACGAAAATGCAACATTACACAGGGGTGAGGAAATGCTATATTACACAGTGGAGACGAAAATGCAACATTACACAGGGGTGAGGAAATGCTATATTACACAGTGGAGACGAAAATGCAACATTACACAGGGGTGAGGAAATGCTATATTACACAGTGGAGACGAAAATGCAACATTACACAGGGGTGAGGAAATGCTATATTACACAGTGGAGACGAAAATGCAACATTACACAGGGGTGAGGAAATGCTATATTACACAGTGGAGACGAAAATGCAACATTACACAGGGGTGAGGAAATGCTATATTACACAGTGGAGACGAAAATGCAATATTACACAGGGGTGAGGAAATGCTATATTACACAGTGGAGACGAAAATGCAACATTACACAGGGGTGAGGAAATGCTATATTACACAGTGGAGGCGAAAATGCAATATTACACAGGGGTGAGGAAATGCTATATTACACAGTGGAGACGAAAATGCAACATTTTACAGGGGAGAGGAAATGCTATATTACACAGTGGAGACGAAAATGAAACATTACACAGGGGTGAGGAAATGCTATATTACACAGTGGAGACGAAAATGCAACATTACACAGGGGTGAGGAAATGCTATATTACACAGTGGAGACGAAAATGCAACATTACACAGGGGTGGGGAAATGCTATATTACACAGTGGAGACGAAAATGCAACATTACACAGGGGTGAGGAAATGCTATATTACACGAAAGTGGCGTGTGTGTGACAACCCCGTGCACCACGCCTTTATCTCCCCCGGGACCTCAAAGTGAGCCAGGAGATGAAGCCAGCCTACCTCGCCATGAGCCTCTTCTCCACGGTGATGTCCTTGACGAGCGTGCTGATCTGCTTCTGGTACAGGTCAACCTCCTTGATGTACTGGGTGCCCAGCGTCTTGTGCTTGTTGAACAGCAGCTGCGAGTGGTTGGGCGACAGCATCACCTCCACGTTCATCGTGTGGTCCTGCCACGACAGGTTCTTCGTCTTTAACAGTAGCAGCGACATCGTCGACGAGATTTTCACACGTTAGCTAACTAGGAATCCTGGTTGATGGCGCTCACCACTGTAGTCAGTGGACCCAGTTCACAAAATGCGTAGTTGTCTGCGTTTTATTCTATCCTAAAGGAGACATGTAATCTAGTTTGTATAATCATGTATAATTATGACTAGGTGTATAGAGTAACAGTGTCTATCTGCGATAAATCCAGAAAACAAACCTAATCAGAATTTCATTTCATTCCTGCGTGGTTTTCTCAAAGTATGACTTCTGGTCCCAATGTGGGTGTCAGTGGCAACAAAGTCTGCAGCGCCACTATAGCAATCACCATGGAGACTGCCTATACTTTAATCACTCTCCTATAGGTCACTCTTCTTGTTGTATTCCCGACTGAACTCTTCGCGATCCTCAAACTGTTACGCATAATATTGAAATCTCTTTTCGTGACCTGCATTGAAATACCAGCAGCTCCACCATTGATTAACAAATCATCTGCGTAGCTCCCGTTCCTTCAGATTAATTGCAGACAATTGTATCCTGAATAGTATTAATCAATACAAATGTTCTTCAGAAGTACAAACTACAGTTTCAGCTGGTGTTATATTCTACAGTCATATTCCATTCTGCAGATCAGACTAGCAGGGGAATAAACTTAGGATAATCCACTGAGACAACGTCCTTCCATATCTGCTTCCAAAGACACCTGAAAAGAAAAATCACTGCGTGAGTTCCAATCAGACACCCACCACGTATAGGTACACCTACTTCAATACTGGCGGGCGTTAAGCCTTACACGAACGTTACCTGGGGGAGTCACTACAACGGCACACGGCAACCCCGTAACGCACAGCAGCAAACCACTGTAACGAGGTAAATAACAATATTGATGTGCAAACCTCGGTACACCTCTCGCTCGTCTCCCAGAACCCAGTCCTCACAGAGAGGTGGGGGGTGTATTTTCATAAACGTATACAAGTGTATATCATGATGTACACACTACCTAGGAGATATGAAAGGTCCGTGCTGCCACCTACCTCCTTCCAGCAAGCCATGCTCCATTAACCGTCGTCAAGCTAATCTGATCCCATCTCCACCCAGAGTAAATGTAACAAACAGTTGGGGAATAGGATCCCGTATTTCTGTAGGATAATCCTGGCAATCTGCTACCCATGATTATTTCCTTTGTGAGTCAGTGTGGGAGATTACAGCATACATAATACTCACGCGTTATGAATGTATATAGGCCCGCGACCTATACAGGGTTTAAGACGAGTTCCTGAATACAAAACCAATATATTTTGCTTATGATTTTTTTAATTTTATTCTCTGGATGATTTGCTAAACTAACTTTTTAGAAGGGGAAATTGTCGATTTTATGGCCAGGAATATCACCAACTCTGTGACTGTTAGGGTGGGAAGTCGTTTCCGCTTGTAGCGTGGCAGGCAACGGGTCGATGCTGGCCTAACAGTAAACTTGGTGGCTTGGATCAAATCTCCGGAATACAGAGGTTTATTAGCCTGTCTGCTCAGCGTAGGTGAAAAACACAAACTAAGAGCACGAAGTGGAATTATAACTGGTCGGTGTCCCATGGCCTAGTGCCAATATACTTCCAGCTTAGGTCTAGATATTGTAACATGTACGGCGTGACATTGAGACATATTCTCTGTGCTTTAGGGTACTTTTCAGCTGTGAGATGATACACATATAAGGTTCAAGTTAGCAGAGAAATTTTAATTTTTTTATGACAAGGATCAACGTTCATATGCGTGCTGGCTGCATGGATGACGGGGACGAACACGTGTATTTATCGTTACGATTGACATAATCAACACATGTTTGTGAGCAGGGAGTAATACTGATAATATAGTATATGCTCGGTGATGAACTTAATAAACAAATAGAAACAAATAAGTAATGTCGTTTTTCTGCCCTAGCTGCACATCCTACACTACCCATTTTCGAAATCAAATTTACTCATGATTAAATGTGTCATATTGATACTGGTCAATTCAAAACTAACTCCCTCTCCCTCCTCCTCTCTCACCCCCATATTCCTCTCCCCCTCCCCCTCTCTCACCCCAATATTCCTCTCCCCCTCCCCCTCTCTCACCCCCATATTCCTCTCTCTCTCTCCCCCCTCCCTCCTTCTCTCTCACCCCCATATTCCTCTCCCCCTCCCCCTCTCTCCCCCCCATATTCCTCTCTCCCTCCTCCTCTCTCAACCCCCATATTCCTCCCCCCTTTCTCACCCCCATATTCCTCTCCCCCTCCCCCTCTCTCACCCCCCGTATTCCTCTCTCTCTCTCCCCCTCCCTCCTCCTCTCTCACCCCCATATTCCTCTCCCTCCCTCTCCTCCTCTCTCACCCCCATATTCCTCTCTCCCCCTCCCTCCTCCTCTCTCACCCCCGTATTCCTCTCTTTCCCCCCCCCCCCCCTCCCACCTCCTATCTCATCCCCATATTCCTCTCCCCCCCCCCACCTCCTCCTCTCTCGCCCCCATATTCCTCCCCTCTCTCTCTCTCTCTCTCTCTCTCTCTCTCTCACACACACACACACACACACACACACACACACACACACACACACACACACACATTTAAAAGAAAGACTTTACCATATAACTTCACTTACCTGTAGGTGTGATAAGCCAGTTATTCACCAGCTAAGAACATGTTTCTATTTTTCGAGTCCACATTGTGTAACATCTCCATCGCTATAAACAAACACCTGCCTCCCCTGCCTGCACTGGTCGATGTGCCTTCTGATGGCCGACTGGTATCTCCGGGCGACCGGGGTGCTGTTTAATAATACACGACCCCTGCCTGATGATAGTTCGGCTTGATTAAACCAGCGGCCATGTATCTAGGAGCCAGTCCAGTAATTGCGTCAATATTGACAGTTCCTATGTAATGTCACGTAAAGGAATGGTAGGTCATTGTTTTTTAAAACCGTTTACACATTTTTGTTTCAAATATTCAAAATAGGATTAGTCGCAACGAAAATAAAATTTGTGATGATGGTATTTTAACTGTTTTGTTGACGTGCATTGACGTAGCACAAAAAGCAAGTGCTTACACCTTGAAATCGTTACAAAAATAACATAAAATAGATATTTTTACAAAAGTATTTTAGTGTGTTCTTCATTTCAGTCGTTTGTTATAAATTTAGTTACATGATCTTTTGTAAATTTACAGGATGATCTGCCTGTCAGTATCAAAATTGTCGTTGATGAGTTTTTTCGATGTTGTTTTCTTGTAACATTCCCTTTGTCCTTTAGCGAACACCTGGTGTCACAACTGATTTTCAATGGTCCTTTCATATAATTGTCACAGCTATTTTGCCCTTTATCGATGAAATCTGTCTCGATGGACGATCTAGAGTCATAATTCTCTTGTTTTTTATGTTTTATGTTGTATGAGGATATCTGGGTTTGATCACAATAATCATACTGTTTTTTACTTAAAATGTGTTATGTACACCGTGGTAAGTATATTTTGTGATACCTCTGTTTTCGATATGTGGCACTGGCCTGCTTGTGTTGGATGAGCGTTGTGAGTGTTAAAGAAATCAAGTACTGCAATAGGATTGCTCTCATTCTAATGTTCCCGAGCTGTGCCCATGACGTAAGTATGAAGTTGGTTGGTTGGTTTGATGATTAACGCCGCACTCAGCAATATTCCAGCTTTATGACGGCGGTCTGTAAATAATCGAGTCTGGACCAGACAATCCAGTGATTAATATCATGGACATCGATCTACGCAATTGGGATCGATGACATGTATCAACCAAGTCAGCGAGCCTGACCACCCGATCCCGTTAGTCGCCTTTTACGACAAGCATAGTCGCCTTTTACGGCAAGTATGGGTTGCTGAAGACCTATTCTACCCCGGATCTTCACGGGGTAAGTATGAAGAGTGCCTGTGGTGTACATTCTGGTGTACATGCTGTCTGTTAGCTTTGGTTCGTTCGTTTGTTGTTTAACGCCGCACTCAGCAATAATCCAGCTATATGACGGCGGGCAATCCAATGATTGACATCATGAGTACGATCTACGCAACTGGGATACGATGACATGCATCAACCAAGTCAGCGAGCTTGACCACCCGTTCCCTATAGTCGTCTCTTACGACAAGCATAATCGCCTTTTACGGAAAGCATGGGTTGCTGAAGACATATTCTAACCCGGATCTTCATGGTCCCGTCTGTTAGCGTCCGACAAAGCATGTCCGTGTTTCTAGTTCTATTAGATGTACAGGTAGAAGGTACCGTTTTAACACGAGATAACAACCCTTATTCTATCTTCTTTAATTGGAGGGGTCATTGTTCCCAAGTCGTCTGAGGTGCCACAGTTCGATGTGCAGAGTTGCCTCCCTTAGACGGGCCAGACACCCTTGATCGTAGATTCGAATTCCAGATTCGCCCTGATTATGTATATGTTTTTCAATACCTAACCGTGCTCGTGATTTCACCAAATCGGTAAACGTGTGAGACCTGCATCGCTTCGGGCATTTCTCCCACATTAAGCTGACTCGCCGTGATATAACCGTGATATAACTGAAATGCTGTCCACAGCAGGGCTATACCAAACTCACTCTCTCACTCATTATTCAATTTGAATGTTGACTTTTCAAACTGCCAATTTTGAAAATGAAAATGTTCCGATATAAACGTCGACTGTAATATATCACGATGTACACAACAAGTTTGTCAGTTCATTTTTCTGACGTAAAATAATCTAATTACTTTCTCCTGATAACATTCAACCTGCGGTGTGTCACACTGTCGTCACTTATCAATTTCCTGTCAAATGTTATTTTATACAAAATATAATGTTGTGCTATGATTACATACATTTGGAAACACTAGAAATGGATTATAGTCTGCCACATTAGTACACTGGAACGAGAGAGCATGGATGTCCGCTGACAGCGGATCACAGGTTTTCGGGCGTCATACGTTTTCGGACGGTCCTGTTAATGGCGATTACTCGCGCTATAACTGGGAATGTAGCATCACACAGACATTGTCAATACTGAGATGATGGCTTGTTTTTAAGAGAAAATTGTCTTTCAAAAGTGAATGATATGTTTTACAGTTGTTCATATGTTCAGAGAGAAATCTACGATTGTTTGTTTAGCGTCAGAAAACCCATAACACGGGGATCTATTAAAAATATATTTTAGGAAAAAAATGTTTCCTTTTATCACCATTAACAAGAGACGTGTGACCCGGGTGCTTAATTATAAATTGTATTAAAGCGGATCGTTTCAGTAAGATACATTTTCTTCATAATGCTGTCAAAAGATAGAAGATTCGTATCTGATCAGATGATGATCGATTTCATGTCACAGTCCGGTGTGTACCGTTCAGTGAGGGATTACCTCAGAGTGGTGCGCACACGAACAGCTGATTATCTGCGAGCAACTTGACCTGCGCATGCGTAGTGTACTCGCTTACAACCGGGAAGTTCGATGTGAAGTTGATGTCGGATTCATATGATTAATGTAAGTTGTCCAAAATACAAATGAGTATCGAGCGATCGAACACAATGTTGGTCGGACGACTACAATCGTATCCCACGGCGCTGATCCAAGAGATGTAAATCGAATAAAACTTAACAGCTTTCAGTCTCTTATAGGAGTAGTAGTTTTATTCCATATAGACCAAATTAAGAAAACAAAAAAATAACAAATTAAATAAATCAAGTGCATGGATGAAGACATGACCCCCTCCCACCACCACCACCACCCCCCCCCCCCCCCCCCCCACCCCTCCCCCCACCCCCCACATCCCTCCTCTCGGTGATTACATTTGAACGTTAACTCTTGGACATGTGAAATTACAATTATCTTTACCTTTGAGCATACAAAATAAGTATTTAGATACATTATTAACAATTTTAGAACGCTCATCTTGCAACAAATGAACAAATTGTAGTCAATTTGGAACTCAACATAAATATTCAGATAGATAGTTGTCTCAAAGTAGTGTGATAAGGACACATCGAAACAACTTGTTATTCATCTTCATTAATACAAAAAGGAAGAATACGATTTTCAAATGCTAACTTTGCTAATTTGCCCGCCTACCATTTTCAATCATTAGATTATGAGAACCCACCCTGAAGCATGTTAAGGCTATTCTATATTTGGTGACATTAATTCATGTTAAATATGTTTCAACAGTAAGGGAATATTTAATATTCAAGTAAAGCCCAGTTTCATGAGCGACTTCAACTTGTTTCGCCACATGAGTATATACATCTCTTATCCTTTGCTTAAATTAATTTAAAAACCTACCTTATTTATCCCTTTCTCAGACAGCCACACATGCCCATATTGAAAAAAATATTTCTCCAGTCAGGGTAACCCATGTCCTTTATTCTTGTATATAAAGAGCATTATCTTACAAAGCTTACAGGAAGTATGAACATGAATTACAGTGGGGTAACGCGTACTCAGTTAACACGGCTGCCAGCGCCCGGTTATGTATTGTTTCCTATAAGGAATCGGGGGGCACGGGTGGCCCAGTCGTCTAAGGCGCCGCGATTCGCTGTGCAGAGTTGCGTCCATTGGTCACGCCAGAAACCTATGATTGTGGGTTCAAATCCCGGTTCGCCCCTATTGTTTCTAGGTTTGTCAGCACTATACCCGTGCTCGTGGGTTTCACCGAAGTGGTAAACGTCTGAGACCTGCATCACTTCGGGCTTTCCTCCCACATTAAGCTGACCCGCTGTGATCTAACTGGAATACTGTTAAAAGCGGCGTTAAACCCAACTCACTCACTCACTCACTCTTATAAGGAATCAGCGAAGCAAATCTATCTGTGCGTGTAAAGGTAAGTTTGTTTTTGTAACGAAATTCAAACCGCTAAATTACTTATATATGTATTTATATGTTTACTTCTTTAACCTTTGTCAATTATGATTGTTAGAAAGATGCATACTTGGCCCATGTACCAAGAACCAAGATAAATAATAAATGATATGTGTAGATAGGTGTACACACACACACACACACACACACACACACACACACACACACACACATTTGCATGTATAGTTATAAGTTTATATAGTTTATATGGTAAGGCACAATTATTTGTATACATGTAGGTATATTATGTGTGCAGGTATGAAACATGCTACATACATGCTTAACGCGTAGATAGTAAAGGTGGGTTGTTTGTCTTCAACACGGAATACTAGCAACCAGGTGAAAATGTATCGATCTGGCGGGGAAGATCTCGTGCGTGTTGGCGGTCCCCCTCAACGCTGCAGCAACACGCCACCTGACGGCGTCTCACAACCGGAAGTATCTTCCCATTCCCCCATCGATGACCTCTGTGAGGCAGCTCTTCTGGGCCTGGATTTCCCTTCCCGTAAATCTTGCATTACCCAGACACCGTCTTGCTGTCATGTATGTCACTTCATTCTACTCTGGGGTTGCTAATGGCAAAAGCCTTACATGAAACTATCTTGCTCAAAGTGAACGTGTCAACATTTGACGACATGAAACTAGCTTTGAAATGAAGCTTTAACGAACGAGACGCCTTTTTCACGAAAAGGGGAGTGCATGAGTGAGTGAATGAGTTTCTGTGTTAAAAGAGGATATTCTAACAAATATTCAACCAACTGATCCCCAAGACATTAGCTGACAGACCGACAATTTTAGGACTTAAGTAAATATAGCCTGTGATTTATTATCTAAATTAGATGAAAGAGCAAATCTTATGTCATTGTAAAATGCACACTCATATATCTGCTCAACTATAAGCATAGCTAAACTGCAGGGGAAAAGAAAGTATACACCCAAATTTGATGGTGGCTACGCGAAATAAACATGAAATGATTACTCGATGGTGATGTATTTGTTGCTGGTATATTAGGTTGTGTTTTGACCTTACATTTGCAGTGCTTAGGTGATTGCTTACAGCCTAGTTACGTTTTGATAACGTGCGCAATTTTTTTTATCAGATCGAAGTTTCAGGTGTATACTTAGTTCAGATTCTATATACAAGATGGCGCCACGATTTAAAATGATCTCTGCAGGAAACGTACAAGATATTAACGGATGATCCCCACTCTTTATCCCCCTTCACATGGACGCTCGAACAACCTCATATCAGTTGGGGGTAAACGTGGAGTGGATTACAAAACCCTTGTGTTGGTGTCAGGCAAGGGGACACTTCTCGATACTCTTGTTAGTCAGCAGTAGTGGAGATTCAACGGTGAACCAAACGTCAGCAACACAGTTACAGTGAAGTATCACACAACCAGCTACAGTAAACTACGCTTATAACGAACATGCTTTATAACGAACACGCTTATAACGAACTGACTGATATAACGAACAAAGGACAGGGAGTAGACCAGACACTGGGACACAAAGGACAGGGAGTAGATCAGACACTGGAAGACAAGGGACAGGAAGTAGATCAGACACTGGGACACAAGGGACAGGGAGTAGATCAGACACTGGGACACAAAGGACAGGAAGTAGATCAGACATTGGGACACAAAGGACAGGGAGTAGATCAGACACTGCAAGACAAGGGACAGGAAGTAGATCAGACACTGGGACACAAGGGACAGGGAGTAGATCAGACACTGGGACACAAGGGACAGGGAGTAGACCAGACACTGGGACACAAGGGACAGGGAGTAGATCAGACACTGGGACACAAAGGACAGGGAGTAGATCAGACACTGGGACACAAGGGACAGGGAGTAGATCAGACACTAGGACACAAGGGACAGGTAGTAGATCAGACACTGGGACACAAGGGACAGGGAGTAGATCAGACACTGGGACACAAAGGACAGGGAGTAGACCAGACACTGGGACAAAGGGACAGGGAGTAGATCAGACACTGGGACACAAGGGACAGGGAGTAGATCAGACACTGGGACACAAGGGACAGGGAGTAGATCAGACACTGGGACACAAGGGACAGGGAGTAGATCAGTCACTTGGATACAAAGGACAGGGAGTAGATCAGACACTGGGACACAAGGGACAGGGAGTAGATTAGACACTGGGACACAAGGGACATGGAGTAGACCAGACACTGGGACACAAAGGACAGGGAGTAGACCAGACACTGGGACACAAGGGACAGGGAGTAGATCAGTCACTGGGACACAAAGGACAGGGAGTAGATCAGACACTGGGACACAAGGGACAGGGAGTAGATCAGACACTGGGACACAGGGGACAGGGAGTAGATTAGACACTGGGACACAAGGGACATGGAGTAGATCAGACACTGGGACACAAGGGACAGGGAGTAGATTAGACACTGGGACACAAGGGACATGGAATAGACCAGACACTGGGACACAAAGGACAGGGAGTAGATCAGACACTGGGACACAAGGGACAGGGAGTAGATCAGACACTGGGACACAAAGGACAGGGAGTAGATCAGACACTGGGACACAAGGGACAGGGAGTAGATTAGACACTGGGACACAAGGGACATGGAGTAGACCAGACACTGGGACACAAAGGACAGGGAGTAGATCAGACACTGGGACACAAGGGACAGGGAGTAGACCAGACACTGGGACACAAGGGACAGGGAGTAGATCAGACACTGGGACACAAGGGACAGAGAGTAGACTATAGACACTGGGACACAAATGATAGGGAGTAGACCAAACACTGGGACACAAGGGACAGAGAGTAGACCAGACACTGGAAGACAAGAGACAGAGTGTAGATCAGACACTGGGACACAAGGGACAGGGAGTAGATTAGACACTGGGTCACAAGGGATAGGGAGTAGATCAGACACTGGGACACAAGGGACAGGGAGTAGATCAGACACTGGGACACAAGGGATAGGGAGTAGATCAGACACTGGGTCACAAGGGACAGGGAGTAGATCAGACACTGGGACACAAGGGACATGGAGTAGACCAGACACTGGGACACAAGGGACAGAGTGTAGTTCAGACACTGGGACACAGGGGACTAATCTACTCCCTGTCCATTGTGTACCAGTGTCTGATCAACTCATTGTACCTTTCCGTCCCAGTGTCGCTGGTTTCACCAAAGGCATGTCCTCCCACATCAAGCTGACATAACTGCATACCAATTCGTGCTATACTACAATACTGTTCATCACTCACTCACTCACTCACTCACTCACTCATTATGAACGTCAATAGCAAGCGAGCAACAAACCGTAAAGACAAAACAAAACAAAACGTAGATTTGGATCGGTTTAATTAATGAATCAAATGAGCAAGCACATGATGGACTATTCTGATGACCATGGTCGGTATTGGACGCGTCCTGTCATGCTATCCGATGACGTCGGGCGACGTGTCTGTGAGGAGTGTGTCTTTGCCGGGTATGGTGTGTCCCCCAGCATTGCAGTGGTCCAACACACAGCAGTAGGAGCAGGAGAAGGCTTCGTAGTACTTCTCCATGGGGCTGTAGGTGCCGCAGTCCTGCTGGTGCGGGGTCAGGCTGGACAGGTCAGCGTGGCACTCCGACCTGTTGGCGCAGCTGAACAACAGAGCAGTACTTATACACCCATTACACCGGACGGCGACCTTTCTGCGACCGTTCTGCGTTCTTAAGTTTTGCCAGGTCGGCGTTGAAGGCAGAGGGGTCGCAGAACGGTCGCGTAGAGCGCACAAGGGAGGCAGAGGGAACGCAGAGGAGACGCAGAGGGAGCGCAGAGATATCGCACAGTGAACGCCTAGGTCGTTCAGGGAACGCAGTGACATTGACAAAAGTAACATATTTAGTCGCAGAAGGAAGGCAGAACGGTCGTAGGAGCGATTACACCGAAAGAGAGTTTTCTCGAGTATGGCGACCCCACTGCTCTCTAGTCAAATTTTAGGACGCAGAAGGAGCGCAGAGCGATCGCCGTTTGGTGTAATGGCCCCTTCAATCTCGGCAAACGCTTGTATTTGCTGCAGTGTACATCATACTGCATATTTAGTAGGAATGAAGCCGTTCTTATTCCCCATTAAATGAACAACAATTCAAAAAGAAAAGGTATCATTTTTTTTTTTTAAAACAACAGAAACAGAAAATTTTCTTTTACCAATAAATAAATCCCCAAAATGACACTTTTCTATATATTCACTGAAAGTGTAAATGAGAGTGTAACCATCATAAAATGGTATTAACTTCACGATAATGGAAATTCTTTCCAATATTATCAAAAGCATAGTGTATAACAATGGTGTGTTGGGCGAGTAGTCCCAAGTTAAGCGATGGGTGTGTTTGGACGAGCTGTCCCAAGACAAACCACGAACAGCTGTTTCCTTCTGTTCATTTAGCGAACAGATGTAAAGGAAATATTGTTGAAACCTCAAATAGCTAGCTGATGTATTCATTGGAATAACTGTATACACGTTCCCATATGCCACTGTATGGCCGCATTACTGGTAACAGCCCCGCGGGACACCGAGTCAGAACGTATCCTTGAGGGGCGGCTACGCCATGGATATTGTAAAAATCGTGCACTTTGGGTAAAAGCACCAACCTTGGCATGTCGTACTATGAACCATTCCTAGCACCAGCTCACGGTGCCCCCCTAGTGCTAGAAAACCCACGATAGTGAAAAGATACCTGCATATGTTTTTTTCCAGAAAATATTCTCTTGTAAAATATAAGGTTGAATATTTCTGAGTCAAGCATTATATATTGTATCTGAGCCAAAATACTTATAGATCATACACAAAATCGTACAAATATATACATTCATACAATGTCATTTATAAATGTGATGGTCATCATGTTTGATTTATATAATCTTATGGACCTATTTTAGGCCAAAAGATAATAACTTGGGTCATTATATTGATATCTGCTGCAGAAATGGACAATTTCTGAAAATTAAGTAGTTTATGGGGTCATCTCGGATTTTCCTCAACGGCAGGTGGCGCTGCATACAATTGTCCGACGGAGCTAGAAATTGTTCATATTATCAACCACTTGTCCAGTCTAGATTCGATTATTTTCAGGTCGATGTAATACAGCTGGAATAGTGCTGTGGTGAAATACAGATGATTTACTCACAAACCATAACACATTGACCATCACCAGTTTCAGGTTGTAACAAAACTTATAAACCTATTCATTGGGATCGCCATTAAGTAAGAGACTTCTTTCTATAGGCATTAAAACCTATTGTGAGGTTTTACTTTCCAGTCGGGTTAATTCTCATAAACAGGGACGTTGTAATGTCCCTGGGATTTTATATAATATCCCAGGGATTTTATATAATAAAGGTGTTGATAAGCCTCACTGGTTTTTAGAATGTCCTTTTCAAGATCCGTACGCCACCAACAGATATTTTACGCGCGTTTCCTAAGGTTCATGGAAAGTATGTTTGAAACATAAAAATGTTGATAAATGTTGTTTTAAGTTTCTTTTTTCGGTTTATAAGCATGGAAAAACACTTTCCCTCGGTTTTGGTAGACAGAGCATGCCTTGGGGGTCCGGAAAAACCGCTTTGCCCCCTTGGTTTTTCCCTCTCCCCAGGGCATGCTCTGTCTCTAAAACCTCGTGAGCGTGTTTTCTCCAATACATAATGCTGGGTGCTTAAAAGGAATAAGTTTTCATTTATGGCATGAGGCTTGGCTTCCTTGGATTACCTTTGTTTCAATAGCAACCGATATACTTCACAACTTAGCCCCCGTAGGGATTCCGGGTTTACCCCCGTGGGCTGACCTCAGGAACCTATGCTGGCCGTAAGAGGCGATCAAATGAATCGGGTGGCCAGGTGCGGTGACCCCGTTGTCAACGTTCCCCGACGGCGTAGATTGTTGTTCACAATATCAATCACTGGATTGTCTGGTCCAGACACGACGCCGTCATAAAGCTGCAATGTTGCTGAGTGCGCCGTTACACAACACACAATCACTGTACTTACGACTTCGTGTAGGACGTGGCCCCTGTGTCCATGTTTTTGACAGTGGTCAGGCAGTAGGGCTGTGTGGGGGGACAGGCTACAACCTTAGGGAGGATGAGGCAGTCTAACCCACTGCACACTGTACACAGAGCTGCGGATAAACATGGGCGGGGGATTAATGTCAGATCTTGTATTTTCTTATTTGTTGATTTAATAAATACAAATAATTTGCAACTTCCAAATTAGAATGAATGAAAAACACACTCGTTGGTCACACCATGACGGAAGTACGACTGCGAAACGATACCGTAAGTTAATTGATTTTATCATACAATGGGTGGGTTTCTCGGCAGGATAAAGCCAACGAATAAAAACGATATCCGTTGGGGTCAGATGCGGATAGAGATGCAAATATAAAAGGTCAACTTGGGACTACTCATGTCAATCGGCGATCGAGTCAGAATTAACCATCGGGAATCTGGAGAAACTACTGGTATTGCTGTCATTATCAAAAGAATAGTTTAATATACGTAAAATCAGTGTCTAACTGTGACGTAGATGAGGCATTTTACAAGCTTTGGCAACTTTGGAGATATAAATTGCGAAACAATTTATTGAGGACACTCGCTTAGCGGGAACAGTTATCTATGCTTGTAGACCTCTGCGGTTTGAAACCTTTTCCCCAAATTAAAACAGTTGGATTTGGCCGATACATATCCGAATTGTTACCTTGTTTCGTTTTGTCGCTGTATGTACATCTCACTGCACTTCGTAACGTTATGACAGGTCAGGCCGACTTTCAACAATGTCTGATTGTGGCCGTGACGTCTCATAGACTAGGGTTAGAGTAGCTTCCCTTTGATAAAGGGCAGTTACTCTATCGGACAGACTGATGGATTGACGTAAGGCGGTAAGTAAAAACAATTTGTGTAGGCATTTGTTGTTTAATATGTATTTACGTCACTGTATAAGAAGCAGCTTTCAGTTGGAACTATATTGGCTACTGTCACTGTTCGACTTACACATCACTTACCCTCTGACGTAATATATATAGTAATGCGCACATTCCGGAAAGGTGAGGTGAGGTGAAATTGGGTTTAACGTCGCGTCCAAGATTATTGAACTTATATAGCGACGTGCATGCACGTGTATGTGTGTGTGTGGCTGCTTGTACTAGTCCGGACTGATGCCGATTTATAGTGCTAGCTCACTGAGATACCATGCCGCAGTTTAACATGAATACCCCACTCAGACACAGTATACTGACTCCGAGCCAACCAGACCTTGTTTTAGCTCCTTAATGCCGAGCGCCAGACAGGGTAACAACAAGTACACTCTTTTAACGTCTTTTTGTATGAAGCGGCTGGGGATCGAACCCCGGACCTTCCGCTCTACCACAAGACCACGGAGGCGGTCCATTCAAGAAAGACATGCAATGTTAAGGTAATGTTTGTGAGAGATGGAAAGAGATTTTCGAGCAAAGAATTGAAGAATGACATTATATGATGACGAGGTTATCATGGTTGTGTGATGGTAAATATCCTGTATCAGGAATAAACTCTATGTATTTAGTTCTCCAAGGTTCGCTAAATACAATGTATATTACTCTATGGCTTTTATTTGTTAAAATATGTATTATTCACCATTTCTAACGAACAGCGATGATAAAATCTCGTGCTTTTTCTACATTTCGTGGCTTGTTTGCATTTCGGGTAATTCGAAAATATGTCAAAAGTCACTTTTTTTGTAATTGCAGGGTTATTTTGTCGGTCGATCTTGAAATTTTAAAACCAGCTGAAACAAAATATGGTTTTACCGCAAATCAAGTCTTTAATCATGTCGATTACAACTCCACAATTGAAAACTACAGAAATGTGATGACACCAGCCGAAAAGGGTAAGCATGTCCTGCTCTTCTGGCAACAACCGTCATTCACACAATTTGCCTGAAATAGTCAGTAGTTGTTTGTTGCCCTACGGCGGCCTGTCAATCGAGTCTGGACCAGACTATCCAGTGATAGTGACTATGACAATTCATAGACACGACAACGTGTGCACTGGTTTTGTTGAAACAAAAAACGATATGCTAATGTTAATTACGTTAGAAGTGTTTGAACGACTTAAATATTGCTGGAACTGCTACTATGCCACGAATTGTCTCCCTTTAATAAGATGGCTTACTTGGTTTGACTGTCGTGGTTGTAGGAGGCGTCGTTGTAGGCGGCACTGTTGAAAGAGGAATATGCTGTAACTTTACAATGAGTGAGTGAGTATGGTTTTACGCCGCTTTTAGCAATATTCCAGCAATATCACGTCGGGGACACAAGAAATGGGCTTCACACATTGTACCCATGTCGGGAATCGAACCCAGGTCTTCGACGTGACGAGCGAACGCTTTAACCACTAGGCTACCCGACCACCCCTCGTAATTTTACAGTTAATCCCAGGGTCAAGTCATTATGACGCAGATATCCATGTATGAGTGAGTGAGTGAGTGAGTGGGTGAGTGAGTGAGCACGACAGGGAACACCAGAAATGGGCCCCACACATTGTATCCATGTGGGGAATCGAACCCGGGTCTGTAACCTCTAGGCTACCCCGACCGCCCAGCATCTCAACGAAGAGGCTCCAGTCTCAAGACCTACTTTCTATCACCGATAGTGTATGGTACACTAATGATTTGTGATAAGGTCTCACACAGGGTTTTCACTGAAATGAGGAGCCAAACAATTGTTTCTTACAAATCTTCCAGGACACTCGGGGGCACGGATGGCCCAGTCGTCTAAGGCGCCGCGATTCGCTGTGCAGAGTTGCGTCCCTTAGGCACACCAGAAACCTATGATTGTGGGTTCGAATTAACCGAGGTTAATACCCGAGAAACGAATACTGACCAAGACTCGTTGTTAACAGTAAAACTATCCTCGACAACCCTTGGATATTTGCAACTTTTATCACGTCGACTTGTGGGGGGCATGGGTGGCCCGGCCGTCTAAGGCGCCGCGATTCGCTGTGCAGAGTTGCGTCCCTTAGGCACGCCAGAAACCTATGATTGTGGGTTCTAATCCCGGTTCGCCCCGATTATGTTTCTATGTTTGTCAGCACCATACTCATGCTCGTGGGTTTCACCGAAGTGGTAAACGTCTAAGACCTGCATCACTTCGGGCTTTCCTCCCACATTAAGCTGACACTCAGCGATATAACTGGAATACTGTTAAAAGTAGCGTTAAACCCAACTCACTCACCCACTCACTCACTCACTCCAGGACACCCAGCATGCCTAGCGGACAGTTGTTTTAACAGGAGGCAAACATTATCTTTTTTCAGTATCTTCTGAAACAATTTTATTTTTAAATCACCTTTGATGGCTTGATGGTTCAATATCTATTTACATTATATCCATATACGCCATTGACAACGTCGAGGACAGGACGTCCTACCTGAGCAGTATCTACAGTAGCGGGGGCAGTAGAGAGTGGCTGTAGGGGACTTGGACGAGCAGATCCCCGACGCCTTGTCCAGGTCGATACAGTCCACGTACATACTGTCCTCACAAGCCAGAGACACTGTGAACAAACACCCACACCGATATGAACACCAAGTCTCTAGCAATTCCGTTTGCATTGGGCGTCTGAACTATTTCACCCACTAATGTCCCTGTGACGGATTTTGTTTGTTTGTTTAACGCCGCACTCAGCAATATTCCAGCTATATGACGACGGTCGAGTCTGGACCAAACAATCCAATGATTGACATCATGAGCATCGATTCGGATACGATGACATGCATCAACCAAGTCAGCGAGCCTGACCACCCGATCCCGTTAGTCGCCTCTTACGACAAGCATAGACGCCTTTTACGGCATGCATGGGATGCTGAAGACCTATTCTACCCCGGATCTTCTTACATTAAAATCGTACCTTTGAGGAACTAGCTGTCGAGCTCCACTAGCTCTGTTACTGATGAATAGGGAACTCCTGCTTGTGCGTGTTTGTTGTTGCACACAGCAATATCCAAGCTCATTGGTTGGCCTGTAAATAATGTCTGGACCAGACAAACGAGTGATTGATATTGTGAGCACTAATACACGTCGTCGGGGTACGATGTCACGCAGAATCTCCACGGGTGTCTTGCTCCCGTACCCGTGAAACTCCTGGGTAGAATAGCTCTTCAGCGACCCATGCTTGCCGTTACCCGTGAAACTCCGGGGTAGAATAGCTCTTCAGCGACCAATGCTTGCCGTTACCCGTGAAACTCCTGGGTAGAATAGCTCTTCAGCGACCCATGCTTGACGTTACCCGTGAAACTCCTGGGTAGAATAGCTCTTCAGCGACCAATGCTTGCCGTAAAAGGTGACTGTGCTTGTCGTAAGAGGCGACTAACGGGATCGGGTGGTCAGGCTCGCTGACTTGGTTGATTCATGTCATGGTATCCCAATGGTTTGGATAGATTCTCATTATAACAATCACTGGATTGTCTGGTGCAGACTCTATTATTTACAGACCGCCGTCATATACTGACATATTGCTGAGTGCGGCGTTAAACAACAAAGCAATAAACAATCATGTTCCCGTTGTCAAGAGTATTTAAGACAACATATGGACACCGAACCTCACCGTCCTCACAAACCCTGCAGTACCCTGGACAAAACGTGTGTGTTAGGTTGTTTCCCAAAGCGCAGATGCCGGCCTCAGCGTCCAGAGTTTTGCAGTCGACGTTGCTGGCGTCGCGACAGGTAGGTGCGGATGACGTCACTGATGGAGTCGTGGATGTCGCGATTCCGCTGACTGAGACTGACTGTTGTGTAGTACCCGTGTCTGTAATATAGGTTTCATTCTAATTCATGCCGCAGTACTGATGACGAGAAGGATGATCCTAATCCTATTCCCGTCTCTTGACTGATAACTTTGTTCGCAACCAAATTGGTCAAAAGAGAGTTTTCACAAGAAATGGTTACTCGATGGTGATGTATTCGATGGTGATAATAGTCGTGCTTTGGACCTTACGTTTGCAGCGTTTCAGCGACTGTTTTCAGCCCAGTAACGTTTGTAATTTTTTGTCAAACCTAACTTTCAAATATCTATCTCCTTTTCCCGGCAGTTTACACCTAAGCGATATTTGTAATTAGGTGACGTGAGGTGAGGTGAAATTGGTTTTAACGTCGCGTCCAAAATTATTGCACTTATATAGAGACGTGCATGCACGTGTATGTGTGTGTGTGGATGCTTGTACTAGACCGGACTGATGCCGATTTATAGTGCTAGCCGACTGAGATACCATGCCGCAGTTTAACATGAATACCCCACTCAGACACAGTATAATGACTCCGAGCCGACCAGTCCTTGCTTTAATCCCTTAATGCTGAGCGCCAGACAGGGTAACAACAAGTACCATCTTTTAACTTCTTTTGGTATGACGCGGTCGGGGATCGAACCCCGGACCTTTCGCTCTCCGGGCGGACGCTCTACCACTAGACCACGGAGGCGGTCTGTAATTAGGACGTTGATTGTCCTTAATGTTTTATCACATGTGAAACTTCTACATGCCACCCACAGTAAGTATAAAGAAAATCTCCCACGAACTTCTTCCGAGATCAAAGTATCAAGACGACGTGAGTGAGTGAGTGAGTTGGGTTTAACGCCGCTTTTAACAGTATTCCAGTTATATCACGGCGTGTCAGCTTAATGTGGGAGGAGTGAGTGAGTATGGTTTTACGCCGCTTTTAGCAATATTCCAGCAATATCACGGCGGGGGACACCAGAAATGGGAAACCCACGAGCACGGGTATGGTGCTGACAAACCTAGAAACATAATCGGGGTGAACCGGGGTTCGAACCCACCATCATAGGTTTCTGGCGTGTCCAGGGGACGCAACTCTGCAAGGCGAATCGCGGCGCCTTAGACGACCGGGCCACCCATTCCCCCTACAAGACGACGTGATAAAAGTTGTCGAGGATAGTTTTACTGTTAACAACGAGTCTTGGTCAGTATTCCTTTCTCGGGTATTAACCTCTGTTATATGGCGGTGTGTTTTGTTGTTAGACAGTGCTTGTGGCCGTGTTGCATTGTTCCTGTTGAGATTCGGTAGGCGCTCATTACATTGTATTAGGCAGTGAAGAGTCGTCAGGAAGTTACTCTCTTTAGATGCTTGTGTGCACGCCCCTTCCCAGCGCGTGACACCTTCGTTACACACTCGGTAACATCGCTGCCACCAGTGAGGGCGCAGCCATTTCAAGAACCTTAAAATTTGCCCTCTAACCCCAGATGTAGTAATGTTTTATACTTTTCTTTATGTCTTTGGGAATGCAATCATAGCGAATTTTGAAAAGGTTAACGACTGACCATATTTCCCAGATGAATTTTCCTTTTTGTTTCTTTGATTAGATTTGTTCGAGATTGCAGACGAACGGAAAATCATCGAACTTCACGAAATAGTTCACGATCAGTCGTTTGCGAGTTCAACTCCAAGTATGGTTGCAGCTACCTATCACAGTTAGGAACTTTGACTGGTGGCAGCGATAGTATAGAGTACAGTTTGTTAGCGTAACTTCTGTAATGTTCAAGTACCGTACATAATTCAGGGTTAACATATTGTTTCAATTTGGGAATCGACACGTAACACCTCATATAAAGTTTATAATTGTACAACGTGAACCTACCTATCTCGCAGTTATCTCCCTCCCAGGGCGGGGTGCACACGCACAGGTATCGGCCGGGGATGATTGGGTTCGTCCTGCACGTGCCATGTACACAGGGGCTGCTGGCACACTCATGCAGCGCTGAAGAACACGAGGTCAGAACATAGTCCGTGGCACCAAGCTCAGTGGCCTAACATATGTTGCTTACGATGTATCCCAATTTTGAGGCGTTGTCATAGATACAGGTGGAACAAAACACATTAAAATATAATCGCCTTGGACATTTTCGAATTCTACATGATAGTCACATGTACAAACACTGTTCCGATCAGCCATGAATACCTTGAGTTTTCACGTGCATACCTGCATACCTGATTAAAATATGCATATATGTGGAATACTGTAGTGGACATTCTCACGTTGTCGACATAAAGAACCAAGCTAAATAACAAGTAACATCTCTTTACGTATTTCAATACGGCGCGGCCAGGTATCGGACCTAACCCCTTCCATTTAATGTGGGGGCAAAAAGCAGTATTGACACGGAACGACATCTCCCTGTAACAACCAGGGATCCCTCTCCCCACTTTGACGCATACTAGTCAGATAACCGTACAAGTAAACATAACCAATCATTTGACTAGACTGTGGCATACAAACGCAAACTGTGTACAGAATGACGTGTTTGCACCCACTCTTTTAAAAAAGATTGTATCCGTGCTTTTATCATGTTATATAAGATAGCTACGCGATTAATCGCAAAGAACAACGAAGAACGAAGACTGGTTTATTTCATGATAAAACATTGATCTACCATGACGTCATTTCTGGAGATTCGAACATGCGCTCGCAACTTAATGACGTCGTATATTGGACGACGTTATTTTTGAGAGGGTAGTGTTTATAGTGAGTTGTTCCCCATACATGTAGCTGGACAGCGCAGATAAACGCAATGGTCGAAAGATCGCATCCCAAAGTGGGAAAGATATGACAATCGGTATTGCGACCCTCATGGCTTATTCTCCCTGCAGTGTTTTATTGTAAGATAAACAGCTCCCACTCGTCGTTTATTTCTTAGTGACTGCTGCTACGTACTCACCTGTTTCACAGTGCGCTCCAGTAAATCCAGTGTCGCAGATACACCTGTACGAGAAGCCATCGCTCTGGCACTCATTGCGGCCACACGGCTCGGCGAGACATGGATCTGATCAAAATATGCATATATGTGGAATACTGAGGGATATTCTCACGTTGTCGACATTTAGAAGCAAGCTATGTAACAAGTACCATCTTTCAAAGTATTTTGGTATGGCGCGTGCATCGAACCTCGGACCTTCCGTTCTCCGGGCAGATGATCTAACCACCACGCCATGGCGACCGTGGACATAGGACACTTTGGGATGCATACACAAGCTAAATTCGGGCCACTTATTTAGGTATATTTACGTTCTCTGAGCGCAAGACCGGAAGGTCAGTGGTTAGATCCCCTGGCCGAGGCAAACCAAGACACGTTACAAGATACATGTAATTACACAGGCTCTTAGTATTAAGGGAGTGAGTGAGTAAGTGAGTTTGGTTTTACGCCGCTTTTAGCAATATTCCAGCAATATCACGGCGGGGGACACAAGAAATGGGCTTCACACATTGTACCCATGTCGGGAATCGAACCCGGGTCTTCGGCTTCACGAGCGAACGCTTTAACCACTCGGCTAACCGACCGTCCCAGCATTAAGGGGATAAAACAAGGACTGGTCGGTTCAAAGTCATTGAGTGGGTATCCAATTTAAACTACGGCATGGTATCTCAGTGGGCTATCATAAGACCGGCATTAGTCTTGATTAGCACAAACACACACACACGTGCATGCACGTTGCTCCATAAGTAATCTTGAACGCGACGTTAACCCTTGCTATATTGTACATGACAGGCTGTGCACATTAATATTGAGTCGGTTTTTATCATCGTGTCTGAAAGGCCCACCTGGCTGTAGAATGGTGATCCCGATGCACTCAGTGTGTGACTCGTCACTGCAATATAAATGAAGACACCTTAATGTACTAGATGATGAACATGTTAACCAACCAACTTATAGAACAATCGCTACACAACAGAACACCTTAATGTACAAGATGATGAACATGTTAACCAACCAACTTATAGAACAATCGCTACACAACAGAACACCTTAATGTACTAGATGATGAACATGTTAACCAACCAACTTATAGAACAATCGCTACACAACAGAACACCTTAATGTGCAAGATGATGAACATGTTAACCAACCAACTTATAGGACAATCGCTACACAACAGAACACCTTTATCATTCGCCACAATTCTCAGAATATTGCTTAAACAATTTGTTATGAAATGTGACAGTAAAAACGTAATTTCCATATATCATGATTAACTGTAAATTGTAGTTTTGCATAAATGCGATAGTTATTTATTGACAAACGTTTCGTGTGCGTTTTTTCACAGCGATTGATTTATTTATCAAGGTTTTGATAATAACACAAAATACATTTCACATATGTGATCATGTGATCATGACATGATGGTACAGATATCTGGGAAATAATGACAATCTGACAAAATTAAACACTGAATATATACACCAAGGTCATGCAGATAAAACGTCGGTATTTCACTGTGTGTTGAGATATGCTTCAATATATACATTTTTTCCAAAGTTACCCTAATGCACCTTGTATCATACTGGTCATATTGTAATGCGTGTCATGTAAAAGTCGAATATACAGTACACACTCCCCCCACTCCCCAAATCCCATAATCTGTGGCCTTGAAGCTGGTGTTCTGGGCTTCTGTGAGAGACGAGGTGACAGTACAACCTTACCCGCCATCATCCGTGGCCTTGAAGCTGGTGTTCTGGGCTTCTGTGAGAGACGAGGTGACAGTACACACTTACCCGCCATCATCCGTGGCCTTGAAGCAGACAATCTGGGCTTCTGTGAGAGACGAGGTGACAGTACACACTTACCCGCGTTCATCCAGGGCCTTGAAGCAGACAATCTGGGCTCCTGTGAGAGACGAAGTGACAGACACGTCTGCCCTGAAGACCTTCTTGCCCTGGTGTGTTGCCCTGACGACGCTGCTCACCTTCAGGTCCCCTGGCAGCGTACTGTACACGACAGACACATTCTGTATCCGTTTGCTGAAGATGTAACAGTGCTTGAATCAGTGAACGGTTAAGGTTCCTTAATAAAGAAAACAATCTACAAGATCATTGAAATGCAGAATTGATTACGCATTATTTGCTTTAAATGGTGTGATTAAATACACAAGCATGTACACACATACAAGCAAACAGACATATGTAAACACAAGCTGACACACCTGCACACAAGCATATGTTCGTACATACACGCATAACCATTTCTAACAGCAGCACTTGCACATTTGTTCCCATTGGAAATGTCTAATTTTAAAGTTGCGGTTGATTTATAAAAAAAATCTCAAATGGCTCACAACTAGCCTTTGCCTGTCTTTCATTTGCAACTTTTGAACTATTAACGTGATCAAATACACAAATATGGCTAAAATGAATGAAAATGGCAGATTGTTTAAACAACTTCCAATGAAAGTCTAAATAGGAGCCAGTCCGTGTGACCCATGATGGACTGGTTGCCATATGTTTGTAATATTTCCATAAACATCTGTGAAAATCAGCTTAAGTAAAAAACTTGCTCATGTTCCAATATTCGATAAGTAAAAGCGACATAACCATTTCTACGTTCATAAGACGTCTCGGCCAAACCAAAGTCGACTGTACGATTCTGACTATATCATGAACTGGTGTTTATGAATCACTATCAAATAGTGATGATACCAGGTGTTTGCGAAAAGGTGGGTGTGTCCTGCCCCACCGGTGGCACCCATCACAAACACATGCAAACATAAGTCAATAAGTCACCTGAAAATACAAGGGAAACATGGTTCTAGTCAAAATAGAAAATTCGATCATTTTGTCACTGATGCGTAAAATTTGGAAATGTCCTCAGCGTTTACCATAAAACTTTCTGTGAGAAAATCGCTTCCTGGAAACCTCTAAATCAGCCTTTTTGACACATTTTGCACATTTAAGTCCACAGTGATCCCACAAGTCCCAAACATGGAATTGTTTAAATAAACAAAGTTTAGTTATTATTCATATGGGGGCGGTCGGGTAGCCTAGTGGTTAAAGCGTTCGCTCGTCACGCCGAAGACCCGGGTTCGATTCCCGACAAGGGTACAATGTGTGAAGCCCATTTCTTGTGTCCCCCGCCGTGATATTGCTGGAATATTGCTAAAAGCGGCGTAAAACCATACTCTCTCACTCACTATCATTCATATGAACACATATTACACTAACAATTCCCTAATGTTTTGCTCACTTCTGTAATTATGCAGGTCCCGTGGGTCAAAAAGGTCCCTGATACTACCTCGACCCGAAGACGATCATGTTTGCTGTTCAATAATACATCTGAGTACAAAATAATGGTTACTCTAATTCTACAAACTGTAGCCTTTATCAGAGATAAATAGCAAAAGAGCAGACTATCTCTACCATAGTCTTATTGGTATTGAGACCTGCATCCATGGACGTGCATGAACATGTATTTCCCAAATGATCATGAACCGGTGGCTAAATACGTTTACTGAAGGGGAAGGAGAGGTTCCGGTCTACCTACTTCACGTGATTGGTTGCTGTGTAGAGCGGGAAGGTGCACGTGCTGTCCTGTGTACAGATGACCATGGCGTCCACGGGGGAGTAGACGAAGTAGGGGCGTGGCTGCTGCAAACACAAGCATGACGTCATCAGTAGCCATCTTGTAAGCCAGACACTACATGGCTGCTTTTGCACGAACATCACATAGACTTTACTTTTGTAGAATTGTTTTTTGGGCATGTGACCTGATATATTCAACCGCTGCCAATTCTAATTGAATCTGTGAGTGAGTTAATAAGGAGATAAACATATTGTGTATTGAATTTAGAGAGAATTTGAAACCGACCGCGCAGTTATCCTAACTTTAGATTGAAAACACTGTTTTTCACCGTTCTACGTGCCACAAATAAGGAGAACTCTCTGACATGAGCGAAGATATTGAGTAGAGCTGCAATGGTTAAGTCCAATGTTTTGTGGGTTGTCGATGTGAATTAAGGAAACACAGATAGTGTTTACTCAAACTCGTAGTTGATTCTTTTCTGCCCAAAATGTACTGACACACATTGCAACTTTGCATCTTGTAACTTATAATTGCACATCTATATTTCAAAATGGCTACTGGCAATCATTGAGAAAGATGTTTCCTTCTGTAATATTATTTTCAAAGTGTGATGGGATTGTCAAATCAATGGTATATATATATTTGACCAGTCAGATTCAAGTGTTTTACAGAGGCAATGTGTACTGTTGTTATATACTGCGATATTGTTGCTAAATCTCGGATGTCTGTTGATAGTGAGGTGAGGGAAAATGGGGTTTGACGACTTACGGGATCGGGTGGTCAGGCTCGCTGATTAGGTTGATGCATGTCATCGTATCCCATTTGCGTGGATCGATGCTCATGATATCAATCACTGGATTGTCTGGTCTAGACTCGATTATTTACATATGGCTGGAATATTGCTTAGTGCGGCGTTAACAAACATACAAATAAATCTCACAAGCCTGTGTGTTACTTAATCCTTGTACACACAGGGGTAAACACTGTTAACAGCCTGACAAGCATAGGATTTCAGAAGAAAATGTAGTTAGCTGTGTCAATAGTGTCATAATCTTTCTTTTGACTGACAGTGTCATAGTCAGTGTTACTTACATGGGGTATAACATTCAGCGGAGCATCTGAAAGAAAATATCGAAGTATCAAGAATCTAATATTTGACACGTTTTTCATTTTAAAAGTATTTTTATACTTCATTTTCATCACACATAGACACATTTTTAAAGTATTTAGTTCAATATAACAACAAACTGTATAATTACCTTTTACAGTGACTATGTAGTGTCTGTCGCAACCAGTCTGACTGAAAACCGGAATAATATAATTACACAACACTGATATCCATAATTGATATAAACGCTTCATTTTTTATTACATGGGCTACGAACAGCCGATCCTTAAAATAGGAAGCAGAACATTGAGTTTGATTATTGTTTTATTAACGCCAAGCCTGATCATCACACTTGGTACATGCTCAATGAACGGTAATTGTTTGGGGTTTTCTTGCCTTTTGCGTCTTATGTACTCTGTTTCGGCAAATAATCGAGACTATTTATTCTCTGTTTTATATTTTCAGATCAAACAGGTAACAGCAAATATCCTTCCGACCCTGTTTTCTTACAAAGAAATCATAAAAAAGAGTTTATTTTATGGTTTAGATTTGTGTAGCCCCCGAATAAAGTTTTTGAAAAAGAAATATCCGTAAACAAACCAATAAACAAAGGCGTAACTCCGCGTTGTATAAAGCGACAAAACCCTTTCCATATCCAATAGAAACCTCCACATAAAGCAGAGTCGATAGCTCGATTCCGACTATATCATGAGCATGTGTTTATGAATCACTATCAAATAGTGATGATACCAGGTGTTCGCGAAGTAACACATTAATTTGACATGGTAAGTGATTAAAGTTTTGGTTTGTAATACTATATGGGTGAGATGCTACACTGTAGCCCATCCACAGATCAAGATATCATTGACAATGTGACGATACATTATTTTTTATATCTTTATTCTAAAACGAAACTCTAATCGTAGTACGCAGATACCCGGTCTTACGCCTTACCCGCGGCTGTCTGTAACAGTGACACCAAGGACGTAGACGCCGACGTCGTCAGTCTGTGGCGTCCACGTGGCCAAGGCGTACACCACGCTGTCATTGACTCCAGCAGGGTCGACTTGCGGCGTGGCCACAGCAAACTCACGGTAGGGGATGGATCGTATGAAGAAGCCTTCGACACGACTGCCAATACAAGAATGTGTACCGGGTTAACTAGTTCTGACGCCAATGTAGGATATAGTGAGTGAGTGAGTATGGTTTTACGCCGCTTTTAGCAATATTCCAGCAATATCACGGCGGGGGACACCAGAAATGGGCTTCACACATTGTACCCATGTCGGGAATCGAACCCGGGTCTTCGGCGTGACGAGCGAACGCTTTAACCACTAGGCTACCCGACCGCCCCTTTGGTAGGATATAACATCATTATTACACATAATCAGTTACTAATTTACATACAACCACCGGTTGCCGTAGTAATGACGTGAATTCTGCATGGGCGTCATGCCTAAAGCGATGTACTTAAAGTCCCAGTGATCACTACGTAGGTGGCCTGGCTTTTGAGCTGATGGTTTTTGTGTTCCTTGTATTGTTCATTAAAGGCCCCTTTACAAAGGGCTGCGACCTTTGTGCCACCTTTGAGCGATCAAAAGCTGGCCAAAACTGTGCCTTCTTTCTGCAACAACGGCAATGCTTGAGCCTCCCTTCTGCCTCCTTTGAGCCACCTTTGAGCAACCAACCTCCTCGGCGACCTTTGGGCAACTGTTTTGAACATGTTCAAAACTTCACGGCGTATGGCGTCCATGACGATGTCTGAACCTTCTATGTAGCACCTTGAAACGACCTAGGCAACCATTCTGCCTCCTTTGAGCCTTCAACGACGACCTGGCAAAGTCGCACACGGGAGGCAAAAGATCGCCATCCTGTGTAAAGGCCCCATAATACAGCTGTCGTAGTATGTCATATTATGCCTATTTTTTTAGCATATCTGTGATACATACCTGACTGTTTTACTGTCCTTTTTTACAGGCCTTTAACAACGTTTTATTTGATGTTTTATTTGATGTTCCGGCACGGCTTGTATATTGCTGATGTGACGTAAATTTTGAACTGCCCTCAGTTTCCAAGTATAAAGACGATGGTATGTCAATTGAATCTACTGAAAGGCTAACTCACAAATCTGAAGATGCATACAGTGGTATCTCCAGTTCGGCCCCTACATTCACACTGAACTCATGGCCACCGGCAAATGTGGGGTCAACGAACACCGGGTCATCCAGTACAAGCACTGTCTGGATCATAAACTGGAGGGAAAGAGGATTTTGTTAACACTATTAACCTTACATTCAAACGTAACAGAATCATTATAAGTAAACTACGGTTATAACGAACTCACAGGGACCACTTATTTTACTTCGTTATAACCGAAGTTCGTTATGAGCACATATACAACATATATACAGCAAATGGGCGGGACCAAAGAAACCGGTTCGTTTTATCCGTCAGTTCGTTATAAGCGTGTTCGTTATAAACGTACTGTAGGTTCATTATGTGTAACGGTAAAGTTACGTATTGTCAAACAAAGACCATACTTACTTTTAATAGACAATGCCTTTTAAAGAGTGATCAAATGTAACACATGTTATATTGGGGATTACGCTTTCTAAGTAAAGAACAAATTCCAGTAATTGTTAGGTGGCGTTCCAGTCGGGATTCGAACCCACACTCTCAGAGTGAGGCACCCAAGCGCCAGCAAAAAAATCAGCGATCTAACCCACGCGATTCTGTGCCTCGCTCTGAGAGTGTGGGTTCGAATCCCGACTGGAACGCCACCTAACAATTACTGGAATTTGTTTTTTACTTGGAAACTGTAAACCCAAACATAACATTATGTAACAGACTTACTTGTATACGCGCTCTTGCACTTATAAATAGGAAGTCTGTTTACATAGTCAAATTATACACGCTATATATTGATATCCGCGATAACCCCTACTCGTGCAATCATACGCTGACTGGAGTCCGCAACTCTCTGAATTCACAATCAACCAACCTCCAGCGGAACAGCGGAGATTCCGGGGCCTCCAACGGGGTAGTCAGTGGTGATATTCAACTGGTTGTTGTGTAGTACGAGGGGTCGTTGGTTGAAGTCCCTCACAACGACAGTCACCGCACCCCACCCCCCATCAATAAACCCGTCAGACTCCATCGCAGACACGTGGAGACTGCAGTCCTGAAAACATGTACCGTGCTGTTGGCAATGGGTGAAACACGAAGCAATACGTTCTTGAGAGAAACGATAATAACATTGCATGTGAGTGAGTGAGTGAGTGAGTGAGTGAGTGAGTGAGTGGGTGAATGAGTGAGTCAGTGAGTGAGTCAGTGAGTGAGTGTTGTTTGAACAGTATTTTAGTTATATAATGGCATATACGCTTCATGTGGAGGGAAAACCGATATGATGTTAGACGTTTACAACATTGCTGAAACCAAAGAGCACGGGTATGGTGCTGTCAAACCTGGAAACATAATCGGGATTCGAACACATGTTCCTAGGTATCTGGTCCGCCTAAGGGACACGCAATTCTATTATTCGTGAGAGAAAAGCTAATAGACCTTTATATGTCCATCCTTAAAAGATATTCGAAAGCAATACATACCAAATAATATGTAACCATGTGGGGAATCGAACCCGGGTCTTCGGCGTGACGATTAAACCCTTTAACCACTAGACTACCCCACAGCCCCACGCCACTAAGTAAACGTCACGTCAACTGAATATTGATGCTACACAATGGGTCGTTAAGTACATAGCATACATAGGTTTATTGTATGTGTGTGAGGCGGTATTTTGTAATACTATAGTGTGGGCGATCAAACACGTACAGTATTGACAGTGATATTGGGTACAGATTTTATTGTTCCGCAGTGGACGAAGTCGCCGTCGCTGTCGTAGGTTGTCAGGCGGAATGTTGTGATGTTGTTTAATAGGACTCTGCAACACAAGACATAGCATCAGTGGTAGGCATTCTCCTTTTGCTGGGTGAGGGAGGGTGAAGGGGCTTACGTCACTGTTACCAAATTCGAGCATTACCTCAATTATGGAAATGATAAATGGGCTTCACATGCAGTAAACGACTGTTATAACGAACACGCTTATAACGAACTGACGGATATAACGAACTATTTTTGGGATCCTGTCTAGTTGCTGTATATATTGCTTATAACAAACTACGGTTATAACGAATTAAAATTACTGGTCCCTTTGAGTTATAACCATAGTTTACTGTACTTCAACCATAATAATAAACATCATTATTGCTCTGGAAATATATACAACCTATATTAATACCTATTTATTTAACGGTGCATTATTGATAGTGTCTCTTCCATTGTGATGCAGTAGGAACAGATTGTACAGGTATTTGTATATTTCTTGTTAACGCCGCATTCAGCAATACTCCAGCTATATTACGGCGGCCTGCAAATAATACCACACAATCCAGTGATTGATATTATGAGAAACGTCCCACGCCATCTGGGTACGATGACACACCATCAAACAAGTGATCGATCCAATAGATCGCCTCTTAAAACCAGGATAGGTTGCTGGGGACCAACCCTAACTCGGAATCCCACTGGGTTATTTTGCAGTAAAGCTACTTCTGTACCTCAGTAGGGATAGTTGACTATTGTTATACAATCAGCACATATCAATTCATTCAAAAAGGTTACCGGCAGCGAGTTCCGTGCTTCTTGAACCAACATAAAACACCGTCGGATCCTTAAAATTTGAGTCCTTTGAGTTGGGACTGAAATACTTTACTGAGTTAGAGAGTTTGGTTTAACGCCGCTTTGATAATTATTCCAATTATATTAAAGCGTTTCACCCTAATATGGGAGGAAAGCCCGAAGTGATGCAGGTCTCAGACGTTTACCACTTCGGTGAAACCCACGAGCACGGGTATTATGCTGACAAACCTAGAAACATGATCGGGCGAACCGGGATTCGAACCCACAATTATAGGTTTCTGGTGTGTCCGAGGGACGCAACTCTGTACATCGAATAGTGAAATCTTAGACGATTAAGTCATCCATGCCCACCGAAATACACTAACAACATCAGATGTTTGGAAGATGTGTTAGCATCAGATGTGTGACCCGTGAAGATCCAGGGTAGAATAGGTCTTCAGCAACCTATACCGTAACAGGCGACTGTGCTTGTAAATGGCGACAAACGGGATCATGATATCAGTCACTGGATTGTTTGGTCCAGACGCGATTGTTTACAGACCGCCGTGATACGGCTGGAATATTGCTGAGTGCGGCGTTAAACAACAAACAAACAAATCAGGACGCCCCGCCCCCACCACGCACCTGTAGACCGTCTGGAACATGACCGCTGGGCCGTTGTTGGGGACTCCCGTGTCACTCCTTGCCAGGGGGGACAGATTCATCTGCAGCCTATATGGCACATCTTTCCCACCCCCGTAATCAACATCCCTCCAGTAATGACCCAAGAAACTGAAAAAAAGATCTTCTCAACACTTACCTTATCAATTCAATTACACAATCAATTGTCTATATTATCATAATTGCATTATTATTCCCTAAAATATCGGAATTAATTTCGAAACAAATTACTGAAGTATCAAATGACTACATTCTGTTTGCTACCATAGGGTATAGTGGGTATATAAGAACACCAAGCAAAGGGAGACAAGTGAAACATTCATGCATGTCATCTCTGTGTAATATAAAGTGAGTGAGTGAGTTGGGTTTAACGCCGCTTTTAACAGCATTACAGTTATATCACGGCGTGTCAGCTTAATGTGGGAGGAAAGCCCGAAGTGATGCAGGTCTCAGACGTTTACCACTTCGGTGAAACCCACGAGCACGGGTATGGTGCTGACAAACCTAGAAACATAATCGGGGCGAACCGGGATTCGAACCCACAATCATAGGTTTCTGGCGTGCCCAAGGGACGCAACTCTGCACAGCGAATCGCGGCGCCTTAGACGACTGGGCCACCTGTGTCCCCGTGTAATATAAAACGTAAAATATTTTCTACCTGTCCACTCCATTAAATTCAAGCCAACTCCTATATTTTATTGTACATATTGAATCATGTAACAATACCTGCTAAATGCAACTCAACACATGACATGCTATATTAAATCTTTGGCTGTACCTCCACATACCTGACATCGCTCCAGAGGTCATTTCGATTAATGTCAAGGTCAAAGCTGCCAATTTCTTGCTCCCACTGAAGCCTCTCATCGACACCGATCACATGACCATCAAACATGCTCGAGACATGCTCTGTGATGTCGGTCGTATTGATAAAGCTGCTAGTTTCTTGGTACCACCTGCCGTAGTAGTCGTCGCCAGTCATGTTCATCACGTCTGATCTAGTGATGTTGCTGCTGCTGCCAACGTCTGTTGTAGTGCAGTTGTCTCCACAAGGGCCATAACCTAGCCGCCACGCTGTCATGACTGTGATTCTAAACTGAAACAGAGGTAATATCGCCCAAGATATATTAGATTAAACGTTCGATGGTTATCCCGAATACACATCCCCGCGGGGATTCTTGGAAAGAACAGATCCTCAGCATCCTATACTGGCTGTATTGTGTGTTGGTTGGTTGTTACAAATGATAACGTCTTTATTTGCTTGGTTTGTTTGTTGTTTAACGCCGTACTCAGCAATATTCCAGCTATATGACGGTGGATTGTTTGATAGGCATTACGTTGACGGATGACAAAGTAGACACAATTTATGGATAACAACATCTTTAATATTGTAAAAGCGACGTTTCAGTATAGATCCTTATACCGTTGTCAAGCATAATAAATTGTGTCTACTTTATATGACGGTGGTCTGTAAATAATCGAGCCTGGACTAGGTAAGCCAGTGCTTCATATCATGAGCATCGATCTACGCAATTGGGATACGATGACTTTCATCAACCAAGTCAGCGAGCTGGTTGTAAGACCCAGGGATGTATGCTGTAAGACCCAGGGATGTATACTGCAAGACCCAGGAATGTATGCTGCAAGACCCCAGGGATGTATACTGCAAGACCCAGGGATGTATACTGCAGGACCCAGGAATGTATACTGCAAGACCCAGGGATGTATACTGCAAGACCCAGGGATGTATACTGCAAGACCAAGGAATGTATGCTGCAAGACCCAGGGATGTATACTGCAAGACCCAGGAATGTATACTGCAGGACCCAGGAATGTATGCTGCAAGACCCAGGGATGTATACTGCAAGACCCAGGGATGTATACTGCAAGACCCAGAAATGTATGCTGCAAGACCCAGGGATGTATACTGCAAGACCCAGGAATGTATACTGCAAGACCCAGGGATGTATACTGCAAGACCCAGGAATGTATACTGCAGGACCCAGGAATGTATGCTGCAAGACCCAGGGATGTATACTGCAAGACCCAGGGATGTATACTGCAAGACCCAGAAATGTATGCTGCAAGACCCAGGGATGTATACTGCAAGACCCAGGAATGTATGCTGCAAGACCCAGGGATGTATACTGCAAGACCCAGGGATGTATACTGCAGGACCCAGGAATGTATACTGCAAGACCCAGGGATGTATGCTGCAAGACCCCAGGGATGTATACTGCAAGACCCAGGAATGTATGCTGCAAGACCCAGGGATGTATACTGCAAGACCCAGGAATGTATACTGCAGGACCCAGGAATGTATGCTGCAAGACCCAGGGATGTATACTGCAAGACCCAGGGATGTATACTGCAAGACCCAGAAATGTATGCTGCAAGACCCAGGGATGTATGCTGCAAGACCCAGGAATGTATGCTGCAAGACCCAGGAATGTATGCTGCAAGACCCAGGAATGTATACTGCAAGACCCAGGGATGTATACTGCAAGACCCAGGAATGTATACTGCAAGACCCAGGAATGTATACTGCAAGACCCAGGAATGTATACAGAAACATTTTTTCTGACGTGTTCAAACCGCCTAATTTACAACCACACAAATACATTGCATTTGGACTTTCAACAACTTTTGATATTAAATATGAAATCAACAATTCATAATATTTATACACAAATGTACAAAGAATCTTCAATTAAATGATGATGCTATCATAGCATACGCTGTATGTTGACGGTGACGTGTCCACCAGCCTATACGTCATGAAGCCGCCCATGAAGATGTCGTCATTGCAACAGACAGGCGTCACAAGGACGACAAGCAGAAGCGCGATACTCGTCCACCACATCGTCCAACTGAGCAAAGACTGCACACTGGAGAATCTGAAGGGTTGCCACTTATGACTGTTAACAGAAACTAAAAAACAGTTTGAAAGTTATAAATCTACATGCATACATTGGGACATTACTCCGTCGTCATGATTATGTCATAGATTATACGTACCCATAGTATCAGCAGATGTTCGTTTTCAAGAGGTCGTAATTATAATAGTCTTATCATGTAGATGACATTATGAAATATATCGATTACAATGCTACTTCGTCATTAGTCATTCTTATTTATGAGAAGCACTTCGCATACAACCTTGGAGATTGGCTTCGTTTTGTTATGAAGGCCCTACCCGCCCAAGTAACTGCCACCATTACTACCTCAAGTACTGGGGGCACGGGTGGCCCAGTCGTCTAAGGCGCCGCGATTCGCTGTGCAGAGTTGCGTCCCTTGGGCACGCCAGAAACCTATGATTGTGGGTTCAAATCCCGGTTCTCCCCGATTATGTTTCTAGGTCTGTCAGCACCATACCCGTGCTCGTGGGTATCACCGAAGTGGTAAACGTCTGAGACCTGCATCACTTCGGGCTTTCCTCCCACATCAAGCTGACACGCCGTGGCATAACTAGAATACTGTTAAAAGCGGCGTTAATCCCAACTCACTCACTCACTCACTCACTTCTAGTACTACTACTTCTACTACTACTACTACGAACACTATTATACTACCACTAACACTGCCAATAGGTCTTCGACTACTAATAGTACCACTACCACGACTACAATGACTACTACTACTACTACCAATACCATCACTACTACTACTACTACTGCTACTACTACTACCACCACCACTACTACTATTACTACTACCACCACCACCACTACTACCACTACTATTACTGAGTGAGTTATGGTACCCCTGTGTGAGTTATGGTACCCCTGTGTGAGTTATGGTGTCCCTGTGTGAGTTATGGTACCCCTATGTGAGTTATGGTGTCCCTATGTGAGTTATGGTGCCCCTGTGTGAGTTATGGTACCCCTGTGTGAGTTATGGTACCCCTGTGTGAGTTATGGCACCCCTGTGTGAGTTATGGTGCCCCTGTGTGAGTTATGGTACCCCTGTGTGAGTTATGGTGCCCCTGTGTGAGTTATGGTACCCCTGTGTGAGTTATGGTGCCCCTGTGTGAGTTATGGTACCCCTGTGTGAGTTATTGCACCCCTGTGTGAGTTATGGTACCCCTATGTGAGTTATGGTGCCCCTGTGTGAGTTATGGTGCCCCTGTGTGAGTTATGGTACCCCTGTGTGAGTTATGGCACCCCTGTGTGAGTTATGGTACCCCTATGTGAGTTATGGTACCCCTGTGTGAGTTATGGTGTCCCTGTGTGAGTTATGGTGTCCCTATGTGAGTTATGGTGCCCTGTGTGAGTTATGGTACCCCTGTATGAGTTATGGTGTCCCTGTGTGAGTTATGGTGCCCCTGTATGAGTTATGGTACCCCTGTGTGAGTTATGGTGTCCCTGTCAGAGTTATGGTGTCCCTGTGTGAGTTATGGTGTCCCTGTGTGAGTTATGGTGCCCTGTGTGAGTTATAGTGCCCCGACGGTTCGGCCATTGCTCATGCAGTCGACTGGACTCTCTACGTGTCGCCTTAATAAAGTTATGAATGAATATTGCTCACTCACCCACTCACCCACTCACCCACTCACCCACTCACTCACTCCAGCTACAAATGTATGCTTGCATACCAGGCATCTATTCAGCAAACAACCAAACATCATAAAATACACATGAAAAGGCACGGTTCATATACAAACGGATCACGTGGACACTGGATTCATTCTATTAAGACACCATCCGTAATACAATTAAACAATAATATTCACATGAGTAAATAAATGTGTAAATGATTGAACCTACCTGTTGAATGTGCACTCGCTATGTGAGCAGCTGTAAGGTAGAGGCGTGAACCACCCTACCCCCACCGGTACCCTTGTCCTGTGTCACTACTTTCAGATAAGTGCTGAATATTGTAGGTTTGACAGTCAAATGAAACACAGCTTTGTGTATGCATTAAACTCTGTAAAGCCAGACACTTGATGTTTAACGCATTCCAAATGAGAGTGAATATCACTGATGGCAAGTCTAAACGTAGTGTAATGTTTAACACTTCAAAACTGCGGGGAACATCGCAACAGCTACTAAAAATTGGTATTTTGGCTTTGGTCGAAAGTCCATACACTACGTCCTCGAAACAAGGAGCCCATCAATTGTGTGTTCATGTCCAGCTAACATTTTTTATGTGAAGCTTGAGATAAGTAATGTTGTTTTTTCTAGTATCCCCCTCCCCTATAATAAGAGTAAGTGAGTGAGTTTTTGGTCGCAATATCCCAGTGATATCACGACTGGGCACACCAGAAATGGTTTCCACACATTTTACCCATGTAAGAATCAACCCCAAGTCATCGGCGTGACGAGGGAAGGCCTTAACCACTAGGCTACTGTAAGTATACCAGCGATCGTTGGTGTCGGTAAACCAAAGACATTTGACATTTTCAGTAAATGATGCGGCCGATGGTGTGAGTAAACAAGAGATCGATGGTGTGGGTAAACAAAAGATCGATGGTTTTGGTAAACAATAGATCGAATGAGTCGGTAAACCATAGATCGACGGTGTTGGTAAACCATAGATCGAAGGTGTGGGTAATCCATAGATCGACGGTGTTGGTAAACCATAGATCGACGGTGTAGGTAAACCATAGATCGACGGTGTGGGTAAACCATAGATCGACGGTGTGGGTAAACCATAGATCGACGGTGTAGGTAAACCATAGATCGACGGTGTGGGTAAACCATAGATCGAAGGTGTGGGAAAACCATAGATCGAAGGTGTGGGTAAACCATAGATCGAAGGTGTGGGTAAACCATAGATCGAAGGTGTGGGTAAACCATAGATCGAAGGTGTGGGTAAACCATAGATCGACGGTGTGGGTAAACCATAGATCGAAGGCGTGGGTAAACCATAGATCGAAGGTGTGGGTAAACCATAGATCGAAGGTGTGGGTAAACCATAGATCGAAGGTGTTGGTAAACCATAGATCGATCGCTCTGATGAGCGTGGCCCTGTTCACACATCGAATACTTACCAACAGTTTTGAAGGTGACACCGTGAGCTAACTGTAAGACAGATGACAGCTGTACAGAGAGTGCCAACTGAGGTATTCCCGTCTAAACAAACCCTTCACAACCAACTGCTGTCAGACATGATTAGGAAATACCATGGACGGGAGGCAACTCAACACGCTTTGAGCGCGAGGTCATGATAATGACAACACAATGCCATTTAGAAAGTGGTCAGATGTAACAAATGTTATACAGTAAAGTACGGTTATAACGAACTCAAAGGGACTATTAATTTTAGTTCGTTATAACCGTAGTTATATAACCGTAAGCATATAAACAGTATAACAACAGCAAATAGTCGGGACCAAAAAAGTACGTTCGTTATATCCGTCAGTTCGTTTTAAGCGTGTTCGTTATAACCGTAGTTTACTGTATTTGGGATAACACTTCCTTAGTAAAGTAGAGATTGAAGTACCTTTTTGGGCTGAGTGGTTAGATCGATGACCTTCGTGTGCTGGCAATTTGGTGCCTCACTCTGAGAGTGCGGGTTCGAATCCCGGATGGAACACTTATCAGAGGGAAACACAAAGTACGTAATCTAAACAACCAGTTGTCGGACTTCCTTTTGTGGAAGCCACGGTGGCTGAGCTTTCTTTCTTGTGCTGGCGAGTTGGTGCTTCACTCTGAGAGTGTGGGTTCGAATCCGAGATGGGACTCATGCCAAAAAGTATTAGAAACTTTACTAAGGAAGGGTCATCCCAAATACAACATTTGTTAGGTCATGTTTAGTGGAAGCAGAGGGGCCCACAGGGAACTGGAACATGTCACTGTGACAGCGTAAATCTGATTTTACTGTATTTTGTAGTATAGTATAGTATAGTCACAAACAAATGCAAAGGCAAGTCACCTGAAAGTGTTCACCTGAAAAAAATACAGGAATTTATGGTACAAGTCAAAATAGGGAATTGCGTCGGACATCATTCTTATCAGTGTGTCAAATTTCGAAATGTCCTCCACATGTCTACTTCACTTCACTTAGGCCTTGAATGTTGTAACCCTGGCCAAATAGCTTCAGAGCAAGAGTCGTATGGCTCATGAAATTAAGAATTATTGAAGACGAATATTAAAATGTATCTTGTTTATCCGACCTTCCATAGGAATAATTATGTTACTCAATACTTTATTGTTGTTCTCAACATAGTTTAAAAGAAATGTTTATTTTGACAACCAGTGAAGCTTGTACATGAAGTTTCTACAAATTCATATCCTGTAGAATCAAATACCATGCAAAAATGTATCACAACCATCATAATAATATACAGTGCACACAATGCATTGTGATTGCTGGTAGTACCTGTTATGGAGTAGCGAGAATAGAAAATGTGGGTGTGGTATGCATGGCATACGTGAGAGACCTTGCATAAAGTTTGCTTTGACAGATTTAATGTAGTATAGTAATATGAAAGAATCGTGTGTCCTTAACGTTTTTGCAGTACAAGTTGTATCCAGCAGAACCTTGAGTTGATAAAGACGCTAAGGGAAAAACCGACACCCTAATGGAATGACATGGAAAACACAGTTGGTTTGTAGCGTCCATTACAAAATTAAACGTGAACACTGTGTTGTGGTTTGGAAGATAATGAATGAATTAACATAGGACGAACTGAATCTGTTTTGCTTTGGCTGATGATCTAAATTAAGGAATTACTGACAATTGGCTCGGAACAAAGAACGTGGCTATGGATTCCCCAAAATGAAATTCCAAATTCAAATTCTATGGCTACCCCGAAGGAGAAGGATAATCTCAAAACACGAACACAAAGAAGCCTTGAAATGTTTAGTAAAAGTCGTACTCTTTACCCCAAAACGTACCAGGTACAAACCTCGTGATTCAATCATATTCAGTATGTTCCACTTCATGTTTCTGGGAAATACAATGTTTTAACCTTATTCTGCTATACGTTCTGGCATAAATCTTGAACCGATATCTGATATCTGACATTTAATATCAAAATGTGGGTTGGTGGAGAATGCATTCGGGAAATACTCGTTTTACTAAAAAATAAACCAGGTTTAGATTTGACCTGGCACTGGGACCAGAATGACATATGGTCGTTTTAAAAATAAATCATTGATTTATACTGATAGTTATGTTCAGGATATTTCCAAAGTGGGGTAAGTGATCATATACTCTGCTTGAAGAGGAATAATGTGTGATTTTTCAACTTGAGGGAAAACTTTATTCCCAGGATGCACAGGGCATTTGTGATGACGAAACGTTATGGCCATAGAAATATTTGCATGTCTGTCCATAAAGTTTAGGTCAAGGTATAACAGTGAATTCTAATGTCGTCTGACGTTGACTGAGAAAGACGAGTGTGTGAAATGTTTGGATCTTAGGGATAAGACATTTGACATTTGGGCAAGAAGTCGGTATCCCCATGGGCACCAGATGTGCTCCTCTTTTGCTCATCTGTTCTTTCAAGCATATGAAACGGAATTTCTGTTCGGATTTGCAAAATCAAAAGGCAGGAACTTGGGAAGGATGTTTCAGTGATCGATGATCTTATATCATTTAATTATGGTCAAATTAATTCCGTTCTTTCTTTATTAACGAATTAGCCATGGAATTATTTCCAGCACCATAACTGGATTTCAACATGATATTAAAGTATCAGAACAGTTTGGCGAAAAGTCTAACGGTCAACATGTGAAAAAAGGTGATTGTTTACCAAAAGAGCGGCATATTATCAAAACGGGGGAATGGTTTTATGAAAGCAAAGTATTGGATGTTGTTACTAAATACAAATATCCGGTTGTCTATTTCCCTAGTAAACCGTCATGGAATTTCAATTCAGCACAAGCTGCCACCCAGGCAAGAAAGCTCTTCTTTGCCATTCTTAACACTCTAAAGCAACTTTGATGTATTTATGAAGATCTTAGATAAAACCATTAATCCCATTTTGTTGTATGGGGCTGAGATATGAGGTATCTCGAAGTTAGACTTTATTGAAAGAGTACACGCCAATGCATGTAAACGATTTTTAGGATTTAAGATTAATTCACCAAATGCAGTTTGTATGGTGAACGTGGTGGATTTCCATTATTTATATACACAGATAAACATTATACTGTATTGGGTAAAAATATTACACATGCCTCCTTACAAATATCAAAGAACATGTTATGAAATGATGCTGTTGTATGATAGTTCTGGAAGCGTAGATTGAGTCTCATGTGTTCAGAAAACTATGAATGAACTTGGTTTGGGCTATGTGGAAAGGAAGAATACCCTGAACATTGTTTAAACATGGTCACTCCAAAACTAGAGGATGTGTATATACAGAAATGGAACTCGGCACTATTATTATCAACAAAATGTAATTATGTAATGTTTAAAACTTAATTTTAAACACAAGAATAGAATATCTTTGGAAACCTATTTTGCAAAAAAATAAAATATCTTTTTTACAAATAAGACGCTCATCGCAAACTCTTAGCATTGAACAGGAAGACACACACAAATACTAGTATTAGAAGAACAAATAGTTTGTAAATTGTGCAAGAAACTGGAAGTAGTAGATGAGTACCATCTTTTCTTTGTATGTCGAGTATTCGAGCATTTGCGTATTGAATATTTTTCGCCATATATGTACCAGCCACAAAACATTTTAAAGTTTATTGTACTTCCGAAAAAGGTCAAGAACTGTGAAGATCCGGGGTAGAATAGGTCTTCGTCAAACCCATGCTTGTCTCCCCTCGAGAAGATCCGGGGTAGAATAGGTCTTCATCAAACCCATGCTTGTCTCCCCTCGAGAAGATCCGGGGTAGAATAGGTCTTCGTCAAACCCATGCTTGTCTCCCCTCAAGAAGATCCGGGGTAGAATAGATCTTCGTCAAACCCATGCTTGTCTCCCCTCGAGAAGATCCGGGGTAGAATAGGTCTTCGTCAAACCCATG